AGCCCCCCAAATATCAAACGCTGCGCCTATATTGATGAAATTAGAATTATTTATTAACACATGTAACAATAATTTAAAGAGGAGAATATTTTTGAAGGGTTAACGTAGCTTATTTCTAAAAAATGTGCATTCAAAAAGTTACAGCTTTGTTATGTTTTGCTTTTTACAGTAGCTGTAACTTAATTGTATGATAATTTTTCAACAATAAATAGTCATTCCAATTTCAATTTAAATGCTACAGTTTATATTCTAAGTACCTAAGGTAATTTTGCTATAGTTAAACTAAGACAATAAATACACGGGTTTCACGACCCGTTGTCATGTTATAATTTACGTTTTTCCTAATGTTGGATGTATGAATATTAATAGTCAAAATTAAATGGATTTTAAAAAATTTTGATACGTATTCATTACGAATTCATAAAGAATTTCAACCTTCCTCGATGTATAAATCTTTATCGTGTGAACAGAAAAGTGATTGTCTGAGAGAAATAGTGACAAAAAGTGAACAAATCTAAACAGTTAATGAAATGTGAAAATATTGCTTAATTTCAAAAATATATGGGATCTTTATTAAAAAAAATTTAAGTATAAATTAACAAGATACAACACTGTGTACTAATACAGTAATTTTATTCTTAATTATAGGTACTACCTAGCTATATTACAATATTATAGATATACCTATAATAGATGTAGTATGTAAACAGTTTTTCTACGTTAATAACAGATAATAACCAACTGACTTATTTAAAGAGATTTGAAAAAAAACCTAATATAATGCTAAAAACTAATATTACACTCTCATTCATAGACTACCTGTTATTTTTCTAGGCACAAAATGGTGTGGAAGTGGTGATCTAGCGACGTCATTTTTCGATTTAGGACCGGAAATCAAATTAGACAAGTGCTGTAGAACGCACGATCTCTGTCCGTCAAAAGTCAGATCATTTTCTACCAGATACAACATCACCAACAATTCTATGTACACCAAGTGAGCACTAATTATTAAACAATAAAATATTAAAATAAAAAAACTTTTTGACTAAATATCTTACTCCAATCATCAATTTTGTAGGAGGTTTTTCGATAGGATTTCTTAATAAAATTTATAATATATAATATATCTAACTTTTATTTCAGATCGCATTGTATGTGCGACCAAACTTTCTACAACTGTTTGAAAAAAGCCAAACATCCCACCGGAGATATCATGGGAAGCATATACTTTAATTTACTCACGGTTCCGTGTGTGGAAGAATACAACGGAAAAACGATATTTAAAGTTCCACCGCGCTATTGATTTTTTTTTTTTTTTTATAAAAACCAAAAATATATAATAAAAATGCATATTTTTAATTATTTGTATATATTTATATTATATGTAGATATAAAAATATAATATAATACAAATATACAAATTATACATTATTTTACATCAAAATATCATAATATATTATCGACAATTTTTTTTAATATTATAATAAATTATTGTATGTTATTGTTTGAGCTTTAATTAATTGAAAGGGACAAAAAATATATGCGTTTTTTTGACAAGCCCAGAATGGTCCGAAAAGCGAATAATGCCAGATCACTATCGTAAGTGTATTTAGAGGAGGGTTTGAGGGGCTTAGCCTCCGTGTATATTCATATAAGTTCCTCAAAAATGTAGTTCGTCTAAATTTATAAAATATTTTACATTTCTAATCGTTACAATATCATATTTATATTTTATTTATTGTTAGTTTGCAATTACGATATCGTATATTGCACTTCGTAGTATGTACCGAAATAAAAAATAATAAAATAATGTAGAACGTCATAAACTTCGACGTGTCAAAGTGTATTCATAACTATTATAGTTTCAGCTTACCTATACCAATCCTCAGGTTAAAATATTGTTAAATGATTTAAAAATGATATTCTACAGAAATATACTCCAAATAAAATAGGCGTCAATTAGAAAATACCTAATTTAATTTATTTTTTTTTAAATTGTGTACTGTAATGTAAGAAAATCCACATTCAAAATGTATTAGAAGCTATCCCAACAAATTTGTTAACGCTACGTTTAGAAATTAACCCCGTCTTAAGTATAGGTTCCGTTTTTTCGAGGTCATTGAGTGATTTTCGATATTCCAGTACAATATTGTGAACTCATATTAATGTATTATGAACATCAATATGACGTAATTATTTTCATAGATGAATTTTTTCGACGGAAAAGCCTGGATAATTCATTATGAAACAATTTAAACGATTATAAAGATGGCCTCGATGGAGTAGCTGCAGGGTTTTTTTAGGAAAATTTTTTCTAAAATAAATTATAGGTAATTAATACGTTGATTTCTAATATTAATTATGTTATTGTAACAATATGATCCCATAAACCATAGAAATACAACCACTGAAGTGCATAAAATGATTTTTACAATTATCTTGTTACATAGGCGTAACTAGACGTTTTCACGGAAGTATTCCAAAATCCAAAGTTTTAAAAATTGATATTGGTAGCAGAGGTTTTGGTTTCGGTTTAACGTGAATCCGAATATACACGTAAATTAACTATTTTTAATCACATATAATTTACGTAGACATTAGTTTTAGATACCTACCTATTTTAATTATAGGACTCTTCGAGTAATCACGGAAATCTACACAGGTGCATTTATAAAAAATATTTGTTGTCTTTATAAACTAAAAACTTTTTAGGAAGGGATACATATACTATAATGAAAAATTAGTTTACCACTCTATACTCACCAGTATTAATTTGACTATTTTTTTTATATTTATTCGATTTTCCCAAGAGTTTTTCCAACAAGTGAAAAACCGGGAAAACATGAGAAAATCGTAAGAAAAACGGGAAAATTAGATCAATATTAAACAATTATTATTATTATTATTTATTCAATACAGGCCGAAGCCCAAAAATATAAAGAGGTCTTAATGATAATTACTTAACTAACATAGAGGCTTAAAATAAACTAAACTAATTTACATCATTTGTTAATCTAATCAAAAAAAATCTGTTCCACCTTCTGGACTATACTTTTAAATTAATAACAAAAATGTCTGTGTATTTTTAATTCACTTCACCTTATAAAATCTTTTGGTAGCTTTTATATGAGTTTTAAGCATAAATTTAAAATTAATAACAATTTGATTGATAAAAAAAATCGTTCATAATTTTATAGTGAGGATAGTAATTGTAACTTATGCTTATTCTATGAAAGTTTATTTAGCTGCTCAAATATTTAATGCAACTATTGTAGGTGGTTTGGAAACTTATTTAGACTTAAATATATTAGGTACCATTTACTTTAAAGCCAACATTTCAATTAATACAAAATGGGCATATTCCACACGATAGGTGAACTACTGTTGTTAATGAGAAGTTGGGAAGTTAGGATATAGAGGGTAATTTACTGTATATCTGTAAGCAAAGATTAATCATTGCTAACGAAAAACGATTCCGAGCGGAGCTCGGTTAATAGTATTGCTTTTTCAGCAATATATATATATCATATTTTAGTAAAATAAATATATATTGAATACAATGAATTACACAGTAAACACATATTGTTTCGTGTAGGTAGTAAAAATATTTTCCTATTAGGTATATAATTTCATATTTTTAATTTATTTATAAATAATACACAATATACTATAGAAATATTTAATAAATACAACGTTAAATTCGACTTTCTTTGTCACCAACCAGATCCATAATATTACAAAATAGATCTCTTGTTATTTTTTGATTGGAGTAAGATTTTTAGGAAAATAGTTACTAACGAACACACATACATACACACACAATAATTTCAGAAAACGTGCTTCACATGATACATCGGAGCAAAAAAACGTTTTTTGAATTTCAATACCTTAGCCGATTGTCGTCATCATTAAATCTTTTTTCCAAAAACTTCTCTCTAGCTCAATTGACTCTTTTTCTGTATAAATTGTAAAGTACCAACTCGGATCACCCGAAATTATACTCTTTTTGTGACTGCATCCGAGTTAGGTCCGAAAATAATATTAGTTTTAAATTTTGTACGAATTGGGTCCATGTGAATAAAATATTTCGTCTGAATTGGGTCCGGGTATGTAAAATTATGTGTTCGAATTGGATCCGTGTATAATTATAAAAATATATGATAATATAAAAATGATATAGAAACTCTAACACATAACACATTTAACACATCCAATATTTATGTTATACATTTCAACGCAATTATTAATTAAAAACCATATTAACAACTAGACGACGAACAATTGTAAATCACGAAAATAAAATATTAAACATTAGAAAAAAAAACGTTTTTAACCATGGCTGTAACTAGATGTTATTAGACAGTCCTAAGTCTGTAAAAATGGGAAGGAAAATGTTTTTTTCTGGGAGCCAACAAGTACAGCAGGCTTGTTAACACATGACTCACTAGTACAACAGGTTATACACGGGACCCGATTGGTAAACAATTGAAATCTGGGACCCAACTAATATGCACCGCGTTTTGTTACTCCGCACTGCTCAACCAATTATTTGAGTAACGAACCTCTCATCAGAGCAGTACGAATAGTCAATGATGATCCGTCATTTCTCTTCAAGGTTAATTTGTTACTTCGGTCTTTAAAGTTTTGTACGCACCCTACTTTTTCGTTTATATTTCGGGCTTGCCCGATTTATTATACATTATTTGCAATAAATTCTAAAATCCGCGGTTCACACGATTCGTCCGATGCGAACTTTATGCGGACGCCCGCCTTAAGACAACAAAATATTATTATCACGTCGGCGATTATCATACGGCCTCGTTTTCTCTACGAAACATTACCGGCACGGCGGTGGGCGGGTGCACGCGGATCCGAATCGCCGCGGATATCACCTCGGCACGACCGACCGACGCTCCGTGCGGGAGGACGGGATGCGCGCGCGTGATATTGATTTTTTCGCGTCTGACGAGTGCGCGTCCCGGGGCATTGGCAGTGGCCATCCGACGCCGCGACAACAACCGTATGAAAACAGCGCCAGCCCCATCGTTACTTTTTTTTTCATTTTTTCCACACGGTTATCGCCGCCGCGCGCTGTCCCGTAGAGCACGCCAAATAAGTGGGTATCGCCGCGCGAAACAAACGCCACGCCGCCGCGCTGCCGACTGCACTGTCCGAATCGCCCGTAACGACACGTCGCCGAATGATATGGACCGGAAACTGCAGTTGTTGGCCGTTTTCAATTTTGTCGTGTTCGCACACTGCGGTAAGTACAACCGTATCAATAATAATGTTAACAGCGTACAATTATCAAGCGACGCGCCAGGCGAAAGCGTCGTCCGACTTCACGTTGTATCACGACCGCGGCCCGACAGCAACGACAGACGTCACGCACTTGTGGGCTGCATTGCTTTAAACCGATATTCATTTTTTAACCGGTATTAATTCAATTGAAAAACTCTTGTTTCGGACAGTATTACACGCAGTGGCGTGGCGAATGGGATAATCGAAAGGCTGCCGCCTCTAATTTTTTTTTTTTTTTTTAAGGGGTCTACATATATGCCTATACTGATATGACAATTATTAAGAAAGTGATAAAAACTGTTAAATCTGCGTGTAGTTAATGCAATGAATGTATTGAGATATGTTCTACTATCCAATATTAACGGAACACTAATGATTGGGCCCAGAAATACAAAGAAATTATTAAAATTGATGATTTTGACAATTTCTCCCCACTAAATTTTCCAATTAAAAAAAAAAAAACAAATATCTACTAACAATGATATTTGTTCTCTGCTCTCAGAACCGTTAGCAACGATTAATCGTTGCATACAAAAATACATTAAAACCCCTTCTATATCCTACCAAACCAACTTTTTTGTTTGAAATTTGTGAAACTTCAAATCTGGATAACTACGGGAAGATTTACCGCAATCCTTAAAAACATAATACTTACCACCGCAATCACAAGACATAATATAAATTTTTTTCGAATAGTAAAAGTATAAAACCAAAATGCTAAATGAAAATGTTAATTATAAAGTAATATATAATGATCGTCAGATCCGTTAAATTGAATATTATCGTCCATTGCTTTTCAAAATTGTAAACACCAAAACAAACCAGCACCACAATCATGCTTACAATCAGAAATATAATAGTGTCCAAAACTACACTGGCGCTTTCTGATTTTGGCCTCCCAAACTATTATTTTTGAGCCCAGACTATCGCGATTTCTTATTAACAGTCGTTAACGTTACGTGAGCTATCTATGTATATTTTAATCAATGTTAGCGTTTATGAGATACATACAGAGTGATTAATTTAGTGCGAAAGACACGAAAGACATTCCGTCTATTGCGTCTATCGAAATCTTTTTCACGTTTCCCATATTCGATTTCCACATTTTAAGGTAATAGCTGTTTACCGAACGCATTACATTGGTTATAAATTCAAATATCACATTACACATTTTCTCTATCACAAAGTAAAGAGATATTTTGTTTGCGCTTAAAAATCGAAATATCGAGTTTTCTGTGGAAATACACATTTTGAGGTCGCCGAGTTCAAAAAATCGGTTTGGGATATGACTATGGTCTTTATAAACTCTTTATAAGCTAAACGACTAATGAAAAACAAATATCATTTTTAAATTAGACATCGTACACATTATTAACATTTAAATTCTGTACCCAGGTACAGACTGAATCGTTTGTAATACTTACCAGTTTTATTTTTATTACAGTGGACCTGACGGGAAAAATTTACCAAACAAACGCGGCTTTAAAAGAGGAAAATCTCATGTTCTGTTATGAATGCAATACAATGGTAAATGGAAAAAGTTGCAGCAATTTCACAGACAAAGAAGATTTGACGAAATTTTCGACGAAATGTACAGGGGATAATAAAACATGCATGGTAAATTACATAACGATTAACAATTATATTATTAATGAATTATGAGGATGTATACTAAGTACCGACTTATACTGAGTTATACAGGTTTATTGTAATATTTGTTTTACGAGCAACATGTTGAGAAAATGAGAAATTAAATACATAGATTACATAGAAGGAAGTCAGGGAGAGATATAAGTAAGTCAAAAAACAAGTGGCAGCCTATATAAATATAGAGATTATTATAAGGGGTACGAGAGCGCACGTGCAGTAAACGAAAAAATAATGATAAGCAGAGATGTGAAGAGCTAAAACAAAAACACTAAAATATTAAAATCATATTTTTTTCCCTATAACACTTACTTATATAATAATATTAATTATACTTACCTATAAACGGTTTTTCATCATATAAACAAAAATATTTTTGTTCGAAATTTCAATTTCAATCTACTTTATCAATTAAGAAATTGTTAATGCCATACATTTGTTCATTTTACTTTTACGTTTTTCCCAATTATTACAAAAAACTGCATGGAAAATCAAAAAATGACCTCCCCGATGCTTTAACTAGATGTAAAATGCAACTAAAAAGGTCTCGTGTCATTTTTTTTAATTGCAGTAAGATTTCTAGTAGTAAAGTTGTTTACAGACAAAAAGAAAACTCACATCATAATAAAATCAATATATCTTTGCTGTACTCAGAATCTAAAAGTAGTTTCCTATGCATCGTGTAAGTATAATATAATACGAGTATACTACAATTAATTACTTACATATTGATCAATATACATTAATTATCAAAACATTAATCAGCAACAATCATCATACGAATATATTATTTTCTGTGTCGTGATTATTAAAATCGTAAAAATATCGGACATTCGATAATTGACTTGTAATAATCTTGTAACCTGGTTACTGTATTTTATAAATAAGTCGTAGTGTCGATATTAGTTATTGCATTGGTTATAGGTTAATGAAATATTATAACCGAGCAAAATTAATGATTGTGAATTATGATGTTTGGTTATTGATAAAATAATGATTACAGCTGCTTCATTTTTTCTTAATTTGTTTTTATGATTAAAAGTACCTTTTATGGGTAAGGAAAAGGTATTGTGGGTAAAGTCAAGTAGAAATTAAACAACACAATTTATTATAATATAGTAGTGTCGAATGGTCAAATGTATAGAAATCCTGTAAGTACTCATTTTTTATGGCAGATGAAACGGAAACTTTTCTAAATTTCGTTTTCACGTTGAAGAGAGCTTTTTCCATAGTTATTAGTTTTGACTGGCGTATAATAATAATAATTGTTCTCATACCTACTCGATAGACTTTAATAATAAAAAGTAATATAGGTACTATGTAGGCACTTTAAAGGTCTGTTATGAAGGTCAGTTTAAAGGTCAGTTTTAATAACCATAAACACGTTATTCTTGCGAATTTATAACCATCGAGATATATAATCTAGAATCTAGATCATATGCCTCGATATCATTAACGAAAATCGTATAAACATGTCTGATAACGAATATAACCAGGTTAATTACCAAAACACGCTTATAGTAAATGACTGACTGTCCTACCCGCGCCTTCAAATAAGGGACAGTAGAAGAACTCGGCCGTGAAGTTTCGACAACGCTTTCAAATGGATAAGGGCAATCGACGTCCAACTGTAGAAGAATCCCTCTATCGTTGTAACTACGAATAAGTTACCTACCCTTATATTTAACCTAATTTAATCTGTTTGTACCTAGTTTGTTATGCTTGCATAGTTGCATGCATGGACGTAAATAGGGTCCTCAAATGAATAGGATCTAAGCCCAAAAGGACCGCTGGTCTGAATAATAATAAAGGAAAATCTATGTATAGGTCGAAAAATACAAATGTCAAAACATTGGTTTATTATATACATATATTTTATACGCGGCACCCGCGTGGCTGCACGGCGATGAGTTCGGGTGGCAGACCGTTATAATCGGCCACCAACTAATCATGATTTATGAAACATTGGAACTAGTAATGGGCACTACCAAGTGAAAACTTTCCAACTATTTGATAGTTTCAAACTATCAATTCACTCGGTTGTTTCTAAAAATTATCGACTATCGAAACTATCACGTATAAATATATTCTATCGAAACAATCGGACTATCAAGCAGTTCACTCTATTGATAGTATCTACTCTATATATAAATCACTCAGTTTTTTTTTTTTTTTTTAAAACTATCGATTGACAATCATTAGTCAAAATTAGTCGGTTCCGCGCATCACTAATATTTATAGCCATTACCGTTGATTATAAGAACTATACGTACATACATATATGTATATTACCATGGGTTATAAATATTATAAAAATGTATTATAATAAAGATTACCTGTGCAATAAAATATCTAAGGGAGGGCTTAAGATTATTCGGGAAGGCCCTTCTACCCCTCCGCCCTTCCTATTTACGTTCATGGTTGCATGTCATACCATATACCAATAATATATAATACCGTACGATAATAAAATAATGGTTTGCCGGTAACATACTTACCGTAACCGTCCCTATACCGACTTACCGGCATATACTTACCGGTTTTCATTATGACGCACACGTATCTATGTAACGATTAGCGGCGGCATGTCTACAGGTGAAGCGGTATTCGTACACGACGAGCAACGAGAGCGCCACTTCTGCACAACAGCTGTGGTCTCTGGAACGGAACTGTTCGCGCAAATGCGAGGACGGATGCATCGTGATCGGTGAGCGGATCAAGATATACGCGTGTCAGGCGTGCTGCGAAACGCCGCTGTGCAACGTGTCCAACGCATCCGGGACGCTCTCGTCGGCGGCGGCGGCCGTGTGTGTGGCGGTATTGTTTTTGCTCCTCAGGAGCACGGCCGTCGCCGGTCCACCGCAGCCCGCCGTCATTCCTTCTTCTTCTTCTTCTTCTTTTTCTTCCTCATCCCCCTCCCCCAACTGGACAGACGATCGTTCCGCAACGACGTTTACCGCGACACACACGTCGCGTTACGATATTTATTACGGCCGACACGATCGATTACGAACGTAAGACGCGTTTTCTATAATTTATACCTAACCGAAATTTACTGGAATGAATGCGCGTGATCAATGACATACAGGATTGGGCAGTATCTCCGACACAATATTATCTAATACACGTACGTATAACTCGGATTCGATGCAATAGTATTAGTACCTATTGTGTCTGGTATTGCGTTTGTTTGTGTCATTTATCACTGTTATTTATTATTATTATTATTATTATTATTATTATTATTATTATTAATCCGCTTATTACGACGTCGCGTGCACAACAATATTCCGGGTAAACATTTTCCCAACAATGTATTCGATTGGTTTTATATCTCGCAATGTCGGTCATATAATATAACGATACGGGTTACAGCCATAAATTCGATAAAACGATACTATTTTGAAAATACGCGCGATTAGTGTGACGTTTTATTATGTGTTCGAAATCCTTATCAAGTACGATTGGATCCAAACAAATAAGTACACACAAATTGCCATATTCTACGTTTCAAGTGCCCCTACTTACATACTTATTTTATTACAAAAAATCTAATTCGAGTATATATTATTTAATAGTAGTAAAATCTTAGTATTTATGTAAATACTCATATATTCATATAATATGAGTATTCAAAAATATATCATCTGTGTTTTTAATTGTAAATACCTACAATGAATTGTTTGGATCCAAACAATTAAATTATATCTGATAACAGTCTGATAAGAAGTACATGACGGAAGTATAATCAAGCTTATTGGTTTTCACTATTCGTAATAATAATTGGGAACAGTTGTCGTCTACTGCAGTGAGATGTGTTCTACAGCGTCTAGAATAATCTGCGATCTGTGTTCTTGTGATCTACGGCGGCCGTGAATCCACCGAATGATTATCGTTCATCATTTTGTATTTTCGATAAGCGTTTACTCTGAACAAATAATGACAAGCGTTTGATTTTCTTTAAAATTTAAGTCTCAATTTTTTTAGTTCTGAATACTATCTGTTCTACATACGATTACGTTCCTTTGATAACTAGTCCTGAAGTATATATTAAACTATATTTAAAGATATTCAAATGTCGTATTATTCTATTTTATGTAAATTTTTTCGTTTGATTACGTATAGTTTTAAATGTGCATCGTAATGACTATTCCGTTAAACGATTTTAATTGTACATGCATAATGATGTTCGGCTTCTTGACTTTTCAACATATAGCCCTCCGCCTTAAACAATATTGTATATATTTATATATGTATCGGCCATCAGAGTTCCGGCATTTTCATTGGCCCGAAATTTGTAAAAATTGATATAAATTCAATTAAAAAAAAGTAAAACATTTTGTGCGGCCCACTGAGATTTTCGATAACTCGCCGGGCCCGTACTACATACATGACGTGTATATGTACGAATATGACGTCATAAATTTAATTTCATCAGAATGCGATGCAATTGTTCGTAATCTACTTTTATCTGTAACAGATAAATGTGTCGTACACATATTTGGATACGTCGTACTGATCGACACGTTCCGTTATTACATTTCCGTTGAAATTCTCTGTTTCTATTGATCAGGCGCGTTTTTTTTTTCTGATCAACAGCAATATCATTAGGTACCTACACTAGAAATGGCATTCAAAAATATTGGCCAATTTAGATATTTTGAGTGTCATTAGTGGATGGCTGCTCATATCAAAGTTTCCGTGTTTTTTTAAATAGGATAATCTGTATTTGTATATTGTATGCTATGTCTAACCTGTATCATATATACTTTTTGTGCCTTTTTAGGTGTAGATTGTATACTTCTAATATTATTAAATTTTAATGCAACAAAGTTCGAATATAATCAATCTGAATCTCTAGGCCTCTTTAAGATAGTTATAAGCGAATTCGACTACTGTATATTAATCATAGGTTTTTACGATTTTGATGAAAAATTTTTTAATTCGCTTCTTTTTTATAAATATTATTAGATATATTGTTATCAGAAGTGTTGTAACTACTTTCTTATTTTGGAAATCAACATTTATTTTGTCATTAATAGGTAGTAATTTTCTAGAAAATAAGTGTATATCAATATGATCCATAGATTATTGTAAAATATACTACACATCCACGGAGTACAATAAAACGTTTCATACACTATCACCACAATATCAAAAAAATTTAATTATACGTAAAATATATTATATTTCTATAGTAAATATTTGACTAGATATGTGCCGAGTAAAGATTATTATATTTTAATATTTTAATACTGTTAAAAAAAAAATAATAATAATAATAATAATGACAGGATGTTTTAATTGTATAATAAAACTTTGTAAAAAACGTTATGAAATATGAATTTAAGACATTATGAACAATCTGTATATTGTTTACTCACATTAAGTATATATTTGTTTTCAACGATTTCTACAATAAAAAATTTTAAAAACATAATTTACAATGTTTACCAATACCTATAACTATAAAATATAAGATGGTTAAGTGCAAATACGAAATTTCAGAATATTCAATATGAAAATAAAAAAAAAATCTGACATTACTGATAGGTGTGCCACTGTATAAGGTGGAAAGTTGAGAAGGTAAGATAAATAGTGTTATTTAATTTATATCTGTGTAGTAGTTATAACGTACCTACTATTGTTAAAATGTACAAAATCTCCAATGTAAGTTTGTATATAGCATTTTAAAGTATATACCTGAGTATGCGATTTATATAAACGTGTATTATATATAGGTACACACTACGTGCATTTAAGAAAACTATTCTCTAAATGTTTGATTTTATATTATTTCAAATTTGATTTTAAAATAAACAAATTGTCACAAATTTTTAAGTGTTTTACACTTGTCTGAATTTAGATTTTATTTGTGAAATTAATTCTATAGGATTGTTTTCAACAGTAATTTTCTATTTTTACGCAAAATAATCAATTAAACTATATATTTTTTTTTTTTTTTTTTATATGAGTATTTATTTGTTTTATTACATCTTTGGTACTGCACAATATGTACCAAACATATAATAATCATAAACTGTGTACAAATTGCATAACGGCAGAGCATTAAATAGGTAATGCAATATAGGAGTACACTATACTTATAGGTATAACAAAAAAAATTATGTCCGTGGAAGGAGGGTATCTATTATGTACATCTATTTTGATGGTGAACTCCAACAATAGAGAGTAGTAACCCTTTTTTAAAAAATGGTAAAATAGATAATCTCCAATAAAATTCATTAATTAGGTACCTATTTGACATTTCCAATAAAACCCATATTGTGGTATAATTAATAATTCCAGTTACAGTTTTTATACATCAAAAGAAACAAAGAAGTTATCAAAAAAAAAAATAAATTCTAAAATTCAAATAGGTATTAACCTCTGTATAGCAAATAATATTTTTAAGTCCAGTTTTTGTTGCTTTTTAAATTAGTAATATTTCATACTATAATCAGCGATGGAGACAAGCTGTCGAGGGTATACAACTATATATCTAATTGATATGCCAAATGACATATTTTAAAGTAACTATTATAAGTACCTACTAGATAACTAAGACTAATAAATGATATACACAACATTTGTACTTTTCAACATATTATTATTATTATTATTTACTAGATATTTAATGTTCCATTTATTGATGCACAAATGATGTATATGTTGATAGGAGGTAAAAAGACGATGCGCAAATGATAATCATTAATCACTGATGCATAGACATAATATATTACATCTATGGATATACCTATATATACTATAGTCTGCCTTACAGAAGAAGAATACTGATTCTACGTTCATTGACTCTATGATAGTCTATGACCATAATTTGTAATGCAAGTTCAACTTGAAAGTTTTAATGCTGTTGATAGGTATTTATTACCTATCTACCATAATATTAGGTACTTAATTATATTACTTAAAATTGTGATATCTAACAATATACGATTAAATATACTTTTAAAATTTTAGCAATTAATATAAATTTAGATTTTTGAATCTAAAAAAAAAGTTTGGGGGGGTGTGAATGAGAATTAATCCCAACCACCACGTTTACTTATAATTGATGTATAGGTACTTAAGACTTTCTTTAGAACTTCATCGTTGATTATAATGTTACCATTTAAGTCCAAATATTATAGATAAATATTGTGCATACAGCTTTAAAACAAAAATAAAATAAATAAGTTACATTCATTAATTTTAAAGTTTTAATATCAATAAATAATGTTCTAGGTACAGGTATTCAAAACAAATACAAATACTTATTTTTAATCAAAATCTAAGACTTATGTCTAAATAATACAGTAAAATTAATCAAAGTATAATAAATTGACTGTACAACAAACTTCGAATGAAATAGTATTGCCTACTAATTATTCCTTCAACTAAAACTTTTTTAGAAGAAGTTCTACGTATACAAATAGTACGGTTACAACACCATAATACTCCTTTAGATAGTTCACAAGTTATGTTATTTCTCAATAATATTTGTTTGAAATCAGATAATTTTAAACGATTTATAAATACGGTTTTATGGTTTAAAGCATGATGATCTGGTATAGGCTTTAATGTAAATTTAGGATCATTAATTCCAGACATCTTTTCTGGGATATCAATATCAATGGCATTTTCATTTGTATTTGCTTTAGGTTTTAAAATAGCATTTAAATAAGCTAAATCTCCATTAGAACTTTTTTTAAAATGTATTGAGTTAAGGAGTTCATTTGTTAGATTTACTTGATAAATGTGCGATTCCGATGTTACATTCAAACATTCTCCAATTCCAGGTGAAAATACTGTACTTTCACAAGATACTTTGGCAAAATTTGAAATTATTTTAGAGCTGGCTTCTGAACTTCTTATTATTAATAATCGTCTTGGTTTCAATGCAAGAACAATTTGTTTTAATGATTCACCATCTGAACGACCTTCAAAATCAATTTGTACAATTTTAGCAGCTACAAAAATCTTTTCTTCATATTGCAGACACTTGGATGGAATTTCATGTAAATCAATTTTTTCTTCCTGACTGTCAGTTTTTTTAGTTTGCCCATCTAAATTAATTTCATCTTCTGGTGTGTTATCAAATTGAATACATTTTTTTTTTATAATTTCTCCATAAGGACTTATTTTGCATGCCTCTTCTAAACATGGATATATTGGTGGTAATTCTTTTTTTAAAGATTTCTTTGACAGCTCAGAGTCAAGTAAATCAAATTCACCAGTTACATGTTCATCATTTTCTGAATTTGAACTTTCTTGACTATTTTTACAAACTACCATATTTTCATCTTTGTATTTGACATTATAATGTTCTAATTCTCTATCTACTAAGGGAACACGTTTTTTGACAGTTAATTTAATATATCTATCTCCACCTTCATCAATTAAATCTCTTGCTAGTGTACCTGGGGCTGTCCTTTCTGTAAGAATAATACTATTCTTTGGTTTTGAAGCCCACATGAGAAATATTTCCCTAGAAAACCCACTTTCCAGATCAGCATTACTTGCTAACACAACTTTAGGTTCTTGAACTTTGTTTAAATCATCTATGTTATGACATAATTTTACATATTTGAAATAAAATGGATTGTTTCTTGCACCTTCAAAACTTTTCATCAATTTGTCATTCATCCATTCAATTTGTGACTTGGCAAATTCTACAGTATTATAGCTAACGTTTGTTAAAAATACTAAGGAATATGCAGAAAGACCAGATTCCCTATTACGCCATAACTGGTCAAGCATATGCATTAATTCTAGAACTCGTCCAGCTGTATCAATTGCTATCAACACATTTCCTTTGGAACGAAGTGTTGTCAATATACAATTCAAGAGTAGTTTATCTCGAGCTCGACGTCTGGGTTGAGAATATGTAGCATTGAAACAATCCAATATGAGTAAAGATGGTCTTCCGAGCCGTGCTAAATCACTACCATTCAAATGTCTTTCTTTTTTATGATTAAAATCAACTGCATATACTATATCTTCTTCGCCAACTTTGGAAATTTTCCATACTGTACCACCAACCATATGACCCGCAGGCACTGCTATAATTTTTATACCAATTCCCTTACCTTTTAATGAAAGAATTTGGTTATATTTTACTTGTATGACTTTATCAAAAGCAGCATCAATATCATCTAAATTAAATAAATTAAAATCTTCCACATTATACAAAGATTGATGTAAATCATACATAAACATTTGACCCATTTGGTATACTGGTATAGTGGCATAAACTGGGCAATTTAAACCACATTTTCCAACAAGGTAAGGTAATGCTCCAAGATGAAATTTATCCGGATGCGAGAGTAGTACAGCATCTATTTGAGGTATATACCTTTTCAATTTCTTTATCAAGCCCATATTAAAATGTTCGTCCCATCCACAATCCAATAAGAATTTAAAATCATCAATTTGTAATAAATAACATGGTGGTGATTCATCCATAGCCCCTGATAAAATGAATAATTTTATTATAGACGTCATTTTAGTGGATTTGAGGCAAAATATAATATAATGACAGCAGCTCTCTGAACATAAGCAAAAATAAATTTTATATTTTATTATCAATATTCAGTGTTGATATTGATGCGTGGAACGGTGAGTACATCTAAAAAAATCCTAGCAATAAATCACACTATATTATAATTTTGTCTGTGTTGTTTTTTTAAACTAATTTTGAAGTAATTTTAGTTTTTTATAATTACAAATAAAAATCAAATTTTAATATTTTGGCTTCAAATTGTTTGATGGCAACAAGAATAGCAACCTGTAGCTTTAACTATATTTCTTGACTTACAGTTTTCTGAAAATTTACATAGATGTATCAACATTATAAAATTAAATCAATTTCACATAAATAGTAAAACAGTAAAGTATTATATTCTACAGGTAATAGGTACTCACTAATTGAATTTCTTCATTTTCATTATTTAAACTATTTGCGGTATCATTAATACTATATTGTTAATTTGCTCATACATCTTATAAATGAAATTGTTAGCATTCTGGATTGGCGTAAGTTATATAATGAAATCTAAAATAAGAAACAAAAAAAATACTTTTTCTATTAAATGTTTCATATGAATCTATAACTTTGATAGGTAGATGAATTAGGTAAAAAAAAAATTAGGGGTTACATAATTTTACTCCATATCCAAAAGGGTTGATGGCTTAAGGAATGGGAGAAATAATGTCAAATATAAAAATTATTCAAGACAACTTAAATAAATAATCATTAGTAAGACTTCCATTTTCACGTTATCTAGTGGACTTTTGATGTTTTTCTCGGTCCGAAAAGATAATATTTGAAAAAAATTGAGAAAATCAAAATATTAACCTCTGTATAATTTTCCAGTATTTTAAAGTATTTTTTCAGCTCAACTGGTAATTCGAAAAATAAATTATCATAAACAGATAAAAAGAATCAATAAAATGTTAAAATTGAACTTCAATATTAGATATTATTCTATAACAATAAAATAGGTTAGTTTTTCAATAAGTAATAATACATTTTTTATGCATAGGTAGGGATTGAGCTCTGCAATTTATAATAATGTAATTATATGATATATAATTGACCTAACTATTTAATTCTTTATAGTCTTCAGATGATCCACGAGAATATACATAGACAATACACTTTACAATATATTTGTAACTGCGGCAATGCAGTTAAGCGATGAACCATAGACCACTATCTACTACCTAAATATTCTAAACAGATGAATTTCGAAATTAAATTAACACCGAAATCTGAAAGTTGAAACTAAATAAGATAATGGTATCAACACTAACAAGATTCACAATCATAAACACTATATAAAGCATATAGTGTAAATTACTCAATGATTATTTCTCTAGCGTTCATGTTCACAATCAATTGGTAATATTTGATAAAAAAAAATCCAGGGACTCCCAATTTTGTATGTAATATAAGCCAATGAGAGGACTGAATTTAATCATGGGTTTATGCTTTTATCAATGGTATTTTCTGTATCCTTAGAATATAGAAACCACACAACTTTATAGAATACTAAAATAACATTTAATAAAAGTCTGGTACTTGTACATGTAATGAATTTGTTTTTAATTTTCATATTTTAATAATAAATACACAATTCATATTATTTAATATAGAAATCAAAACATATTTTCATTAATTATAGATTTTATACTCGTAAAATTATACAACATGGCATTTCAAATGTTGACAAAATGTCGAATATTCAAAAATATCTTGAATACAAAATGTCCAATAAATATAAGGTACTTATAATAATTAAATTGCTATTTAATGAATTACTTATTAATTGATATTTACTAAAAACTTGATTTGTATTATGCGTGCATTACCTAATTGTTATTTGTATTATTAAATTTTGAATATTTCAGATCTAATTGTTTTCATATTTCAACTGTTCATTGCGATCTAATGGAATTTTTTGATAACAAAAAAAATTGGGCTGTTGAACAAGTAAAAGTCGGTAGATCATGGAAAAAAGACGAGTTGCGAATTAAGAGTAATGAAGATTTACATAAACTTTGGTATGTTAAAATTTTTCTTTTATTCTTAATATGTTAATATATTCAATACACAAGCTAATTTGTTTTTGATATGGGGTTAAGCCTCTAAACAATACATAATTTATAATAATATTTTACATACATTAAAGACATTTTTATTTAGCCGTGAAATCCAAAGGTTTTACAAGTTCTGAATCAATATTTTTTAAGAATAAAATAATAAAGTAAAAATAATAAATGGTTAATAGATACTCGTAATTAATACAATACACAAATCATATATTCCATAAAACTCCAGGCTAGTGGTGGATCTAGGGGAAGTACAAGGGTACGTACCCCCACCCATCAATAGAATACAGAAAAATTTTGAAATTGTCATTTTTTTTTTATTTATATATTATACTATACAGATATGATTTTAAAAACTTAATAAATACCTATATAACTGTCGGACAGTTTATTTTGTCGAATGTCAAAGGCCATTATAGATCTGCATTTATGTTTCCCAACATTGAGTGTCTTCTAAAAATACTATGTATTATACCCATTACAACAGCAACTTCAGAACGATCATTCAGTTTATTGAAAAGAATCAAAACTTATTTAAGGTCTACAATTAATTAGAATAGACTCAATGAATTATCAATACTTCATATTAATAAGGATATAGCTGTAACCCCGGAAGAGGTATTGAACATATTTGCAAAAAACATAAAAGAAAATCTCAATTACATTTTTAATATTGTGATATGAAATGATCATTATGTTAATACAATGTTGTGTAATTAAAATGTTTTTTTTATTTATATATTTTATAATTTATAATTAATTTACTATAATATAAATAATGTGCCCCCTCCCTTTAAAAAATGTCTGGATCTGCAGCTGCTCCTGGCAACACATTCATTTATTTATTTACTTTTTAAGAGTTCCAAATAATGAAAATAGTAAATAATATAATATGTTTTATATCAATCACCTATAAGTGATACATTTTCTTCACACACCTATGCATAAATAATATAGTTTGCAAGTTTGACATTTAAAAATTGCTAATTTCCAATAATCTAGTCTACATAATATTATATTTACTTAATTTTATTGTAAAACTTATATTTACTAATTTATGCCTTCTATAATTAAGGTTTGTATTACTAAAAGAACGCAATATGTTGTTAACAATGGAACATGAGTGTAAAGCTCAATTTGAATTATTTCCAAATCCAGAACGTATTGATAAGGTATTGTTTTATGAATATTATAAATAATAGTAATGTAACCTCTATATCGTGTTATTATTTATAATTATATTATTGAAAGGTTGACGAAAGTATGCAAAATTTAGAAACTGTTGTGCGTGAACGAAATAAAGCTTATTATGACTTAGAAGTTGGTGAATGTGGAGAAAGACCTGGAAAATTAGTTACTAATTTATTGGGTACGTTATTTATATTTTTAAAAATCATATATGTCTTAATGAATATTGACATATGTTATAAATGCATGTACCAATTATTCTAATTCTAATATTTGTAACTAACATTCACAATAAATTCCATTATATAAATCATTGATTACCTACAAATTTAAGTCATAAATTAATGTATTACATATTTTATTTCAAAAAATTTAAAATCACTACCTATTTATATCACAGAAAATCAAAATTGAACTTTTTTATTTTATATATTTTTATTGTATTAGATATTGTGTAATTTTATTTTAATTTCAGGGGTAAATTTTTTTTACCGTAAATTTGAACATTTAATACCAAAATTTTTGAATTCAAATTGGAAAAAAAGACATACACATAATGTTGTAAATGGAAATATTGAGAAATTCCAAAAATTATACCGAGAAAAACTGCATAATACTAAAAGAAAAAGTAACAAGTAAGTAATGCGTAAATTACATTTTCTTTCAAATGAAAATAACTATCAATTGCTGTATTATTAAAAATTAATATAAACAAATTGTTTACCATTGAACTATTAAATTAGAAAAATTGCTTATCATAAGTATTATTTATCTTGTTCATGTACATATCTAAAAAGTTGCTTAATGTATCTTTTTAATATGTTATTAAATTATTAAACTACCCTAAAAATGTTTTTAAAAAAAAAAAATTATACCTTTATAAAACTTACTGCCCTGCTCAAAATCTAAAAATACTATTGGCGCTTAACAGTACATTATTATTATTTTATATTAACTCTGTATGTTTAATAATTAATGCTGTCAAAATTATATTTAATTTTTAACATATTTTATTGATAAAAATCAAACATTCCTGTAATTAGTCCTTTCTTAAAGATTTTTAATTATTGCATTAATATCTAATAATTTTACATTGTTAACATTTTAACCTACATGGCCTTTTTTAAATTTATTACGTTCCTAAATTTGATAATCACATCTATGTGTAGATTTTAATAAAATTGAATTATAATACTTCACCATTTTATTGTTATGTAATTTTATTTTTTAAGCCGTGATCGAAACCATGTGATGCACCTGATGAAACGATTTCCAAATTTGGACATGGATGCTGTCAAACAACAATACCCTACAGTAGATATTGAAAAAATTAAAAATTACCACAAAGTTCGTGGACATTATGTTCCATAAAATGTATAGTAACTGCATTGTGCATTGTAAGTGTTATAAGTAAATAAAGTAAATAAAGTATCATATTATGGTTTATTTTATTATTATAGATAATTAATAATTATGATAATATGTTACCTATACTTGTGTTTTTATTTGCATAACTAAAAGGGCGAATCCAGTTACAATTATAAACATACGTCTAGGATTTCCAATAATATTTTTGTTACAGTTTATAAATATAAAAATATAATACAGAAAATACAAATATTAAAATAATTGGTAGTTAGGTTTAAGTATAATATAAAATGTGATATTGTGAATATTATACATATATTATATTTTTGTGAAATAACCAAAGCAGATTTGTCTATTAAACTATATTTTTTTGGAATAAGATTAAACTGCTTGTGTGATGAAAACTTGTTGCGTTCACACATTCCTACCACTAGACTACCCCACCAACTACACTTGCTTCTTAGAATGATAGAAACAACAAAAACGACCATTTACAATGAATGTAGTGCTAAGGGGTTCGAATTCTCTTTACGGCTCAGCCTACAAGCTCCAAAATAGTTCAATATTATACTAAATAGAATATAGATGAATAAAACTACAATACATTTATTTTTGTTTAAAATATATTTTGATTATTATGATTTTCAAAAGCTTTCAATAACACAGGATTTTTTTTTTATTTTAACTTTGTGGTTACAATTAGTTTCAACAATTATTTAAAATAATATAGATGTTGCTTACAAAAAGACAATAACAATATACAAATTAAGTTAAAAGCCTGTATGGTTAAAGAAAGATAATACATTCAATATAATGTTTTTTTGTTGGTTTGAGAGAATATTTATACTAACTAAAAGGATATTGGTGACGTTCAAAAGAGAGAATAGGCTGTCACAATGTGTTGATAGACTGGGGCAGATGAAGAGTAAGTGGTTAATATCACAGACCATTGGATCATTGTGGTGTGTCATCACAGTCAGTGACAGTGTAAAAGAATGAGAAGGAAAACATGTATGGCAGGTAGGTATTAATCATTTAAATTAATCTATTCTTTCTTTTTTTACAGAGTATCACCATTTTATCGAACATTTAAATAATACGGGTTAATTAAATTAAATTCACATTATCGCAGTAATAACCAAGTATACCTATCAATGTATTATCAAAATAAATCTTAGGATGAAATTAAATAAAAAACAATATTAATCCATACATTTCAGTACCTATTTCAGTACCATTTCAGTACCTACCTGTGCAATGTACAAACGATGCACTGTAAATATTTGTAAAAAAAAAAAAAAACGTGTAATTGGAATAATTGGTTACAAATATAGGTAGGTACCTAATCTACATTATTAATTAGCAATTCTCGGAACAATATTGCGATTAGGAAAATGAATCTGCAGACTACAATAATATTATAGAAACTTATTTTGCAGAAATGTACAGAAAACTAATAATATAATGGAATATTAATTCAACGCATGTACCGGTTGTACAATGTGTTTATTGTCAAACACACGCAGCATATAACGTGTAGGGTACTTACATATGCCGTAGTTTTCTAAGACTTCACTTTCGCCCACCTTTCTTGAGAGAAGCCTATTGACCTTTCCGTTTCTTTCGCTATTATACGTGTCAATGTATAATTTCGCTCCACTCCCCTATCGAAACGGAACTAGATATATTATAAAATACATCATGTGACGGCAAATACGTATTTTCGTACAGTTTATTGACCTGGACCACAAAATCAAAATGCAGAAATGCAGAATATGTAATATAACTGAAATATTATTATTGTTATTGTGCTGCAAGTATATGTAGGTAGTAGAATATCTACATAAGGTTTTTTGAATTCGATTATGATTATATATTGTCCATTAAACCGTAATAGTGCCTATGAGTAATTTTTAATCAAAACTAATTTAAGATCTTTATTTATCATGACGAAAAGTATTTAGGTAGAGATGCCTACTTAATTATTAATTTTGTTTTTAATACATAGGTAATTTGTTGACCTTGCGTGTTTCAAAACAATTAAATACTCAGTGTTAGAAATAATTATCGTTGTTTAGCTACTAAGGAAAAATAATGGACACTCTTAAAAATTATCTTATTGCACAAATGAAAAAAAGAAATGTTTAAATAAATAATAATATATGCATATTACACGCCTGTTTATAATATTTTGTTTAAAACGATTTAAGTGGTGTACTTGTTTATGTAGGTATAGGTATATTATATAGGTACAAACAGAATATAGTAGGTACAAGTTTAGTTAGGTATACTATGCATCTATGTATACCTGTACTACCTATCTACATTGTTTTTTCTTTCTATTATAAATATAATATGGCATAGAAATTAACGGAGAACGTAGAATAATAGAAATCAATAATAAGCATTATACCAACTTATTTAAAATATGTAATATTGTAACTGTTTAAAGCATTAATGATATAAAATATGCGTTATTGTTGTAAGACAATAGTATCTACTTATAGCCGCATAGAAGGTATTAGAAATTAGACGACGGATGTGACAGACGAATAAATGTATAACCGCATAATACATTTACCTGTAAGGCTATAGAAAATAGTGAAGGTATGATTTCATATATGGAAATCATGAACACTAAACCAAGGTATCTTTATAGGGATCAAAATCCTTTTAGAAAAACCAATTTTCATAAGAAACCCTTCTCGTTAAACCATAATCATATAATGGCGGTCATTCAAAATTTAAACAAAGTTTCAAATTTTAAAAACCGTCAACAATACCTTTGAAACGTAATCTTTACAATATTGGAACCATAGAGTATAATTGGCAAAAATTCACTTTATCACACCACTAATTTCAAATTTTAGATACGGAGCGTAGCAAGGGATCTATTGGTTTTACAATGACACCTATTTTTTTTTTTTATCTGTAAACAATTTTTCGAAAAGAAATTTTACTTCAACTTTCAAGTGTAGCACCTTTTTTGAAAGAAAATTTATTAATCTAGTTGGTGCATCAAACAGGTAATTTATTTTTATTTTCCCAATAAATGGGAAAAACAAGAAAATATGTACAATATTAGACAAATATTGTTAAAGAAAATATATAATGCATACATACAGGTTGTCCCACGAAGATATACCCCTTGAATATATCCGGAGATAATAAAATTCTGTTTTTTTTAAATTTTGTATATATATATATATAACTTACACGAAATAGGACTACAAATATTTATATTTGAATTCATTTTTTTCTATTAAAAAAATTTTAAATAATACATTTTTATTTTGTTATTTTCATAAAATTTTAAGATAGCCATTCTGTAAAGATTATAACCTAACCGTGTTACGGGATAACATCAGTTTTCACATGAATTAGTAGAATTTAAAATAGATATTACATAGAAACTATTCATCAAATATTAATGTGTGTTGCATTAAAATTTTCAGAAAAATAATCATTACAGAATGGCTATCTTAAAAATTTTCCGAAAATGATAAAATAAAGTCATTTTTTTAAATTTGTTTAATAAAAAGAAAAAAAATTAATTCAAATATAAATATTTGGAGTTCTCTTTCCTGTGAGTAATATAAAACAAACGGAATTTGATATCTTTATTACCTCCGGAGATATTCAACTTATATATACCTATTGTTGACAAAGCAACACTATCAATCGAACTCCGCTCAGAATCGTTTTTTCGTTAGCAATGGTTTATCGTTGCTTACAGGTATACATTGAATTACCTATAACAATGGCTGCACCTGTTCCCATTATCCTAGAATAGCTTTTTTGTTGTAATTCAGTTAAAAATTTTCGTATAAATTTAAAATTTTTACAAAAGACGCATATTTGTCTTTTCTAGACGTAGTCAAATTTTCAAAAAAATTGAGCCATTTTTTTAGTTTATTATAGACTTTTAATTTTACAAGTTTTCTACGTAATTTTTATTTGGTAGATAGTTACTCTACATGTGAATATAATTGTTAATACCAAATAGAAATACTTATAAATTTGACAGAAGGCTTATTAAAAATTGATTTTAGTGGTAAAAATAAATTGAGTATAATGTAGTTTTTTTTTTAATAGAAAAAAAAAATTTAAATCATCAAAAAAATTAATGGAGACGAGTGCAGCCACTGCCAACTGTTATAGATGGGTAGTTGGGAGGGTAAGATATAGGCGAAAATTTAATGTATGTATGCAACGATTAACTATTGCTAACGAAAAACGATTCTGAGCGGAGTTCGATTGATAGTGTTCCTTTTCAACCATATATATGTAATATTATGATAAAATATGCATATATGGCATATGCATTATGTATTTTCTCTAATAATTTTTGTTTAGTATTGTACCTTTCTTCTTACATTTTTTCACGGTTTTCTCATGTTTTTCCCATTTATTGGGAAAACTCGTAGAAAATCAAAAATTGACTTCCCTAAAGTATCTCCACAATCAGATTTACTTTTAAAAAAAGTGCTATCGTTTTAAATCAGAATAAAATTGTTGCTAGAAAATTGTCCACAGAAAAAAAAATAATCATTGTAAAACCAATATATTCTTCGTTCCACTCAGAATCTAAAAAGAAATGGGTTCCCCGCTCTAGACTCTGTTCTGCAAAATCTAAAATCGAGAGTATAATAAAAAGAGCAGTTAGTGGAAGTGCGATTAAAATAAAAGTTATTAACGTGTGTTAGATACTAAATACACGTCGTATTGCAGTACCTATGGTAAAAGCTAGATTCGAAAATTAATAAGTAGTTGGAATCACAAATTAAACTGTTATCCATTATTTTCCACGTTATATTGATAAACACTCATGGAAATTATCATAATTAATTTTTCTGAAACTAAACGAGTTTCTTTCAATGATATTATCGACCTACATCCAATATGGATTCATAATAATTAAACGTTCATTTAATAAAATTGAAATTGTTGAGCCCTTATAATTTATGTAGTCACCTGGCATAGCAATAAAAAAGTAAAAAGGTCTAGTCACATTAATATTTGTTATATCTATAGCTATCTGTTTCGCACGTAATGTATATAGCAATACAAACATTCAACATTTATACAATTTCGGCTCTCTGATTGAGTTTAGAGCAAATGGACCTATTTTACACTTTGGAAAAAATAGATAACAGATCATTTATTATGGATCCTACAAGCGATTTTTGTAAATATTTTCATTTTTTAACAAAATATGCGTGTTTTTATTTTTTCTTAATTTTAACTATTAATAAACAAAATATGTAAGAATAAAAAAAAGTCCTTCGTAGAATCCATATTAAGTATTCTTCTTAGTTTTTCGTAAAATATATAATAAATCATTTTGTCGCAAGCTTAAGCAGTGTGTCGCAATCGTGAAATGGCGAAATGTTGTTTTCGCTATATTATTATGAGTGAAACAGACGGAAAAAATAAATATTAGTGACGAAACTCCTATGCTAAAAAAAATAATTTAAATATTTGTTCTAATGTTTAACAAAATTTATTTCGTAGATAATATTATAGCACTTACTAATAGCATTGCATAAATCCCGTGAACAAATTCTGACTATGTGCCTACCTCAGAATATTGGTAACTTGCAGCTAGGTAGTTAACTATAAATAATGAATTAACCGTTTTTTGGTCATTAAAATTATAATCATTAATTTATAAAATATCTCAACATCACCAGGCCTGACCTCATTAATAGTTATTAGTTATATATATATATATATATATCATTCCACTATTTTAAAAATTGGTTCCGTCGACCACATTATAATTTATTAAAATCACCACAATTCGTTAGCTATAATATTTTGAATAATTCCAATAATTATTGTATTACACAGGTTTACCGTTACTTATTAGGTCTATGACCTACCCAAACCAATATCAACATTTAGTCCATGTGCAGGTTGTATAGCTATTACGCTCCTCCTCCTTGACCTATCTGACTAGTGGTTTACTTTCATGTATATTTTGCAGTACACAGGAAAATGCACTTTTCCAAACTTTTTTTTTCGTAATGACAAAGAAGTAAATTTTAGTTGACGAGTTGTGTAGCGAAATAATTTCATATTTTTGTAACATTATTCAATTGCTGAAAACTTTTTTCTTTCAATAATCGAAATATCTATTGCATCTTTATTCAAATCGTTCGCACCCTTCCAGTATCAAGAGAAATTTAATTCTGAACAACGTTTTCAAATTTAAAAAAAATTATATTATGAGTCATGCATCAGTAAAAGTATAAAATAAGTGATACATATTTACTTCGTTAGATAAATTCAGTTTTATAGCAAATTATAAGTTTAACTAAAAATAATAATTATTTTTTTTATGTATAATAATAATAATTAATAATTATGAAATAATAAAAAAAATACATATCTAATATTCGTATTATGATCATTAATATTTAATATTTTTTTAAAATAATGTTAAAACTTGGGGCCTTCCAAAAAATGTTTATTCCACATCCTCCTCACCATAAGAAAATCATACACTAATTGAAAAGTATAAAACTAAAACATTTTAATATTTTTCCTCCCGAGTTAAAACAGTTGATTTAGCGGTTTTCAAAGTCTTTTGATAATAATCATTATTTAAAAACTTTAAACAATAATTAAAATAATCAAATCTATTGGGTAGGGACATAAAATAAAATAAAGATACCGATATAAAAAATAAAATAAAATGTTTGAGGAAACAGTTTTTTAAAAAGATGAATAACTAAAGATTTATGATTTGTGATAGTTAAAATAATACAAATTTCAAACGTACTAAAAATATACCGATGCCTTTGTCTTTATTTACACTAGTTTATACATTTAAACTAAAAAGTCACTCATGGTTTATAATATTAAAAGTTGTTGCTATAAAGCTTAGTTGTATTGTTTCAATTAGCCAACAATTATTTTAATATTTATAAATGATTAATAACTATCAGTTAAAAATAATTATTTTTTTATTAATTATAACTAGCTCCCGTCAAAGCTCGTCCAATATAAGTAAGTCATTCGTGAATAAGCATCGAAGAATTAAAATAATGCGTATTTGGTCATCTCATTCATTTTAAACATACAAACTACTTATGTGTACTACGTACATTAAAAAAAAAACTATTTAAATGGGTAGGTCAATACTTAGATCAATTCGAGTGATAGTTAAACATTAAACATTTCCAAATTATATTTTAAATTATTGCCTGATACGTTAACCATAGAATGAGCATAGGTGAAAGAATTATATATTACCTACATCATAATAGTACTTCAGTTTGATTTCATTTGTTTTTGTGTAAATTGCATGTAATCAGTGGTTTAGTCAGCGGGTAGGCCTAACCACCTTTCTCCGAAATTAACACAATTTTAATGTGAACAACTTTTCTACTAGAAATATTACCCAGAAATTTAACTGGGGTAGTACTTTAAGGAGGTCATTTTTTAATTTTCCTAATTTCTTACTTACAATAGTGGCAAAGTATGTCAGTCTTTTTTTTTACTACCTACTTATACTTCCTACTCACCAGAACAATTTGTATATAAATTAACACTACATGTATTTAGCATTTTTATTTAAAAAAGTAAATACATTTTTGAAGTAAAAACATACAATAGATAATAAAAGTAAAAGTATTTAAGTAAAAATAAATAAATAAAACAGTTTATTATTAAATTTAAAAAAAAAAAAGCTGTCCTAGGATAATGAGGACGGGTACAGCCACTGTTATAGATAAATTAATGTATGTCTGTAAACAACGATAAACCATTGTTATCAAAAAAGCGATTCTGAGCGGAATTCAGTTGATAGTGATGCTTTGTCAACAATATATATGTCATATTATGGTAAAATAATGACATATGCATTATATATTTTCTTTAATAATATTTGTTTAATGTTGTACCGATTTTCCCGTTTTTCCCGGTTTTATCATGTTTTTCACTGTTTTTAAACATTTGCTGGGAAAACTCTTGGGAATAACAAAAAATAACCTCCTTAAAATAATTTTCCAGTCAGATTTCCTTTCAGAAAAAAGTGCTATTATTGTAAACCAGAGCAAAATCGCTTATAGAAAAGTTGTTCACAGGAAAAAAAGGCCGAAATATTTTTGAAATATATTCAAACTTTAAATGAAATTTATACTATGAATAAATTTATTCCAGATGTAAGATTTAAGGTAAAACATATTTATAGATACTTTCCTAAAATATGAAATCATAGTGTTGAGCCAAATTTATCTACAAATGTTAGCATCTACAACTTCATTATCATTATACCTAAATATTATAAACAAATGGTATGGATATTTTCAGAGCATACAAAATGGTAAAACACACAATCAATACTCTTGAAAATTAGTCAGGAAATTTTAAACAAGTTATAAGCGTATCGAATCAATTTGTTTGTTACAGTCAAGGATTTCTAAAAAGAAAAAAATGGTTGGAAAAAATATTACAGATGACCCAATACAAAATGCAAAATTTAGATATTGTATAAATGTGTATAACGATATATATGATCAAGCAGTTAATAGCTCAGTAAATTTCTGGACCCAAATTCGGCCCTGTCCATACACAATGGGTATATATATAAACTGCAGTTTTTAACTCGTGTTTTTATTGAACTTTCCTGAAAATAGGGACTATTGCATTATATTTAGGCTTATATATATATCATTATCGCTCTATTTTTGGACTCTTTTAGCGATTATCTCTAAACCAAATAATCTCAAACTCGGAAATTATAGTTTTATTACCAGATTGGAGATAAGATTTTGGTTGAATATTAATGTATACTTTACCAGGTTTTTAATTGTATAGACCTCTACAGGCTCCTCAAATTCCAGAAGGATAAAAATATATACTACTGTAATTATTGTATGTTTTACGAATCAAGGATATGCCCTTTTTAGATATTTCAAATTTAACCCCTATTAACCCTTTTACGCTAAAAATTCATTTTTAACAAGAAATGTAAGATTTTAGTACCCTTATAGACTAAAATATAATACACATGTATTCCAAGTAATAACTTCAATGATTTTTGTGAATACCCTTTACCCTTTTTTAAAAAGATATAGGAAAAACGGACAAAATTACATTTTTAATGTAGCTCGATAATAATAATTGTAGGAACCTAAAATTCAAACAGAAAACTAATGGTGGCCTCTTATATACGTCGTAAAATTTTCATAATATTCTGACGATTTTTAAGTTATTTATGTAGGCATTTGAATGTTTCTAATATTTTTAAAGTTTTTTTTGCTTTTAAATGGATAAAATTATTTGACCAAAAAAAATACTTAAACATTTAACAAGAGAATCATTATATTAGTTTGTACTTTATGGACAAATAAAAGGTTGTACTCATTGAAGTCATTTTTTTATAAGCATTTTAAATTCAAATTTTGACGAAAATTGTAAAAATTACGTTTAGAAACTTTCGATTATGATTCATTGTTGCATTCAAATATAAATTAAATAACTATATACAATCTACCTTTCCAACTATTCACCTACAAATGGATTTGCCTATAGTGGCACACCCATCAACAGTATCAACTCATTTTTTAAAGTTGATTTTTATATATTTTTTTCGTTGTAAATAGTATATATTAATAAAAATATAATATACTTATTTAATTAACTGTTACAATGCATATATATAGGTATCTATATTTCTTTACGTATAAATATTATTTTAATGTTATTTTTAACAGTATACCTATAAGTAGATATATATTTAATAAACATTTTATGACTATATCTAATTGTATATTTAAACATATTTCAATATTTGTCTATAAACAAGATTTTAACCAATTTGTTTACAACCGTTCAAAATTTGTTTAAATGTTTACACGGACTGATTATAGAAAGTACCTCTAGGTACGTGTAGTAGGTATCTATATTATATTACTGTATAGGTACTAAATCTATAGGTACCTGTTGGCACTAGTTAGTATACGCCGTAATCGTTTCCAGCGCACTTGTCTAAACATCGTATTCAATCTTTTCATTATTTTGTATTACCGAATTGTTTTGGTGTTTTTTTTTTTTCAATTTACAATATTTCTTTAAGGTTTACACCAATGTTAATGTGACAAACTTGGGAAACATGAGCCAAGATACCAGGTATTTTTATAAATATAATATATATTGTGGAATTACAATTATAACAATATAAATAATACTATAATAATAACACTATACTCGTAGGTATCATCCAAAGAAACATATTACGAATACTTAAACGTACCTATTTTAATAGGTACATAGTAAAATATTTTAACTTTAAGTTTTAACAATTTCATTTATAATATTTAAATGTGTTATTTTTGTCTATGACGTGTATATAGAATTAATCATATATATATATATATATATATATAGGTAGAACAGGTATAGAACCTATCTTTTACTGGTTTTTTTTTATAGTGCCAAAAATGATCGGAATTCTTCATAAACTGTAATTTAATCAATTATTTTTTAATAACTACTGACACCAAATATTCAAAAATGTATGAAAATAACAATTTTATAGACAATTTGTTTAAGGAGCGATTAAATTGAAGTTACCTATATTATATTCGTTTTATATTCATGTTATATTTATCGCATGTTTGCATTTAAACAAAATTTTTCGGAAGAATACCCAAATACTTACTTATTTCGTAGCAAATAGCCATAATCTCTAGTAATTCCGAAATATGACTCGTTTTGGTTTGATAATTTAACTTTACATCGTACATTTATCAATGACATGCCCCGTTGAGGATTTTTCCACCCATAGCATACTCGTTAAATTTTGTTTAATATATTCAAATTCCTGGAATTTCTAAATACCTATAGATTTTTTACAACATACACAGAGTATCCTGTGGCGATTTTGACTTTGGTTTTTCAAATGAGAACTTACATGTTTTAATACAAATTGTAAATCAGATGATTTTTCTTAAAATGTTGACGTATTGTAATCGAAATTTGAACAGAAGTTTCTGAATCGTTCTACTTTAAAATACTAAGAGTTAGTGGTGGATATATTCTAGGCGGGGGCGATTTTCAAATCCACAGAGGTTATGGGGTTTATTCTTTCCAGTGATTAATTAGACCTTCATCCCCGAGGGGAGGGGGATATCGTAAATTTCCAAAATTGCCTACATACCTATATACATTCTTAAATATTAAGAGTAGATAATAATATATAGTGGTGACAATAATGCTAAGGGGGGGGGGCGATCCATCAATCGCCCCGCCACTGATATCCGCTACTGTTAAGGGTCAAAATTTTAAAAGAATAAATTATATGGCCACATGGCAAGCGGCGTTTTCATCTAATCTCCCCAAACCCAAACTTAAGAGTGGAATATCTCGTCAAAAATATCAACACTAAAATGTATTTAAAGAAATACTTCTTCTATTCATGAAATTTTAACATAGGTTCTCATTTAAAAAATTAAATTAGTATGGCTACAGGATACTTCTTAACCGCTGTGAAAATCTAAATAATCGAGAACGTCAGCTTTAACTATACTTTAAAATGCTAAAAATCAAAACTTTAATATAGGTATGCAAAATTTAATCATAAGTAGGGTTAACGTGTTAATGAATCACCCTGTATACCTAATATGTATCTTGCGTTTCCAAACTACTAAACCTACCATCCTGGTACGAAGAATAACAGCTTTTTAACATTTGTTTTATCATTATAATTTCCCCCAATAATATATTTGCAAATAAATATATAAATAAAAATGTATAAGTAAAAATAAAATAAATAAATGAATCAATACGTCGCCTACGCTTGCAGTATTAAATATATTTGCACTAAAATTATATTGCATTCCATGCCATTTTTTACCTGACCGCACTAGGGTGTGATTTAAACTTAACATAACCTATTCAAAAAGTAAATAATTTTAATGAAAAATGTGTTTATATGACCCTGTCTTATGCTGTTGTTATAATATAGTATATCCAATAACATTATATAATATTAGGTACCTATATGATGTTAACCATATTCAGCAAAATAAAACAATTATTCGCACCTGTATTAACAAATAAATAAATCTGGTTCCACAAAAAATAACTATTTTGAACTTAATAGTTTACCTGTAAGTCTTCTATACAAAAAATTTGCTATTTTTTTCCATTAAAACAATTTTCTTCACTTAATAGATCATAAGTAAATAAAATACCAGAAAATTGACTTCTTAGTTTAAGTGAATCCAATAACCAATTATCTGGCCAACTATTTAGCCGATCCCAAATAGCTAGAATGAAAGCGAAGGAGAAAAAGACTTCCATTATAATTATCTCCATGTAGTTTAAAAATACCTATTTATAATTAAATATAAAATACACATGTTTGTGTGTAAACTTTAAAACTGCACATTATCTAAACAAGTTGCAATATTATATATTTAATAATTTGAAATTCGTATCAAGTTTTCATTGAAATTGTAAAATGATGACTCAATGTTCTGAAAAATTACAATCTTAATATGTGGTATTGTGATTATTATTTAAGTTTTCTGATTTAAAATTTACCATGTCAATAAGGTATTGTTATTAATTCCAATCAAAATAATGCAGTTATCTCAGTTTAAATCTTCAAATTACGAGTTGTTGGGTCTCTTTTAAGCGAGTATCTATATAGCTTTTCTAAGAGAATAATTTTAAATTTAAATTCACTAGTATGAATGCAGGTGTTTGACAGCAGCAATGACATGCAACTTTAACAATACAACACATTGACCTTTACACTTCTTGTTGAGAAGAACATAATCATGACATTCACAATTTGTATGGTTAAAATAAATAAGTTTCTAAAATAACTATTTAAAAATATAATTGCATTGATTCTTTGTTTAACCATACGAACTATTGTTTACCATAAATTATATTATTATTTTATTATTATACTTTATACTGAAGGTTTTATGATTTATGTAAATATAATATAATTTTATTAAATTACTGATTATATTATGAACAAATTAAAAAGTTGTATATGGTTTAAATTTTATAGCGTTGTGCTGTTGTTAAAAAATATAAGCTGGACAATTATTTTGTTGATATGACAATACAAAAATTTGTTTTGTAGAATAAAATCGATATTTGTTTAAATTTACTCTTTCTACTAGTAGTTATCCATTCGTTTTTTTTTTTTTTACGGGTTTATATAATTCCATGTTTATGATATTAAAAACGATATATATATAAAATATATTTCGACTATTATCTGTTTGTTTTTTATACTCGAGTTTAAAATTTTTTTTATTTAAATAATCCTAAAATTTATTCGCCTGCGAGGTCTGTAATATAAGTATAATAGGTACATTTAGTTAAAAAAAAAAAAACCAATTCCAAATATTATAAAAGAGAAAAAAAATGTGTACAGTGTTCCTTAAACGTTTTTCAAGTCTTTAAAATCCTTTATCCCATCTGTAATATAACAGTATTTTAAATTATACAAATGTTTGTTATAATACTCATAACAAATAATTCGATAATGAATTGCATTATTATTGATTTTTAATTTGTAGAGAGAAAAGTGAGCCAACATCAAAAGATTTTCTAGACAATCATTCTACAATATCAAATATTTGCCATGTTCCACAAATTGAAACACGAGACTCTAAACAGCAATTAAACAATAATAACAACGATGATATTACACCCAAGTACAAGCAGAAAAAAACATTCAAAAATGCTTTACCCCAGGTAAGTTCATATTGATTATCCATAAGTAAGTAATATTGTTAACTAATGATGCGACTCACTTTTAAAAACAAATTTGATAAAAAACAAACGTTTTAGTTTTTTTTTAACCATCGTCTGACGGTATATGTTTTCAACGTTGATAGGCGGCATAGATAAGTTAGGTTAGGTAGGTACAATAATATTATACCTTCATATATTTTGTATGGAAATTTCCAATGTAAATATACTTTATCTTCGATAAATATATAATATTTATATCTTATTCTAATAAATTTATATATCATTTTTAAAAAAAATTGACGTTACTTCTTTTTATATCATATGTACATACAAAACATATAGTCACAATTATTGTCCTACATCGGCTTTAATGAATGTAAATATAAATCCACTTCCATCATTATCAATTATCATCTATAATTATCACCTATCCTCTATAGTTGGAATCGGTTAGGTTTTAACCTTTTCGTGTAAATGAGCCATTTTTTTTTTAAAAAAATATATCTAATCCAAAAAATTATTTTACTGAGCAATTTCATTGGGATTTGGTAGGAATATAATCAAATTTTAATTTATATTTTATGTATCTTGCTCTACATTTATAATGTCTAGATTTGTATGCATTTTCCAAAGAGCCACAGATTGCATGTCAAGAAGCTGAAGGTTTCCCGGGTTCCCGACCCCTGATCTATAGTACCAATGATAAGGTAGCACGGCATGCGGCGTTTGAATAGTGCTCCACTACTTTCCCCTACCCAAACTTAAAAAAGAAATATCTCGTGAACGGATTGCAAAATTCAAAAATGTTAACACTAAAATGTATTGTAACTAATACTTTATCTATATATAGAACTTTTAATAATATAGGTTACAATTTAAAAAATAAAAAGTTGGTAATCGTTTTATCCCCAAAAGTAAGGGTGACAAAAAATAATGGTAAAGTAAAATTGCAAAGTGTTTCGCGTTGTCTGAAGAAAGTCTAAAATTTAGTTTTCAGATGTTTTTAGTAGAAAATACTAATTATTTGTGTTGATTTATCGACTATCTTGATTCAGTAAAAATCTTTCAATTAAAATTAAAAAAAACATTAAAAAACATTAATCTCTAAACCTAACTTAACCTTTTAGTCTTCAGAATCACTATTTTTTTTTTTTAATAGTGACATGGACAGGACAATAATATATAATGGTACAGCAACAGCAATATCTAGCAATAGCAAAACATGGACATGGACAGAACAATAATATATAATAATACAGCAACAGCAAAATCTAGCAATAGTAAAACATTGCCTGATCAGCTATTATATTGTCGATTATCGTCAATTATACTAAAATCTATTTATATGAATGTAAAATGGTATTTTTTGTAACGAATAGGTAATCTCCGAAAATATTGAGACCAATAACTTACTTACTTACTTTAAAACTATTGAAATCCTCGAAGTGACCAGTAGTAGTACACATAACACCTGCAGTGGTTTGAGCTGGATACAAAATAATAATTCATAGGTATTTTTCATTGTATAGCAACCATATAACTAATTCATATAAATTTGAAAAGGAAATTAAAGAAAATTAATTTTTAAAATAACTGCAGAGATAGTGACGGGATTGAAACAAGGAATCCAAGGAGAAAACGTTATTACACGTGTTTGCAACACTGAGCGGGGCAGCTAATATAATATACAAATTTAGAGATGTCACAAAATCTCAGGTCTCTATAACTTCTAATACAAAGGTTATAACTTATAATAATTTGAAAATGCAAACGTTATAACTGAAAGTATACCTACCTATGTAACAACTTCTGACGAAGGTTAATAAAAAGTGTTAAAGCCATATGGAATCTTTTAACCAGTCGATATTTTCTTTGTTATAATATTCATGCTAAAAATATATGTTTAATTTTATATTTTATACCACCTATTCTCATTAAAATTAAAACATATCATAAATAAGTAGTACATGTATACAAATTATAAAAATATATTTCTAGCCCTAATCATAACACATTATTATATTTATTTAATTAATCAATAAGTATTGAAAAGCGTATTCAAAACTATATAGGTGTACCTAGAAACCTAATACTGATATAATATAAACTAGGTAATATGCCAGAAATTAATTAAACAAACCTTTTTATAGAATCCTATAATAATTATTATTTTTCAAGTTTTTTAATGATTTAAATAAAATTATTTTTTTGGCGTAACAACTATTTTTTATTTCAAATTTATTCTGCAAAACTATACAATTAGATTTTGGTATAATATGAGGATGACCTCTAAAAAAAGAACAGAATCACGGTATTAAAGTTATAATTTTACATAGGTAATAATATCTACGAACAATATAATAAAATTTAATGAATGAATAATATAATTAATGAATATATATTATGTTTTTCATGATGTAGGTTGGCTAGAAAATTATATTAGTATTATGTTTATGTATTACAAATTAAGAATAATATACCTACCTATATTACCTACCCATATATTTAAACACATATAAATACTTTATAAATATGGAACACAATATACCTAACGATATAAATAATAAATGTATACCTAACTATAATTTAATATTATCATTATTTTTATTAATTATAGCTACTTACTTGATACATACATTTAATATATATATATTATATATGTATTTAATATATTTATATATTATTATATATATATATATATATCGTAAAATTGTATGATTATGTTAACATGATGTGCTACTAATAGTTATAGTCACTTATAAATACTCAAATGCAAGGATATAATGTTTTTTTTTTTTTTTTATATATTATTTAAATATTTAAGTATAATTTAATGTTACATTTTAACGAATAAACTAATTAACTATGGAAATACGTATTGTAATAAGATGATTTTTTATTGAACATTTTATATTTAAAGTTAGTTATTATCAAGTATAGCAACTTTTCTGAAAGGAAATTATGTCTTTTTGGTACTTTTAAAAAGTTTCCAAGCTGTATTTAATGATTATGGGAAAAATCGGTAAAAAAACGTAGAAAAAACGGGAATTATATTACGTACATGTATAAAAGAAACTTTTTTCTGAATCGTTTTTCGTTAGCAACGGTTTATCATTGCGTACAGATATAAATTGAATTCCCCTCTATATCCTACCTTCCTAATATCTAATTTACAACAGTGGCCCAACCATCGTGCGAAATATGTTCGTTTTTTTTCATACTTTAAATATTTTTATATTTTTATATATATAATTTTTTTTTACATTTTTAAACTAATAACAGTCAAATTTGTATTTGTGGTTGTTATAAAAATTACAAAAAAAGTCGATACAGATGTCATGAAATGTGAAAACATTTATACAATTTTACAATTTAGATGTATGTCCGGTTGCACCAAACTTGTCGTTATCTATTGATAAATATTGTATTTATTTATAAAATGATAAACTAACGGTTGATAAATTAAAGTTTTAACGTGTGTTAAATTTACGAGTGTTAGCAGTGTTGCTCAATCATTGTTATAATATATTCAAGTTAATACCAGAATAATGGTAAACGAATAGTTTCACTATGCCGGCAGTAGAAGTAACACAAAATGTTGATAGAGAAATTTAACTATACTTACATACATTTTTACACGGCGATAAATGGGCCTGTTATTTTTTTTTAACTCTCGATAAAATACGTTTTTATCAACAGATAAAATTTAAAATAAGGTTTATATAATAGAATTAAAACTCCAGATAAACGATTTTATTTCTGTGTAAATATTTGGTTCGACCCGGAAATATTATGATTGTATGAACTATTTAAATATGAATAGATAGTGTTTTTGATAAGTTATACATGTTTTAATTTGTGAATATTTAAAATGATTTTGATTACGACATACTAGCATACCTAGCCCATAAGTATCTAATAGCTAAATTAGTATAGACCTAATTTTCATGCGTTTAAAATGTTAAGAATATTAGAATAAGATCTTTTTATGCTTTGTAATTCCATCAAAACATTCTTAAGCATGCCTTCACATTTATCAAATTCTAAAACTCGAAAATAAAATGGCTATAAGTATTTCAAAATTAAAGAAAATTGTTTGAACATATTACCACGTCTAGAGAGTACTAATATAAATATTTGATCAAAATTTCAGATTTCTACGATTGTTTTGAATTAAATTATAATAACAAAATCGAAAATATTTAATAAATTCATCAGAAAAAGAACCTGATAATACATCAACTGTCAACTAGATCTAAAATGTCTCATGAATGTTGTGATTGGAATAAGATTTTTATAAGAAAAGTTGATTACAATCTATAATACTAAATTAAAAATAAGAACATACTTCGCACTATGGGTGAGCCACTATTTTAGGTGAGAAGTTATGAAGGTAGGATATAGAGGGGAATTTAAAACTAGCCATACACGTTCCGGTTTGCCGGAGAGGTTGACCTGCACAGTTTTTCGGGAACGTGCGTGTGACAAGTTTGCGCAGTTTTTGGGAACTGTGAAAAACGATTTTTTTGGCCTATGCAGTCATGACTTTACAGGTATACCGGAGCGTGTATGGCTAATTTAATGTATATCTGTACTTAAAAATTAATCTTTACTAACGAAAAACGATTCTGAGCAGAGTTCAGTTGTAAATTTTTTAAAAAATTGTAATATTTACGATTTTAAAATAGAAAAAGTGCCACACTTGAAATCTGGTAGAAAAGTTGTTCACAGATAAAAATAATAATAAATATAAACACCATTGTAAAACCAATACATTCTATGCTCTACTTATTATTTAAAAATAATCTAAATTAATATAATATAATAAACCAAATGCATATCTTGCTACGCTCAGAATACAAAATTTAGAATATTAATAAATGAAAAAAAATAATCCTGGATAAAGTATTAAAAATATCAATGTATATGATCTATGTATCTGTACATTGAAAATACTCTAAATCAATTAAGGGAAGAAGAAATTGGAGGAATCAAAATAAATGGTATGCTAGTACAAGTGTTGCGTTTTGCAGACGACATAGCATTGATAGCGGAAAGTGAAGAAGAATTAGGCAACATGATAAAAAAAATGAATGATAGCTGTAAAGAGTACAAAATGAAAATAAATAAGGGTAAAACAAAAATATTAATATGCAGCAAGCAGGAATTGTTTTCGAACATAACAATTGAAAACGAGAAGCTGGAAACTTCAATGTTTTACGTATTTAGGAAGCAAAATAACACATGATGGAAGAAGCGAAATGGACATAAAGAGTAGAATAGCACAAGCAAAACAGGCATTTTACAAAAAGAAGCACCTATTTACGACAAATACTGTTGGCTTAAATATCAGGAAAACTCTAATAAAGAGTTTTGTGTGGAGTATAGCCCTCTATGGGGCAGAAACATGGACGATACTCAAAGCGGAAAGAAAAAAGATTGAAGCGTTTGAAACATGGTGTTGGAGAAGAACACTGAAAATTTCTTGGACAGAGAAAGTTAAAAATAAGGAAGTATAACTAAGAATGAACGAACAAAAATCAATATGGAAGATAATCAGAGAAAGGAGGAAAAATGGATCGGACATATTATGAGAATGAATGGATAACGACAATAATAGAAGGAAAGATAGAAGGAAAAGCTGAAAGAGGTAGACCAAGAACACCATTTATGAAACGGATCATAGAAGACATAGGGAAAACCAATTATAAGGAACTAAAAGTAGCTGTAATGGATAGGGACAAGTGGAGAGCCATCAAAATTATTCAACCAATCTAAGAATTGAAAGAAACAAAAAAAAAAAATTGATCTATATACATGTAATTAAACCCATTTATAGTAAATATTATAAAGCTCTATTAAACGCACTTCAAACAAAAAAAATAAATACAAAATAAATTATGCATAGAATATTTTAATTCTTAATATTTCATTTTCTGGTATTTTATACTTTTATATTAAAAGTAGTTGTGGTTGTATGGACGTATGGTAAAAACTTAAGTATGTCTGTTGAAATCACCGACAGGTTTAAGATCTGATAAAGGTTCTAATTTTTTTTATAAATCAATATATGTTATGCAAAATGCCCTAAAATATAAATATAAATATCATAGTGAATAAAATATACTGTTTTATGTTAATAGTAAATAATAATTATGTAAATCAATTTATTCACAATTTAAACATCAAGAAATCCCACCCAATAAGAGCAATACAATTTTACAGAAGAAAAGTAGAGTTTTAAAATAATAACATAAAAAACCAGTTCCTATATATTGAGGTAGGTACCTATATAATACAAGTATGAGTATCTACCTAATATCTATTATTGAGGTCTACAAAATTAACAAAATTAGAATCAGAGGAACAAAATTTAAATGAACGATTTTTGGTTATTAAAATTAAGTTTTTATTGAAATTATTCAAACTATTTATAAAAATATACATAATTTTATCGGATTTGATGAAAATTCAAGAATACTATTCTATTATAAATATAGGTATTTAATTGTATAACATGCTATATAAAATGTTTCATAAAGATATGATTATTTTAATATCTTGGAAAATGTTAGTTTATTCTTAATTTTATTTTTTTTTGAAAATTTAAGAAACAAGTATCTCTAAAGTGTTACATTATCATTATTTTTAGGGATAACCGACTCTCTCTTTTGATTTTAAAATGGCAACCTATATTAAAAATTCCATTAAAAAACGGGGAAATTAGTTTAAATACATTTCGTTATTGAAATATTTTTTTACTGTCAACCTGTTGACGAGATATTCAAAGTGAATCCACTTAAACATTTAAAATATTTTACTCATATACCTAGTTGTGTAATATAATAAATAAAGAAAATAATTATATATTTAATATGTTTTTTTGATTTAGATATTAGCTGTATCAGCTAAGAATTGTTTATTATTAACATATGGAATGACACTTGGACTACCAACAATAGCTATTCCAGCATTATACCATACTTCAATAACAAATTCCACTAGTTTAAAATATGATGATTTGCTCCAACTGAACAAAGAACAAATATCATGGTTCAGTAAGTAATATAATATAATTATAATAACTATTATTAGTATGTTTGATTATTTGAAAAATGCGCCTCAAAAATATTATATTTATTGTTTTTAGGTAGCATAAATTTAATATGTGTTCCTCTTGGTTGCTTGATATCTGGAGTTCTAACTCAACCTTTCGGAAGAAAACCTAGCATGATCGCACTCACTTTACCATTTATTCTGGCTTGGTTGTTATTTCATTATGCTGCATCTGTAACTGAACTATATTTAGCTTTAGCTCTATGTGGTCTTTGTGGTGGTTTGCTGGAAGCTCCAGTAAGTATACACTATACATTTACTGTATAGGTACAAATAAATGTACAATTATATCTAATTTTATTACACAATACAATATTATAATCTTAACAGGTGTTGACATACGTTGCTGAAATTACTGAACCTCATCTTCGAGGAGTACTTGCTGCACTATCATCGACTACAATAATACTTGGAGTTATGTCACAATTTATTTTAGGCAACTTTATACATTGGAGGATAGTTGCACTTATTAACACTGTTATTCCTGTAGGTGCATTAATAGCACTATTATTTATACCAGAAAGTCCTCATTGGCTTGTTGGTAAGTAAACATAAAAATATTTTAATTTCTATTTACTTTAACTAAATTAATTCTTTAATAATAATATATTTTCAATAGGTAAAGGTCGTATTGCAGAAGCTGAAAAATCTCTATGTTGGCTTCGGGGTTGGGTTAAACCAGATGCAGTGCAATATGAATTATCAATGATACGAAAATCAATAGCATTAAATGATGAAAAAATTAGAATGAAAAAGAACAAAAAATTTTATTCATTTTATGTAAAACGGACATTTTTGTTACCTTATTTCATCATTACTGCAACTTTCTTTTTTGGAAATTTTGGTGGAATGAGTACACTACAAGTACATGCTGTAAGTTTAAATATCAATATAAATACTACTTTAAACTATTTTAACTTTCAATAACAATGTTAAATATAATGTAAAATAGGTTCAAATCTTTGAAACATTGGGATCACCAATCAATGGTTATACGTCTACATTAATTCTTGGAATAGCACAATTGATGGGAGGTATTATATGCTTGTCAGTAATTCACTGGACTGGTAAACGTCCTTTAGTAATAATTTCAACGCTGGGATCATCTATTTGCTTTTTCATTGTATCAGCATATGCCTTCATACAACAATATAATAAAGAATTAATAATTAACGTTACTTGGATACCACTAGTATTCTTAAATACAGCTACTTTTATGACACATATTTGTATTCGATTACTACCGTGGATGTTAATAGGAGAGGTAACTAAAAAGTTGTTAAGTTTTTATTGTCATAACTAATAAATAATAATAGTTTTAATCAATTTAAAATGTTTGTATAGGTATATCCACCAAATATTCGAGGAACAGCTAGTGGTGCTAGTGGTTCCAGTTCCTATATATTTGCATTTATAGCAAATAAATCATATTTTGTGGTACTTGATTATATAAACTTATCAGGAACATTTTTGATATATGCTATAGTATGTTTAATTGGGTGTGTCATTTTAAACACAATGATGCCCGAAACAGAAGGGGTATCTTTAGAGGACATACAAGAACATTTTGCAAATAAATCCAAAACATTTGTTACACAAATCCAAAGAAGTGACAAAAATAAAGCCAAACAAATGTGGGCAGCAGCAAATCCTGCTTTAGAACTTGATCACACAGAAACCCACATATAAGATATTATTTCTATAGTATTTATTGTATTTTAATTATTTTTATAAAATGTTAGTTCTGAATATTTTTTATTTTATAAATAAATGTATTATAGACATATGCTTTTTAAGATTCTGATTTTGTTTTAAATTAATTAATAGTAACTAAATTGTAAATAAATACATACTATTGAATAGTTCAATTGTTTGATGATTTTGTTTTTATACAAATTTATTTAAAAGTTATACCTACATATAAATATTACCATATATGTTATGCCATTACTATTGTCTATCTAAGAGATTTTTCTTATTTTAGTTCCCACGCTGAGTTAGTAAGGTCTCTTTTAAATATTTAAGAAATTTAATAAAAATGAAAATTTAACATTGGAAATTTTGTTACTCACCTGAAAATAAATAGGAAGAACTTGTTTGGAGTGATCCTTATTTGATTATATTTTGTCAATTTTCCAAGGAGCAAAGTAGAAGAGGCCATACTTTTTTAATATGTATAAAACCAGATTAAGTACTAAAAATTGTCTTTAGAACTTCACAATTCTTTACACTACCAATCGCAAATCGGAAAGTGTCAAAGTCGTACAAGTCTTTTAATAGACAAGAATGTACCAAGTGCAAAAAAATATTCGAGAGGAAAAACTATTATAAACATTATATGAAAAATTATATCATGTTACATAGCTTTTCATTGTGCTCATTGTCTTAAAGTATTCTATTATAAATTAAATATTTAATTTATCATCATCATGAAACAAGTATTTTAAACAACATAATACTTAATTATATTTGTAACTTATGTGATCGGATTTTTTAACACAGAAATAATTATAAAAAACTTAAAGATTCTCATAATATGATAATTAGGTATTAGGCAACTATTTTGAATGCCAACATTGTTGTGCCTGTTTTTATCACCAATACGCTTTACAAGACAATCAAATCTATCATAATCACTAAACAAATCATAAGCATTGATTTTATATACATATTATATATATATATATATATATATATTAATATAGTATAATGTATATTATAAAATCGCGAGTAATTACAATTCGACATTTATTAAGTAGTACCTTGTCGTGAGGGGCGGAATGAAAATCCAATACACACCGGGAGATTAAATTATATCCATCAGTCATTAAGCCACTCAAAAAAAACGTAGGTAATAAATATCTATCAAACAATTTTTTTTTTAATTTGAACCAATGGCGAAGTCAAAATTTTGAATTGAGAGGTGCTAAATACGTTTTTACTTAAGACAAATGTATAGATAGGAAAGAATAAATAGGTTTAATCTCCCGCCAAAAACAAAAATTTAAAAAGTGATTTCATCGATATACATTTAAATGTAATACTTTAAACTTAAATGTATATTAAAAAAAGACGGACATACTTTGCACGTGGGTGCAACTACTAACGAAAAACGATTCTGAGTGGAGTTCAATTGGTAGTGGTGCTTAGGTATAGAATAAAGTCATAAAGAATAATAATTAAAAGAATGTATTAAAATCGAAATTTATTTTTTTTAATATAGCTTGGTTTATAGTAACAGGTGATTCATTTAAGTGAATATACTCATTATCTCGGAAAATATTAACTTTTCCGGAATTTGTTTACTAGAACATTTAAGAAACAGTAATTCTATAATTTTATATTCATGTTATTTTTTGTCACCCTTCTTTTTGTGGGGAAAATCACTACTTACTTTTGATTTTCAAATGGCAACCTACAATAAAAAAATTCCATAAATAGATGAAATATCAATTAAAATAAATTTGAGTGTTGAAAATGTTGGATTTCTGTCAAGCCATTGTCGAAACATTCCACTTTTAAGTTTAGTTTGGAAGAAAGTAGTGGAATATTATTTGTGTATGGCGGTAGGGTGCACGGCATGATAATAATGCACCACTACTCTAACCAAAACTTAAAAACGGAATATCTCGTTGACGGGTTAACGGAAATCAAAAATGTTGACACCAAAATGTCTTTAAAGTAATACTCCGTCTATTTCGGGAATTTTTAATATAGGTTCGCATTAGAAAAACCAATGTTGTCTCCATAGGATACTCAGTAAATGTTGTGAAAAATCTAAGTATTCGAAAATATCGGCTTTAACTTCACTTAAAAATTTATAATTTGATGTTTATAAATCACTTTGTATAAATCATTTAAAATCGATATAAAGTTAAATACTAATTACAATTATGTGATATTTTATTTGATAGGTTATAATAATAATAATTACAGTACTTCGCGTATGTTCAAAGGTAAGATTAAATTTGTTATCATTCCCGCCGTAACTATCCTTTTTTCCATGCTTAAAATAGGCTTTGAGTTGAGACATTACAATGTTTAAGAAACATAGAAATATGGCCTAATCATGTCTTTATTGCCCATGACAATAGAAACCTTGGTTCATGGTCACGATTAAAAATATTATACCTAACCGTGTTCATGGTAGATCATAGAGTTACCACTTTTTGATTATTTGACCATGTTCATAGTTAGGTTTATAAAGTATTATTATCTATTATTAATAATTTATTATCTATGTTTGTCAAACAAATCCAAATGTTTATTATCTATGGTTGGCTACACTGTGGCTGGCCTAACCTCACATAGTCACATATCAAAATTTCACATCGGTTGTTTCTGAAAACACTTTGCTTACCTTTTCTTTTTCTCTATAGTTTGGTTGTTAAAATGTTGTATGGTTTTTAACTTCTAAATAGTGTTTGTTGAATAACTGAGATCCACCATGAAGGTAATGTAAACTCATTATTATCTTATTTATTTATTGTGTAAATTTTATTATAAAGAAAATGTATAAATTTTGAGATGTAAATGGATTAAATTAGAAATACACAATAGCCACATAAAATTTGAGTTATTTATTTTTTAACTTTATGATCTTCGTTGTTACTGTTCTAATAATTCTCAACAACAATGTAATTTATTCTCCCGTAACTTCTTGAAAAATAGGTTAATTTATTTTACTATTAATAGTATTGTTTTATTTACCTACAATTACTAAACAATTGCAATTGTATAATATATTATTAATATAGTCCACATAAAAATCTTATATTTTTTTAATGTTGATATTTAAATATAAAGCATGTAAATAATATTGTAAAATTAAATGATTTAATTTATTAATTTTTGAGTATGGACCAAAGATTTTTAAAAAAAATATTAGAATTGTTAAGATTTTCTAAAATTGCCTATAATACCTGAATAATAATATTTAACTTGAATTATAATTAGCTGCATATGATTTTTGGTTAAAATTGCATAATAATCAATAATATATGGTATTAAAATTAACATTAAAAAATATGAAATTCGAAAAAGATCAACTGTTAATGACATTAAACATAATGTATTTATTGATGTTAGCTTAATTACTGCATTTTGTAGTTTTACATTAAACCAAAAGTTTCATTATACTATCTCTTGTTTTATTTTTTTCTATGTTAAGAATAATATTTATTTATTTTGCAACTAATTATTTACAATCCCAAGTATTTTTACTGTTCATTAGTATATACTAGCCTAGGAACTAATATTTATTGACACAACTATAATAACAGTAATTATCACATTATTATTACTTATTAAATACTTTCCATACTAATGTATTTTTCAAATTTCTAAAACTAGTATCATAATTGGTTTATTTATGTTTTCTTAGTTGAATATTTCTTATCCAGCCACGGGCAGTCAAAAGCTCTTTGAAATTGTAGATGAACACAAGCTGCGTGTATTCTATGAAAAACGTATTGGAACTGAAGTTGAAGTTGACATTCTTGGTGATGAATGGAAGGGTTATATTTTGAAAATATCTGGTGGCAATGACAAGCAAGGATTTCCCATGAAACAAGGTGTTCTGTCTACTGGTAGAGTTCGTCTATTATTATCCAAGGGACATTCTTGTTACCGTCCCCGTAGGGATGGAGAACGCAAAAGGAAGTCTGTACGAGGATGTATTGTTGATGCCAATCTCAGTGTTTTGTCACTAGTTGTTGTCAAAAAAGGAAAACAGGTATGTATTCTATTATTTTTTACAATTTTTTTTTTTTTTTTTTTATGAATCCGCATTTTCCTGTTAATTCATACTATTACTAATGTCTTAACATCGGAATGACGGTACATTAATTTGCACTTAAAGTTTTAAGAGTGTTTATTGTTAATCATTCTTAGTGTATAAGTGAAATATTATAGTATTATAAAAAAAACTTTTACAATGAAATACCAACAGTTTTTTCCTCAGACATTTTCATGTTGATATATTTAAATTATTTTTCAACATTGGAATGTCGGAAATGTAATTTTTGTATAATGTTTTGTGATTGATGATATTATTATTGGTTATTGTTTTTATAAATTTAATATATTTTATCTAAATTTTGTAGTCTTCTCTTATTATTAACCAATGCCGAGGTTCATTCAAAGTTTTATGTTTAAATAACATGGGAATTTCGATAAGCTATTAATGTTTGAGGTTCTGAAACAATTAGAATATGATGAAAATGATACAACATTTTAAAATGTATTAATATTAAACAATAATAATAACAAACTCATTCAAATTTCAGTTCAATTTATTTATAAACATATAATTACAAAATGTTAAATAATATTTTTATTTTTTTGTCATTATATAATAATTTACTGTATAATTAGTATTTGTTTTTTATTATAAATGATACTTAATATTTACAATACTTAAAAAGGCAATGTCGATTCCTAAAGTTAATATAAGTTTGTCTTTGTTTTAGAGCAACGTATATTTTATATTACTACGAAAAACATTAAATGAATATATTTCAAATATTCTTTAATTGTATGCATTTTTCGAAGTAAATTTATCATAAATCATTGAGAAATTCCTATTGTAATCTCATATTTTTACATACTAAACCATTCATAAATTATTTAACTAATTAAATAGTTACCAAATTAGTCATGATTAATTGTTAAATAGAAAGAAAGTTGCCAGTAAAGTAAAGTAAAAAAATATATAAAAACGATAAATATTCAATTACTGTGCATATGTGAGAATTTCAAAGAATATTCATCATATTTTAAGTTTTTTATGGACTGTTAATAATATTAACGACTTATTGAAATTCCCATATATTTTAAATTTAAAACTTAAAGTAATTTCTGATATGATTAAAATTAAATGTTATGTTTTACCTGCATGTGGTGGCATTCAGCCGCGCAGCATATCAAATTTTCTTTCAATAGGGACAACTTATTGTTTTTAGTTTTGATATAAGTGTGAGTTGCCTGGCCTATTATCAAACTTAAAGATATTGGACATCATCTGTGTGTCTTTTATGTGAATCACAATTTATTAAAAATGCTTATAAATTAATTTTTAAAAAACAATGAAACTACAATTATAATGTGTGTGGTAATATCTTAAAGTTTGATAAAAGGTCAATTCACTTTAATATAAAAACTAAAAGCACAACATTGTCCTTGCTGGTACTATATCCTCTTAAAGATAATTTTTACAATGTGTAGAAATAAAAAATGTATGTTGGATTAAAAATAACAGCTATCCTATTGTGCTAATACCTTTTTAGTATTTTAAGAGTACAAAATTTTCTTTGAGACCCGATATTTTCCTGTTGGTTTATTTAAAATAATATTTTGACATCGGAATATCGGAAAAGTAATTTTCGTCTATTGTTTTAAGAATGATCATTTTTATTATTGATCATTTTTAGTGTTTAAACGATATATATTTTTTGAAAGTTAAATTTTTCATCATTTATTTACATTTTATAAGAAACCTTTGTACAGATTTAAATTTTTAGACTAAGGTGTTTGGGCTGTGTCTTGAGCATTGATAGTTTCTTCTCCTTGGTGCATATCTTAAAATTTGACAATATGAGATTATTTTGAATATTGATAAAAGTAGATTCTTCCATAGTTGTTTTATCTGGGGGAGTGAGATTAGTGGTATCATGTAAATCTATTATTTTCTAAAAGGCTTTTTGAAGACCAACAAAAACTGAGATATGCACTTTAAGAAACTATATTATTTATGTTAAATTAAAAAATAAAAATTGTTTTTATTAAAACCAAAGATTTTCTATAAATATATTTTGGTGTTTTAAATTACTGATAACCTTCTAACAATAATTATTATTGGTGAAATGTTTAATACCATTATATTATTATTGATAAGATTAAATTTGTATACAATTTATTTTGGAATTTATATTTTGATAAAATTTTATTAACTAATATATTGTTAGAATATATCTAACACGCAAGTGCCCCTGGGTTAAATTTACTGATGAATAAATATTGTTATAAATATTTGTAACACTACCATCTTTGATCTATTTTAGAGATTATGTAAAATAAATTTTTTATTTTTAAAGAAAAACTTAAAAATTGAATGGAACAAAAATAAATGCATGCATTAATTCTTGATTTCATGCACTATATATATTGAGGCATTATGTACTAATTATTTACATTAACTCTAAAATGATTTTTATTTTAATTTTTAATAATTATTTTAGGAAATTGCTGGATTAACAGATGTACAAGTTCCAAGGCGACTTGGACCCAAACGTGCTAATAACATCCGTAAGTTATTCAACTTGCAAAAAGAAGATGATGTACGTAAATATGTGATTAAAAGGCCTTTGGCATTAAAGGAAGGATCAGCAAAGCAAAAGTTTAAGGCCCCGAAAATCCAACGTCTTATTACTCCAGTTAGACTTCAAGTAAATAATTTGAAATTAAATATTATTATCTAATACCTGTGTACTAGCATAAATAATATAATTTTATTTTTAATATTTATGTATAGCGTAAACGTCATATGCTGGCACTCAAGAAGAAACGTTGTTTGAAACGCAAAGAACAAGCTACTGAATATGCTAAGCTTCTTGCGCATAGACAAAAGGAAAAATTAGCCAAGAAACGGGCAGAACAGACTCGCAAACGTACATTGTCCCAATCATCTGTTTCTAGTTCTGGTACAAAGAGCAGCAAAAAATAAATTAATGAAATAAACAATTTTTAATTGTACTTTTGAGTTGTTTTTTTATATATATATATACAAAATTAATTTGTATTATAACTCATTGTAGAGCATGATTTTAATTTCACGCTAAAATACGAGGGGAACCCAAAAAAACTGAACTTGAGATTACTATTCATAGATATAATAAAAAGTTCTACCACTAAATGAGGTTATTAAAGACCTTCATGAAACAGCTGTTCAGAAATTATATTATGTAGGTAAACGTTTAAGCGTGATATTGTTTTGTTCCGCCTGTGAAGTCATTATGGTAAATTTAAAAAGTCCCATATTTTTGAGGTCTCCCTTCGTATGTCATATAATTTACAGTAAAAAATGCAGTGAAAATAATTAAAATATTAAGTAACATGGTACATATATATTTTTATTATTTCTTGAAAAATTCTTTGGCAAGAAATGCATTTTTCATTAATTAAGGTGCCTGGTTTTTGTTGAAATATAATATTCAGTAAACATACAAATTTGTTCTGTTCATAAATTATTAATAATTGGCCATTACCTGAATCAGTTATTGGCTTTAAAAAATTGAGTACACAAATATCAATGTTGAACATATTTTTGGATGAAAAAAAAATATGATTATAAAGTTATTCATTTATTGGTTGAACACTTAATTAATAAATGGTTGAAACAATTTTTTATAATTATGGACACAAATACTGATATGTCTAATCTAATATTATTTTTAAATGTTACTTATCTTAATCAAATGAACATTTTTTTAAATCTCTTGATCCAGTCTTTGCTATCATTCATATCACTTGACTAGACGATTTTGGTAGTTTTAATACTAACTTATAAATTAATAATAAAGTAAAATCAAAATTATGAAAATGGTTAATACTTGTAAATAATGAATGAATAAATGTATTGCCTGGGGGTATTATAAGTGTATTATACTCCAGGCGACACTTATTTTTTATTTTTATATATACATTATTTATATATTTATAAATTAATACTGTTTTTGTTATAGAAATTAAATATTAAGTTTAATAAGTTATATTAATATAATATCTAAAATAAAAATGATTTTTGTTTAACACATGTTTAAGGTGCAGAAGAACCTCAGCTAATAGCACACATATTAAGTATACATAAATATAACCTTAAATACTGGATCTTTTATTGACTATGACGTTTATTTAACGTCAGAGACTTGCCAGAATTCATGTTTAAATATATTATTTGCAACTACCAATAAGCTCTAAGGATATATTTGATGATTGAACTGGCTCTCTGTTGTGCACACGTATATTGAACTTAATTACTAATGTAGTAAAATCAAGTAACATACGTAGGAGGATAAAAAGTTCCCAGAATTTTATTTTATTTTCTTATGTATACAACTTAAACTTAAATTTACTTAATCTTCAAAATATTAACCTTCGACTCGCTTACTCCAAAAAATGTGTAACCACTGGAAACATCTTAGATATCTCTCTTTTGGTATGGTTCTGAATACGCTGTTGCTTTAACTTAAATGTCTTATTGCCAAACTTTCACCTTTCAGTTCAAGCTTTAGATTCGAAAATAACCAAAAATCATATGGGGTTTAAGTCTAGTTCTTGAGGAAGAAAAAAGTAAAAATATTACTAAACGCCCAATGCTTATATTTTCCGTGTCCCTTCTGACCAATGACCCGTGATTAAATTTTTGATTTTCTCATCACTACGGCAGTTTAGAGGTGAGTGTTCGCGGACTTAGAAAAAATTGTATTGTTCAATGACGCTGTTTGACTCTCTGGGTCAAAACTAAATTTAAATATATCGGAAAATGTTATACAAGGTTTTTTATTATTATAGTGTCCAAATAAAACGCTTTTCAATGACATGGCTTTTGGGTAAGTGAGAAATAATTGTTAAAATCTATAAAATATTAAATTAAAAATATATATATATATACCCCAACAAGAAATTTTAGAGATCAAAATTTTTCTAAGACAATAAACGCGCACTTTTAAACCTGTCATTTTCTGCGGGAAATAGAAATGTATTTGCCATATCTTGAATGCGTAAACGACGATCTAATTTAATCAAATGTTGATTTTTTTCGATTGTTTAATCATTTATTAAGAGTTGACGGTCAGCCAATCAAGCTATTATCGTACTCAAGTGATTTGACTATTTTTGAAACGTTTCAACCAATTTTTAACGGCTGTTTTTTTTTTTTTATAATGCTTCATCAATCATCACCATAAACTGTTTTCAAACATTTGAGCGTTTCTGCAGCAGTTTTGCCAAGTTTAAAATTTAATGTTGGCTCGTTGTTCAAATTATGACATTTTGTAAAAATGTTTAAACCCATATGGACATAATTAGGGCAAACTCGATGCTAAAATAATTATAATAACTAAACCTACAAATTGCCAAGGTAATTATAATACATTATACAACTACCTTGCAGATAACAAATAGTGTTTACTTTTAAATTTTGATACTGGTTTGTTATAACCCCGCCATCCATATAACAATAAATACACCCTGTAAATACAAAATAATTTGACGGAAAATACGTACCATTACTATTGGGTGGCCTACCATAGGTGTTTATCACAAATAATCAATAATATAATAAACCCATATAGAAAATAATGAGTTTATTGTTATTTATTAAATCTAATAATTTGAGGATATATTGATGTAATATTAAAAAAAAATTCAAAAAATGTTTATGCTTTCCCTGATTCTTGTGATATTTATAATTATAATATTTATATCCTCAAATTATTAGATTTAATAAATATCAATAAATAAACTCATTATTTTCTATATGGGTTTATTATATTATTGATTATTTGTGATAAACACCTATGGTAGGCCACCCAATAGTAATGATACGTATTTTCCGTCAAATTATTTTGTATTTACACGATGTATTTATTGTTATATGGATGGCGCGGCGATAACAAACCAGTACCCATATTTTAATTCAAATAATAATTCCAGATATTTGATAAAAAAAATAGATTTTTCTATAAATAAATTCTGGGAACTTTTGATCCTACTTCGCATATTATACATTTGTATTGTTTTTAGAGTACACAAAGTGTGTTAGCTACAAAAGTTCAAGTGTAGTACTTTTTCTGAAAGGAAATCAGAATGGGGTGGTATTTTTAGGAGGTCATTTTTTGATATCCCAGGGGTTTTCTCAATAAATGGGAAAAATTTAGAAAAAACTTGACAATTTACGAATCGTAAATATTACAACCTTTGAAAACATGTGTACCTAACCGAACTCCTTTCAGAATCGTTTTTCATTATCATTGGCTAATCGTTGCGTACAGATATAAATTTAATTTCTTCTCTACCTTCCTAACTTTTCACCTATAACAATAGCTCACTCATCATGCGAAGTATATAAGTTTTATTTTTTTTATAAAATATGTTATAGGTGTATTATTTTTAAGCATATATGTGGTAAATATTAAAATCACTATTCATTCATATGTACTTTTTTAAATAAATAATACGTTTTTAAACTCGCATTATTTAATATATTTGTTTTTAAACCTATCTATTTAACATGTCCTTTATGTTTTAAAGTAAGAATGATTTATTTTATTTGTTTTTATTTTCAGTTTTCTGAAAAATTATAATTTTAAGAAAATTTGGATTGAAGCCTGTAAATTTGTAGATACTTCATTGAAACCATCTCACAAATTATGTTCTATCCATTACTCTGAAAATTCATATTTATCTAGGTTTCTTAAATCTAAAGGTTTAAACCATCATCTGCTGTTTCATCATTATTTATTAATTTATGGTAGATAATCATACAAACATATTAACTTATATTATCTATAATCTTCATTAATAAATGAAAGTTATACAATTAATTTTTTTTAAACTTAATCATTTATTTTTAGCTCAGAAATGTGTCGTATGTTGATCGATTAGTTAATATCCATGCTCAAACATTTAAATAATTTTAGAATATAATTTCTCTTGTATTTATAGCAGCACAATGCATATGTGATTGGTTTAAAAACTAAATTTGCTCTGTATAATCATGGTAGTTTAAGTTTTTAAAAGTTGTTTAGTTAGTGATATTTAAAATATTTCATTACCAACATTACTTTGTTGACACCCAAAACTGATTTTATGAAGAGTAAAATAAGTTTTTTTGTGTATTCGTAAACCTAGTTAAAATGATTTTGTAAATTAAATAGAAAATAAATACTATACAAAAAATAGGTGGTACACAAAAAAATAGTTAAAAACCATATACTTACATATAATAAAAAAATAAATATAACAAAATATAATTGAGTTACTTTATTGTTACATACAAATTGTAACATTTAACATAGAATAATTATATACATATTGTAAAAAAAAAATGGTATCATGTTTACATATTTAAAAACATGATATAAGTTATTAACAAATAATTCAAAAACTAACAATATTATTAAGTCAATAAATAACTGACTATTTATAATAGAATTGTAGAATACTACATATGTTATTACAAACTTCAATAATTTTATATGAGCAGATAACATAAATTGATGATAAATATATTAATAATACAAAGATTATATAATTTTTTTTTATGTAAAGTAGTTAAATTATCATTTGTAATTTGAAAGCTCGAGTTCCTTAAAAAGATGACGGCAATATTGACTTCCGATTGATAAAGGACAATCACATTTCAATAATAACTTAGAATCGCTTTCCGAAACAGTTTCAAAAGCTATAAAATACTCTTGATCAAAAGCACCTAAAATAACAAATATTATTTTAGAAACAAAAACAGTACATTTATTGACCATGAGTATATTTAATTTTTTTGGCTTAGTATAAGACATTTAGGCCCATTGCTGCAATCACCACATCTATTCATGTTTTCTGTCATTAGCTAATTCATCGTTATTTATTACGCCTAGCATTTGCAGGTCACTCCTAATTCTGTCTACTCATCTTTATCTTGGCTTTCCCAGTGGCCCCTTTCCATTTTAACCATGAGTAGAAGATACCACCATTTACCAAAAAAAAAAAATTAAAATTCTAGGAAATTGATAGAAATAAAAAAATAATTATTTTTTGGGTGTTATAATATAATGAGAAATGGATTTTTTAGATTCTGAGCAAAGTGTGGTTTTATATAGATGTTTATTTTTTTATACTGTAAACAGAATTTCTACCAGAAATCTTGCTCTAATTTTCAAGTATAGCACCTTACCTGAAAGAAAATTTATATTGTTGGTACTTTAAGGAGATTATTTTTTGATTTTCAATTTTGTTTTTTGTTGTAATTTAGTTAAAAATGTTTGTAGATTTGAAATTTTGGCTGAAAACTTATACTCGCCTATTCTAGGAGTGGTACAATTTTCAAAACATTTGAGGCATTTTGGTTTTGCTGAGTTTATTAAGTTAATTTTTATTTAGTAGGTACTCTATGGATATAATTGTTAAACTCAATAGAAATGCTTAAATAATTTAACAGGAGATTCATTATATCGTATTTTGAGGTAAAAAAAAAAAATTGAATAATGTAAATTTTTTTCTATAAATTTAATATAAAATTTTGCCGAGAATTTAAAATATTATTACGGTCTTTCAAAATATGTATAACTGAACTTTACTCAGAATCATTTTTTGTTAGTAATAGTTACATACAGATACATATTAAATTCATTTCTATATTCTACCTTCCTAACCTACTTCATCTACAAAAGTAGCCTATTAATTGTGCGTAGTATGTCTGTTTTTTTTTTAATATTAAAATGTCTTGTATTTAAAATTGACATTGTTTGTATATTATTTTCCAAAAGAGTAAAATTAAAATAATTAATTTTATACTAACTTATATCAATGTTTTCACGACCAATGGCTGTAATTGTTAAAAATAGAATATCCCTGTATAATGAATGGCTATGAACAAATGACTTTTCATTTCCTCGCAATTTGTTTCTTTCAATAGCTAATTTTTTAAGTGGATCAGTTAGATTATTATGTCGAATGTTTGATATTATTTTGTTCATTACACTAAAATAAAATAATTAATGGTTACTCAATCATAATAAAAAATACAATGCAAATGTATTTAATTTATTAATACAAATTAGAATAGAACATTCTAAATTAAATATTCACAATAAAAATATTTATAATTAGATCTTACTTTTTAGGTACATTATTGCGATCAGTAACCAAAGCACTTATTAAACAACTTTCTTTAGATTCTTCTTCAGACCAGAATGCATACATTGGGAAACCTAAATCATCATAGAGTTTTGGATTATCCCACAAAGTAGTTATTAATACATTGGAAGAATCGCATGTTGACCAAATATTATGAAAATCAATAATATTTCGATCCCCCAGTATACAATTTGCATACAAACATAAACCAGAAATATGTGATGGTACTGCTATTCTTTCAAACACCCAAACCTTTAAAATAAAATTCAATCAAACAAAATAAAATAAACAAATTTGAATGATTGTTTCATTACTTACAAGATTCCAATAAATTATAGGATGTTCATCAACAAATTTGGAGTTAGTTAATGAAATATCACCTTCAGCAACTAGAATAGATTCTAGTTCTTTACGTAATACAAGAGGATTCAAGTAAGGAACTGTAATTGTATCAGCTTTGTATTCATTATTTGTTACTTCTAAAAATTAATTATACATAATTAAGAAATATTAAATTATAAACAAGTACAAAATAATTTAGTAAAATCAATAAGATTTTTAACGAGGTGTTAGATTTTTTCATGAAATTAAAGCATAATTGATGCAACCCACATTAATAATGTCTTAACCACCCGATGATGATTTTTAAAATCATTACCAGTCATAAATAAATACAATCAATTATCATATTCTATGCCAAGTTTTTCTTCATATTTATTACTTTTAATAGTTTTTGTGTTTTAATACATTTACCAGTACTACCATATTTTTTATATGATTCATTTTAATGATAGAAATAATGTTTACATCAAAATAGATGTTAGATTAATAGAATTATAGTTTCAATACATTATAACAATAAATGTACCTTTTTTTTTCTGTTCCATTAATATATCAAAATTTTCATGATTATTATGAAAATCAGTTTCTTCTGTTATATTGCTGCTTTTTGATCGATAATCAATAACATCAACGGTCAAAAATGGTACTACTTCTTTGATGCATAGTCTACATCTGTTATAAAAAAATAAAACCAAATTTTAAAAATGTTAAACATTAAAGATTGATTATTTTATTGTTTACTTTGTATTTAAATTTGAATCATCTGGAACCCAACCAGACATTATTTCTTCATCAAATAGTAAACATCCACAATTGTGACATTTTGAACAAGAAGTTATAATGATTTCTAAAGCAATTAAATCTGGTGTACGACTAGAACGACTGTAAAGTTTTTCTTGAAACAAACTTAATTGTGATGAATCCATTGTTGCACAGCCTAATTTTTTCATGTAAAAAATATACAATTAAAATAAAATACGAATAATCAATTTTAAAGTAGGTCATTAAAAAATTAACCAGAATTCATATTTGTAGAACTACTTTTTCTGTTCCCTTCAGTGAAAAGTTCAATTAAATTTGAACTCCACGAATCTAAATGTTGAGCAACAGCAAGAGAAGATATTTCACTAGATATTTTACGTCTAACACTGGGTTCATTGAACTGTTCATTGTCTTCTCCAAAACAATTTTCTTCTTCTTTTTGACACCTGAATGTCAATTAAATAGATCAAGTAAATTAAACAATAAATAAAATATCTAACGAAATTATGTACTTGATTAAACATGGTTGCCACAATTTTCAAATTGACAAATTCCCTGACTTTTCCATGTTTTCCAGGTTATTTTATTTTATTTTCCATACCCATTATTAAAATTAAATCTCAATATAAGTTAAAATTTAGAAAAGTTGTCCACAGGAAAAAAAAATAAACATTTTTGTAAAACCATAAGCTTCTTCACTCCACTCATAATCTAAAACTTGGTACAAATAAGTAAATACCTTAACACAAAATAAAATCCTTTAACTAAATGTATAAAAAAAAATATATTTAATTACCAGGTATATTGACTATTTCAAAAAAAGAACATATTGAATTATTTATTCAGTGGTATTAATCTGATAATAATATATACTGTAAACACTTGACATTTCTGAATATCAATATTGAAAGTTTTATATTAAACTATCAATATTGTCATTAAATATTATCAAAGTCAATATCTAGTTTAATTTTTGATATGCCATGATTCTTGAAACCATAAATGGCATAAATAGTTAAGAAATTATTTCTTTTTTTGAATTTCAGAAAAAAATCACTGACTATCCCGGACCAATATAAAATCCCCTGACTTTATAAGATTTTCCCCGTTTTCCAGGTGTGGTGGCAACCATGTTAAAATAATTTAATCAAAATATCATTAATATTTTGGAATTGGTAATTAATATAAACATTATAAACCATAATAAATTGTTACTCCGTAATGGTAGTTATTTAAAGTTTTCTAAAGCAGTTAAAACTAAACTTAATAACTAGTATTAAAATATTCACTTACTGAACATAGTCTTTTACAGGTGTATTATTTGTAGATATTGCTTCTTTGATTTCATCAAATTTTTTTACCATTGTATTTGCAAAACTAGTTAGTCCTCCCATTAGAAGTTCATTTGACTTTTTTCCAGAAAAACTTGATGAACTGAAAACAAATTATTTGGATGCATTTAGTAAAAATTATTATAAGTGAAATAATATTCAAAATAGATAAAAATTTTTAAACATATTACATATTTTGTTTGCATATATATATCATTAAAAAACAATACATAATAAATAATTTGTATACATAAAATATGAGTGTAATACATCTAATGCTATTCTAAACTAAAAACAATACAGTAGTATCTATTTTAGTATCTTAAAATTATAAATTATGAATATTAAACAATACTTTACCTGAGATTTGTGATTGCATTTTCAATAATGTTGGTACCCTTACGGAAGTCAGACTTACGTGGTAATGAGAATTTAGTTGGAGTATATTGACTGTAAATGGAAAAAAAAACTAAAACTACTATGCAAAAAGTATTCTACAGTCTAAAAGTAAATAATAAATACAAATAATTAAATTTATTAAATAATAATAATAACAATAATTTTAAATAACCAAACATAAATACTGGCCACAATTAATAACTGCAATAAAAAAAAAACATTGAATGGTAGCATTAAAATACTATTAAATTACCTATACAATGCAAGTCAAAAACTCAAACATGTCTAACAAAAACTGAAAAAATTAAAATGTTAAATTTGTAAATATTTGTCAGTTTTTCCTATATAATCGATTTCAGTTTTTCCCAATTATTATAAAAATCACTAAGACAATCAAAAAGTTACCTTTTTAATAAACCCACTAGATCCAAAATACAACAAAAAAATATCTTTTTGAAGCGAGATTTCTGGTAAATTGTTTAAAAGACAAGGGAAAAAAATAATTGCTTACAACATAAAAAAAACCATACATTCCTCGATATGCCCAGTATCTTATAATGATTGAAGAATAAATTTAAGTATTTTAAAACCTAAACTTCTATACAGGATATTCCACTTAGATAAATATAATAATTTATTAGCATATATTTTATTCTGTTCAATATTAATATAAAAACCTAGGGCTGTGGTTCCTTTATTTTATATATATATATTTTTTTTCAAACTCCAAGATGACCATTTAATCCATATATTTTGTAACAAAATTGTGGCGATACAATATGTACTAAAGATTCATTAAGTATCAACAATTTTTTGAAATTTACAAAAATCATTAACAAAATTATTATTTTTCATTGACAAATTGGGGAATCACTTAATATTATTTATTAGAAGCAATGAAAACAATTTAAATTATCCTATAGACCAGATAAACAAAATAATATTGCTAGGCTTTACTAACTATTGCATTTGTCGAATTTTTGTGGAACATTGTATATTAGCCATTATATTAAACAATATATTTTACATTTTACTTATAACATATACACCATAGCAAGCGTGTGATTCTGTACACCGCAGATGGTAAATCATAATTTGAATGTTTAAAACATTTAAAACTGGGAGATTTACATTACATGTTGAAATAGGAACATAAGTTATTGTATCGAGTTGTTGAAGATAATAGTGTTATTTTTCTACTATTGATAAAGTTCTTCAAACATTGGAAATAACACATAAAATTTAATATATATCTGTAAGCGACGATAAACAATTGCTTTCGAAAAAACAGATTCTGAGCAGAGTTCAGCTGATAGTGATGCTTTGTCAACAATATATAAATATACAATTTTGTAATAAAATAATTAAATGAGCTTTATATATTTTGTTTAATGTTATACCAATTTTCCAGTTTTCCTATGATTTTCTCTGTTTTGCCATGTTTTATCCAAGGTTTTCATATTTTCTAGGAAAAATTAAATAATGATCTTCCTAAAGTACCTTCTCACATTGATTTCCTTTTAGAAAAGGTGCTACACGTAGAAATCCAAACAAGTCTTCTAGTAAAAAAGTGGCAGATATAAAAAAAAAAGTAAACATCTTTGTAAAATTATAAGCTTCTTCGCTCCACTCAGAATCTAAAATTGTGTTTCATAAAAACTTTTAGAAACGGCTAAGTATGTCGGAAGAAAACATTGCTATTTTACTATAGTCATTGATTTAATAATAATAGAAATATATATTTAATCAATGAAATAGATAAATATATAGTGTAATAAATAGATGTATAAATTATGTTTAAGCTTAAATTTTTTTTTTTTTTTATACAGTTAATTCAATTTACGCATCAAAACAGAAAATAAATTCATCATTGATTATATAAAAGCAAAAAAAAAAACAACAAAATACAAGTAAAATAATTGGTATTTTTTTTTTTTTTTGATTATGCATATTTATTACCTACCTTAATTATGGCTATATCCATAATTACATTGTATAAACACTTTTAAAATCTACTATATTTAAATGATTTTAAATAAATAATTACAGTAATTAAGTATCTACTTATTCAATTATTGTTTCAATCGGATTTATCAATCTCAAATTTATACATAAAAATTGATAAAAAAACTATAAAAATGTATAATTATAAAAGAGCAATAATTTATATGAAAAATTATAGAAGGCAACTAGATGTTGGCACATTAGATAATATCTTTCTACATTCAGCCCAAAAACATAGTAATAATTTTAATTTGATGACTATAGTTGAATTGAAGTTAAGATTTTAAACAAAGTTGCATACAGTATCCACCCAAACATAGGACTTTAGTTAAATTTCTTTTTTAACATTTGTTAAAATACTGAGAAAAAAATTAATTTATTAAAAGTATTATAAACAATTAAAATCTATAAATAAGGTTACATGAAACTAAATTATTTTTACTGTCTAAAATGGTTAGGAAAAAACAATTTTAAAGAAGCATTGTAAAACTCACCCCTCAGATCTTACATTGCTAAAAATCTAAAATTATAATATAATGACATTTAATATAAATGTAGTTACAGAGATATATTAGGTAATTTATATTTCTTAACTAAAATACCAAATACTTTTCATAAAAAGTATAAAAAAGGAAACATTTTTCAATTAAATGAAAAATAAATACCTAATATTTGAAGTCTTCAATATTAACAAATTTGTATAGACATTTTTACCATTTTAATGGAATAAATTAATTGTATTATTATACAATTATGTATTATGTTAAGTCAGGGTGGTCCAATCTTTCGTAGTTGGCGTAGTTCATAAAAACACCGCAAAAAGAAAAGAAGATGTCCTAGAATAATGGGGATGGATGCAGTCACTGTTATAGGTAATTTAATGTATACCTGTAAGCGACGATAAACCTTTGTTTACAAAAGCATTATTTTTGTTCAGCAGAGTTCAGTTGATAGTGATACTTTGTCAACAATATATATATCATCTTATAGTAAAATAACTAAATAGGCTTTATATATTTTCTTTAATGACATTTGTTTAATGTTTTACCGATTTTCTCAGTTTTCCTGCCTTTTTCCCATGTTTTATCCTGGTTTTTCATGTTTGCTGGGAAAACTTTGGGAAAATTGAAAAATAACGTTCCAAAAGTACCTAATTAGTCAAATTTTCTTTCAGAAAGTTTTCTAGGGGGAAATGCTTTGAGGGCTGCATGTGAGTTGGACTACCCTGTGTTAAGTAATATCGAGATTATCAATATTCAGATAGGCTACTAACCTAGGCATTATACTATTATAATAGCTACATGTTCTTCTAGTGGAAGTAAAATAAATTTCATAAAAATACATGTATTAATAGAATTATGAAATGTTGAAAACATTGCATATGTCCTAAGTATAATATAAAATATTTATAGACATCTTGCATGATTAGGTATACTAACTATCTAATATTGAAAAATGGATTCTGTTAAAACGATCACCTACAATTTTAATAATGGAAGCTGGAAGAGAAGCTATAATCAATACTTTTTCTTTATAAGTGAACCCATTAAAACGACAGTCTAAACTAGTATTTAAATCTTGTTATATACTTCGTTAACTACACAGATCTAACTCATGTGAAACTAAGTAAAAATTTGATCTAATGTAACACTATTTCGTAAGAAGTTAAACTTCCAAAAGCTCATAGGTTGGGCTTTTCGGTGAAACTAGATTCAAAGATATCACATCTGGTAGCAACTAGCAACCAAGATCACATCTTAGTACATAATAGTATCGCAGAAACCATAAAACTCAATGCAAGATAATACATCTCTAAAGGCTGTTAAATAAAACATTTCCCAGATAACTCTAAAATGATCAAAATAGTTACAAATGTATGCAGAACAGTATGAAAACTTGTTAGTCCAAAGTGTTAATTTTTAAAATACTAAAAATGTATTAGAGGAATCTGTTAAGGTTACTTCTGATTATTACATCAAAAACTCTTTCAAACTTAATCCAATCATAATACAAGTCTGTGCATTCAACTCCATATATCCTTAATAACTAAGCATCATCATGGACCGAACTTAAAAAAAAAAAAATGAAAAATACATACAAGGAATGACAAACTGCATGAACTCATATACTCTATATGAAAGGGCGATGGCAAATTCCCATTTATTATGAATATCTGCTGTATCAAACTGTTCCCTATTGATGAATACACCAGTTTCATGTGGTGTAGATCTGTTCATAAAAATAGGTAGATATCACATTGAACAATTCTATAGCCAAATAATAACAGGCTTTCATAAGAACATTCCACTTACCAAAGTGGGATCATTTCACATCTACAGAAAAGTCAAAGTGGACAAAGAAAGTTGAAAAAACATGACATCCATGGCACAGACAAATTTTAATATAATTCTCAACTAAGGCCCAAGAAGATTTTTAAAAATGACAAAACCCCAGGAAAAGCCCTGCAAAGAAATATGTAGAAAAAAATAGAATTTATCTATCTCCTAAGACAACAAGTTAGAGATCAAACCAATGCAATCTCTTCAATCAAGATACAACATTGACTGACCAACTCAGAGATCCTTTAATAGGTTTAGAGTGAGAGTAGGCAAATCAAAAGACAATCTAAAAGATTTGAGTATTTTACAAGACAACTCAATAAGATAATAGTGCAACATTGAACAAATTGTGGAATACCAACTGAACTTCCAGGGCTACACATCCTTTAAGAGTCTTATCCTAAGACATTAGCAGTTATACCGAATTCAATAGAGTGGCAAGAATGTGGACAAGAAACATTTAAACAACTAAATATGATTTAACACGTGTATTACCATGATGTTACCTTAATTTTACTAATTTATTTATCTATCTAAATACATTTATACTTTAAATGTTATTTATTATTCTACAATATATGTTCGCTTTAGCCTGTATGGCTGTATGACACAATAAAAAGGGTAAATCCCATACCTGAATTTTAAAATAAAATGTACAAATTTTAAAAATAAACCAACAATTATTGCTTATATTATATTATAGGATAGATTTTTATTGAATGGTACTTAAATCAAACTATGATAATAAGAATAAGTACATAATAAATTGTAATGATTTTTTAGATTTGAAATACATAAAATGCTAGTTTAAAATATATAGGTACTAAGTTTTTTTTTTAGATACCTATATATGATATTAATTACTATACAATATATATAATATTTATATTTAGTTTTATTAATATTGAAAACTACCTTATATCACTGATTTTATAATATAACATCTATTATAAAATCAATGCTTTTACTATATTTTTATATCAATAAATTTTTACTTACGAAAAGGGAATTTTAAATGCAGATCCTAAAGCAGACTTTATTGGACTCTGTTGAAAATCTGTTTCAGTAGCACCACGGACTGGCATAGTGGATGATCTTTGTATATGTTTTTCAACATTACCTACATCCTCACTGTAAGTAGCACTACGGTGCATATTACCATTACCCCATTCACGAAATAAAACAGGCGATCCACTACGATCGAGCTCAATGCCAGACCGTACTCGTGGAACAGTGACAGATGTATTCGGGGTAGGTTCTAAAGTTTCTTGAAAAGCACCTAAAGGATCGTTTTCAAATACTGGAGTACGTTGAGCTGCTTCAGCAAATCTACTAGAAGTATTTTCTTCATTTAGATTTTCTAATGAAAAATCAAAAGACTTCGAACCATCAAATACAAGCTTCTTTGATATACCATTTGATTTTCTAAATTCTGTCTGGTATTTAAGATCATTAAGATTTTTCAGAATTTGAGCATCATTGCCAAAACTTTTTGAACTAAAAAATATACATATACATATACATATTTACAAATATTTATACAAATTATACAATATAATAAATATTGTATAGTGTATAGTGTACATTAGCTAAATTTAATTGTAAATAATCAATCAAGAATTTTAATACTGAATGTTAATTATTTACCGTTTTAATAATTTCAGTAGTTCAGTTGATGTGTCATTAGATGAATTGTGTAGTGTACTATGATAATGATGGTGTCGTCTTGGTGATATTTGAAGACGAACTTCGTCTGTTAGAGACCCACTACGGCCTCTGAAAAAAAAAGGTAAAATATCTTGCTTCTCTATTAAAAGCCCCCATAGATGTTTTTTGTATTTAAGAAATTTTTTTTAATTCTATTTAATGAATTCATACAAATATTAAACTGTACATTTGTAAAATAACAATGAATAAAATTGCATAGTTTTATTTATAAAATATATTGAATTAAACAAATAAATTAATGAATGATAGCAAACCTGACTTTTTTTTATTTTAACAACTGAATATACAATTTACTTTAAACTACACTTCTAAATACCATTCATTCAAATTATCAAACTTCTACTCTAACATCTACTAAATTTAAAAATGATTACCTGATTTATATTATTTAACAATAAATAAAACAAAATGTATATATATATATTATATTATAATTATATATTATATATATAATATATTTTGATTATACTAGTGACAATTAAGGGAGAGAAGTTATAAAATAATTAATAAGTACCTTTTTAAATCGGATTCACTTTCAATAGACATTGAATCACTATTTTGTTTTGAACAAGCTGAACTTGGTCTTGAACAAGTAGTTGTCATCAAAAGTCCGGCACTACTTTCAACTGCAAACAAAATATTAAATCTAATTTGTTTTAAATAAATTGTTAAGATGTTTTTGAAATAAAAGTTTTACTAAAATATACTATTTAGTAATAATATATAAACTTTGTAGTATACTTTTAACTAAGTACTATAAATATAATATAGAATTGTATATTGTACTTACATTGCTGTGAACTCCAAGATTGATCATCTTCTGTTGATAAAGATATTTGTTTGACAATATTAGTAGGGCGACTTCTTAATCCAAAATTTGATTCTACATTAATAGATAATTTTCTAGGGGCTGAAAATTAATAAAATGTTAAATGTTTCCAATATTACTTCAAATTTATAAATATTTTAAAAAGTATCTGAAGTAAAATACAAAATATACTGAATTGAATACACATCACACTTGGTTGAACTTAAAAAATTATAATTATAAGTTAAAACTAACTATTTATGGAAATATTAAAAAGATAGGTATTTAGTAGGCATGTATTTTAAAAATCATTAACTTGTAATAAAACATTTAAATATATATTTTATTAAGTAATCCTTAAAAATTGTTCAAAAACCAACACCTTAAATATAGGTTAGCTTTCAAATTCCCTTAATATCATATTATAATAACTATATATTTGATATATCCTATTCCTTAATTAAATAATAGTCAATTTATAAATTGTTGTTTGATATAATAAGCTAAAAATAATCATATTATTTATAAATTTAACACTCACTATTTGATACTGAAGAGTGTTTTTCTGTTGTAGACAAACTCTCTAAGGATGTATGAGAAGTTTTATCTTCATCTGAATTTCTCCGTTTTCTATTTTGGGCACCAGCTTTTTTAAATAATGCAGCACTTAATACCACATTTCTAAAATAATTATAGTTAGAGTTTGTATAAATTTAAAATTATTTTAATTTGACATGGTATTTTTTCCCCCCCATAATTCTAAGATAATAAAACAATTTTGTTCACATAATAATTTTAATAAAACTATATTATTACCAATATATTTGAAATAAATAAATATATTGTACAAAATAGTTCACTTTTATAAAAAATTAGTAGTTATAGTTCAAAAAAAAGAAATAAGACCTATATATTCTAATTTAATTTGTCTCTCGTGCATCATATTTATATTTAAATTAAAAACATGATAAAGGTTGTACTTAGAATATAAATTCATATTAAGTATCTATAGTATAATTTTTAATAGTATGGATAAGATTACCTGAGTTTTTTCCAAAGTAATTGACTAGGTGTCCTTAAATCAGATGGCCAAGTAGACTCTAATAGAGCTCTATTATAAAAACCATAAGTTATAGCATTTGGATGAAGACCGCAACGTTTCATTACAAGCAATAGCTTTACAGCTAGCATTGGTTGATTGTATATTCCACATAATTGCATCATAACCCTGTAGCAAACCTAAGCAAAATAGCAAAATAGTAAACGATAAGTGATAAGTTATTATTTATAGATGCAATTTTGTTAAATACACATAAATAAAAAATTATTATTTACATTAAAGCAAGTTAAGACAAAGCCTCTGTAATGTATAACAATTAAGTTGAATTATTATCATTATTTTTAAATTTAATGAATCATAAAATTTGAAAAACAATATCTGTGTATACTAGTTATAAAAATAATTATAAAATATGAAAACATAATGTTACAATTTAATCATGTTAAGAACATAATATTATTATTAAATACAATTAATTTGTATCCAAATACATAGTTTGTTAGTTTTAAATTATGACATCAGTTTTCATATAATTGAATATAATATAGGAAATACTTAAAACTGACCTCATCAGTTAAAAGATGAAAACCAGATTTTTGAAACTTATTTAATAATTCATATGCTGAACGTAGAGTAGATGTAGCACGGTCTTCTGATTGAAGAATATGACTTGGTAAATGAATAAACCACAAACTAAAAACAAATTAAAAACATAAATATGTTTTAATTAGGAATTTCCTTAAAATTAATAAACTATTTACATTATAATTTAAATTAAACTTTAACTGAAATAATATCTATAAAATATTTACTTTAATATTTCTGAACATCAAATGATAATAAACCTAAGATCTTAAAATATATATTACTTTCCATCAGAGGTTCCCCACCTTTTTTGAATCATGGCACCCTAATGTAATATATCATATATTTATACTTATTTTTATAACTTTGGTTTTCTTTAGCTAGGTATACAAGTAACCAAACATATTATGAACACATATTATATTTTGTGAAAAATAAATTTAATTGTTTCTTATAATATAATATTATATAAATCACAGGTATTCAGTTAAGTTGTAATGAGTGGTAGAGTAGTATTTTTATAATAATCTGCGCTGAGGCTATAGCAAACATACCAATAAAAAAAATTAACAGTTTGAACATTACATTATTATCACAGATTAAATATAACACTTTAGGTTTTATATAATACATTATACAATTTAAACACACACGCTATATATTTCATAAAATCATTTTTTTTTTAATAATTTCACAGTACCCTGGTTGAGAACCTCTTGCTTTACATACTACTTCTACAAATACTAAAACTTCTAATTTTTAATAACATTTAAATTATTTTTTAACTTTACCTATAACAAGTTCCTAGTAAAAATTTAGCCCAAAGATCAGGAGATGTAGAATATTTGCGTGCAAGTTTTTGTGCCGATTTAACTTCATGTTTAGTACGTCTAGCCATAGGACTACCCGGGATAGGTAGATGATCATCATTTTTAATATTCAAATAATTAGTTGACTCTTTACATTTCAAAAGTTCAGAGTTTAGCATAAATCCATTCTAAAAATATATAAAAATATTAACTATAGTATTAATATTATTTAAAATTTAATAAACATCATATTTTACCTTATACGAATACATAGAATCATTTGGTAAATCAGTTGTTTCTGGAGGCATTATGAATACAGTTCGTTCACTTTCACCACACGAGTCAAGTTCTATTAGCTTTGTATCATAATTTTCTAAATCAATCTGGAATAAAATAATAAGAAATATACAATCATTGTAATAAAAATAAATATATTTAAATTATACTTTTTCTGAACATTCATCAAAAAATTCTAAAGCAGCATCCATATTAGAAACAAATGATCGTTCTTCAATAAATCTTATGAACATTTGAGTTTTGGTTAAAAGGGAGTAAAATTTTAAATTCGTTTTTTCTCTAGATTTTAAAAAACCTTAAATACAATAACAAAACAATTAAAAATTAATTAAAATAATATATTTTATAATCTGTACTTTTCATTTTTTTATAATAATAAATAATAAATAATAAATAATACTAATATATGTAATTATTTTTGTTGTCATTATAATATGAAACAGTATAGTTTTTGTGATATTTATTTCAAAAACTTATCATCAATCAACTTATTACCTTGCAAATCAAATAATGAACTTGTATCTGTAGCTCCAACAGTAGGTGCTTTAGTGATAGGTCTTAAAAACCATCGATAACCTTTTAATATAGATCCCATGAAACGTAGAAAAGCTTCTTGGATTTCTAATTCTAATTCATGCTACAAATAAATTTTATATAACATATTATTATAAGATCTAACATTATAATTTAATATAAGTGACAAAGCATATTTAGAACTTAAGCTGTCAATAAATATTATAAATTCAATAAAAAAAGTCAGTAATAAGGTCTAAGTAATAAAAATATAAGTAACTATACAGAACATCATAATCTGAAATTGATTGAAGTATTTTAGTATATAGTTATAAGAATCTACAGATTATTATCTTAAATTTCTATATAAATATTAATTATTAATTAAAAGCTAAAACTTATCCTAAATGGTCCATTATGGAAATTGTATTTACTATTAAGGAGTGTCATAAACAAGTTTCTTTGTGTATTTAAAACATATTAAATAATACATTAAATTACCTCTTTTCTTTTCATTAAAAAATCTCTATCGATATTAGTTTCTTGAATATTTTTGTTACTTGTTGCTTTATATGTTCTTTGAAGATCGTCCAGTTTTTTATACAGTTTTTCTAAAGAATTCTTTAAAGTTCTTGTTGATTTTTTAGGAAGCAATTTTGCTGTTAAATGTTTTTTATCTTCACAACTACATAGCATTCATTAAAAAATAAATATATAAAAATTGCATTAACATTTAATTATTATTAATTTTTTTAATTAAAAAATTATACCTACAGAGTTACAGTATTAGTATCTAGATCAACACAGGTTACATCAGTTGGTGGTTCATATAAATCAAAAAATCTTGAATCAACTCCAATCAAAAATGGTAATGGGGCATGTAAAACTTCAGCCAAACTAAGTGGACATAATGGAATATATGGACACTGCCATTTAAATGGAAATATAAGCTGTAATAAAATAGTTTTAAAAAAAAAAAACAATGTATTTACATTTGGACAATCTATAAGTTCTTTTAAAAAACAGATACTGATTTCCAACTTTTTGTTAAAATATAAAACACAATTTAAATTAATGTATATAAAATATGTAAATTAAATTTATTTACAGTGGAGACTGCTTCTGCTACTGCTGTAAGTACATCAGGTCTTAACGAATGAATAAGAAGTTTCTGTTCCGTTAAAGCACATAAAAGTAACAAAAGACAATTATCGGGTTGTAAATTCATTATCATTTGATGAAAACCAGCACCACTATAATGTAACATAATTATATAAACATATAATAAATATTATATAACGCCAAATAATTAAATTTTACCTCCTAGGAATTGGCAGATCTTCTGGTTGAGTTAATATAAGTTGAGTATCCATAGATAATTGTACGAGAATTTGTGGTCTTTCTGGTGAAGGGAATGGTACTTCATCTACTAAATGAGTAATATACCTTTCAATAGGGATAGATATTTGATCACTGAGTGAAGAATTTAATAAAAACATTAAGAATTTTTCAAAAGTATCAAAAAAAGGCCAGTGTGATAATACACACACACTTTTATTAGTATGCAAACTAATTTCTTTTTTCAACTCATTTGAATCTGTCAACCCTAATAATTTTTGTTGTTCTTTTGAAAGGTTTCCATTATACTTTTCATAAAATGTAATTGCTGCACCATAAACCTGATTATATATAAATATAAATAAAATAATCAATGAATACAATTGTATTTCAGAAACAATTTAAATTTGTTATGTTAATATTTACTTTTTCTGAGGCATCACTAACAGTTAAAACAAATGTAGAAAATATAGGATCTGGCTGGCATGCTTGAACAGGCCATGCTTCAAGTGTTGCACCCATTGGTAAACAGAATAAAGCTACTGAAGGTAGAAGATGAAAGTAGTTTCTATCTGATTTAGGATATCGATCCGTAATAACTATTAAATATAATTATGGACTTATCATATTGTTTTTTTTTTTTTTTTAATTAAATAAAAAAAGTATATTATAGTTTTATAATGGTTATAATAATTTACCTGGTTTATAGGTAATAGACTTAGGCTTCATTACAGATTTTTTGTAGCATAAGTAAACATCTGAACCAACCATTCCTTTATTGAGATTTTTATGTATAAGGCAAAATGCATGTGGTGGCGTTTCCCCTCGGCTGGTTATGACTACACATACATGTGATACTGCTAAAATGTTACACGGTGCAGTATGTGATGCTCTGCGATAAGTTATAAATGTATGTGATGATGTGGAGTTATTAATATTTGCTACTTCACCACTAACACTAGTTTTTAAGACTTGAGCATCATGTAACACTCTATCTTTGCCATCATACATAATACTGAAAGAAAATTGTCTTAATTATTTTTAGATATATATTAATAATAAAATAATTTTAAATAGGCAGATCTCATAAGGATAATTAATTATTAATTTATTGAACAATTGTTTACACTTTTTTTCATGTTACTATTTTATTACACATATTGTATTGCACTATTTATATTAGAATAATTTCTAGTGTAATCTTTTATAAAATTCAATGAACTAACCTAAAAAACAGCAAATAAATTAACAATAAATACTACAAATAAAACTATTTGTCTTTAATATTAATAATCCCTTTATTAAATATATTAGAATAATTAACACAATAAATAATATTTTAGAAAAAATTTCATTATGTAATACTTTTTATTTCTACTTAGTCATAGAAACAAAATTATTTTTACTTTTAAAATTATAGAATATTAGCTGTCCCGCACCCGGCATTGCCTGAGCCAATTTTTATTATTTAATACCCATATAAATTTTTGGTTTTGGTCATGTTAGAATTGAATGAAAACAAATAAGTGAAAAGTGGGTAATCCACCTTCGACGGACTAAATATGTTCTATTGTGAAATTTTAATAGTGCAAATAATAGTAATAATAATAATAATAATAATAATAGTTATAATAGTTTTATTTTCCATAACACCAAGGTAACTCTTGGATAAACAAAAATAAATAAATAAACAATTAGATTTTCATACCAAATATACATAAAAACCCCTATTTTACTACCTTAAGAGTTGTATTTTCAAAAACCCTTTCTTATTGCACTGTGAAAGTATTAGAGGAACCACTATTCCAAATTTTAAGTGCGTGCGTTGAGTAGTTTTAAAGATACAATGATCAGTGAATTAGTGGTATTTGGATTTTATACATATATATAAATTAAATAATTTGTATTTAGTAAAGATATCATAATTTAAAAGAATCCAGCCTATGTACAGATGATAAATACAAACTATTATATGTGGGCGGGGTAATTACAAATCTATACATCTAAAATTTCAATTTGAAATATCCCAAATATTGTAAACAATTAATAAAATAATTAGTTTTAAAATTAGTATCTATATTGATCAATAAAAAAAAAAAGATGATCTCATATTATGAATTTATATAAAATAGTTTAAATGTTTTGTTTTATCTCAAATAATTTAAATTTCTTTTAAAAAGATAATATTAAGATATCTACATTATTTTTCAAACAACTGTATTATTTCCAAATAATTGAATTTACAACTAACCAAAGATAATAAAAAAAAAACTGTAGATTCAATAGAACTAATAGAAATATGAATATTAAATTATAGTCATCGGTGATAATGTTTATTTATTTTAATAATAAGCATATATTATTTACCCAATATCAACAATAGGAGGTTTATCTCGTCCACGTTGGTAACATAAGAATACTTCTGGACTTCTTAAACTTCCATGGTTTAAATCTGCCACTAAGCCTAGAATTTATAAAACATCACAGTTAATCTTTTTTAGATTATGAATTATACACTTACCAGTAGGAGTAGTTTCTATAAGAGTATAACCAGGTGGTACCTTTTCACCTAGTGTAGGAAACACTATGGCTAAATCAGTAATTGGTGGTAAATCAGAACATAAACTTTGCTTTAAATGAGTAGAATTTGTATCATCTTGGGATTGTTCATCTGATGCGCCAACTACTACAAAATAATCGACAACACGTCGTTCTTCCATTATTAGGTACAAAAATCTATAAAACAAAATAAATATAAACTAATTTAACTAACTTAATAAGATGCTAACTATTTTGTTTCTATTATATAAATGTATATAAAATTACATACAAATTAGAAATAAAACACAATACAGCCTTGGATGATCCAAGGTGATTTTGCAATATAAAATATTTAGTTACCTACTATTTAATTTTATGATGAAGTTAAAAAAAAATAACAATATTATATATCAGTATTAATAATTTTATAGTGCGATTTGTAATATAAAACATTGGCTGAGAGTAACTGCAGCCATTGCAGTGCAATTGATATTAATTTAAAAATTGAATATATTGTTTTTTTTCCCTGTAAAAGTAAATAGAACCCAGACAATCTAAAAAAAAAACATATCAAACCAAAATATGAAACTAGAAACAGTAGAAACATTAATTTACAATATAAATGATAAATTGGTTTTAACTTCAGGCCCTAGTATTTTGATAAGAAAAACGATAATAATCATAATTCTGTTATTGTTTGTTTACTTATTGTCTATTGATAAATAAATACTTGTATAAAAACCAATTGTTTACAAATTAACGAAGTTGTGTACTTTAACTGTCGTACGACGTGTGTGTTGTATTAAAATTTGAAGTACAATGTCAAATTTATGTAGAGATGATTTTGATTCAGGCCCTAAGCATGTTTTTTCTATTGAAGATGGACTATGGCTAGGTAACAATAATAATAATTCCTAAAATATAATTAAATAATAAATTACTATAAAAAAAATTGTGTAACAGATTATGGAAAATACCTTGTGGTTAAAAAAATAAATAAATAATATATATTGTAAATATCATCTTCAATATATAACCTAGATTTGTATTTTAGAAATGCATAATGATAGATACTAAACATTTGTAATTTCTTGTTGAGAACAATTGGAATAAATATTATATTTATTTCCATTAGTTTGTATCATTATCTTGTAAAAAGTATTTAATTTCAATTTCGTTTCATTTATCAAAGTTTACAAGGTCTGTACATGTCTTATAGAGACTTACAAAGTTATATAAAAATAATTTAATATAATAAAATATATTTGGTATATTATGTATTGATGTATGTTATTTAATTATTTACAGGAAACCTAACAGCGGCTATAGACTTATCATTTTTAAAGAAAAATAAAATAAATTATATACTAACAGTGGATTCTTGTCCATTGCCAGAAATTATATTAGAATTGAGAAACATTCATATTAAATATATTCAAGGTAATTTATTTAATGAGATTGAAATGGTCATTTAAATCAAATGTGTTCAAATTAAAAATTTTTTTTTTTTAAATAAGTAAGGATAATAGTTATTATTTTTAATATTGACAAAATATGATAATTATGTTACCTTCACTATATTGTTTTGAATACATTTTTTATTTTATTCAAGTAGTTATTTAACAAAACATTAGGATAAATACCTATGTATTACTACTCATCTAAATTTGGATTATTAAAATAAGTCATAATTATTTTAGAGGGTCTGGCAAACATTTGTCGTGACTCGTGAGCCCTTTTACTTCATTCTTCTTCATAAAGATAAATATAATAATTTATTATAAATGGCAAAGTAAATAAATAATAATTTTTTCAAATTTAGCCAAATTGTTGGGATCCTTACAGTAGGAATCTATTTATTTATTTAAATGAGATGAACCCAATTATATAATTTGTATAGTTAATACATTAGTATGACTTAAATCTTTTTAATTGAATAAGTAGTAAACATTTTATGGTACTTACTTTTTCTTTTTTTTTTAACCAATAGCAGTAGTGAACTATGTTCACATTGCTATCCTAATGGTACTTACCTACCCTGTTTTTATGACACTGACTCTATATGTAGCTTATGATATTATATGATATATTTTAAACTTCATAAATTATAAACCTTTTATAGATAAAATTAAAAACAAAATAATTTTTACTTTCTTGTTTTTTAGAAGAATATTTTGCTCATTCCAAAATTATTACTCTATTTATGTTTATTGTCTGTATTATATCAATTATTAATCTATTAATATAATATAATTATAGTTACTGATATGGATGGAGAAGATCTTTTAAGTCATTTTGACAGTGCATATGAGTTCATAAAAAATGGTCAAGAAAATAGTTCTGTCCTTGTGCATTGGTAATATAATTTCTTTAATCTATAATTATATTTTAGAAATTATCTAAAATTTGTCTTTTACATAAAAGTATTTATGAGTAATAATAGGTATATTGTAGTTTAAGAATGTATAATAAAAAAACGGTATGATCTAAAGTTAAATTTACAATCAAATGATATAATTTACAAGCAAATTTTCAAATAACGTACAATTATTCACCAATTTAATTATAAATTTGCTTACCTTTACACATCAAATAATTTATTTAAATCTAATTATAAGGTATCAAATATTTATTTGTTTTAATGATTGATATGAATCCCACTATTCCTATTAAAGCTGACATTCTAGAAGTAATTTCATCATGAAGGATGTTGCTATATAAATATTATTTTGTAAAATTAATTTTAAAAACATGCAATACATATGTATATATATATATATATACATGAATATATGGCATTTCAAAGAATAAGTTGAATTATAAAATGTAAAAATATAGTATGTAAAAAGTCACACAATTATCAAGTTTCTGAGATCATCATTTATAGGTAGATCACACCGTTGTCTGATACCATAATATTTTGTTTAATATTACTATGCACTTTTAGCTATTTTGGAATATCAAGAAGTACATCTATAATTACAGCTTATATTATGAAAAAATATCAAATAAGTTTTGATGATGCTTTTCAAAGGTATGATGATAAATAATGATATTATAAAATAAAATAGGTAGGCATAATATGGAATATATGTATATAATATAACAATGGTATATAATTTAATATTCAAGAGAAGATTTTAATTAAAAATTATTTTCAGTTATTTGTATCACACATTTTTGGATGATTTTACAAATGTATTCAAATGATTGGAATTTCTATTTTAGTATTTCATATACTGTATCTTTAAGTTTTTGGTTATCTAAGGCAATCCATACCTTTTAGTTCACTGATATTTGAAAATATAATATTTTTCTGAAAATTTTGATGTGCATTATTCTTATAGCAGCGAGGTAGGAGGAATGTATAAGGTAATTTTTAAATGTAACTATTAAATCGATTATAAAACTGATTCATATTGTTTACTTGGTGAAAAAAAAATTAACAATAATGTATGTTTATTATTATGTATGGAATACTTATGATAAAAATAAAAATACTTGCTAAATATTACCCAACATGTTTGGAAATAGGAAATTGAACTTGAATCCTACTATAAACTAATTTAAAAAGGCAATTTTTTGATTTTACATGAAATTTTTTTGAGGTTGTTAAATATGTAGAATTTCTTTAAAAAAAATCTTATAGTAACTATATCTCTAAAATCTAACATCCTATGATTAGCCAGTTTTTGGGCTTTAATTTTAAAATATGATACACTTTATATTGTTTAAAAAATGTATTATCTATTTGTTAATTTTAAAATTATTTTTATTTCAAGAGTAAAAAATAAAAATTCAGCTGCATTGCCAAATGTTGGTTTCCAAGCACAACTTATTTTGTATCAAATTCTTGGATGGAAAATTGACAAAAATAATATGCAATTCAAATTGTTCAGACTGAAAATAGCTGCTAGAAAAGTTAAAAAAGGTTTATAATAATTATTTTACTTTATGCTATTACAAAATAGGTAAAAATATGTTTTTAACAGAGTAAACCCTATTACTAACGTTTACTTATTTTATTATACAGAGTGATTCACTCGACTGGAAACACTCATTATCTCGGAAAGTATTAACTTTTTTTGGAAATTTTTTTTTTAAAACTTAAGAAACAAAAAAGATGGATGTACTTCACACGTGTATGGGTCAGTGTTTTAGGTGAAAAGTTTGGAAGTTAGAGGGGGAATTTAAGATATATTTGTATGCAATGATTAACCATTGCTAACAAAAACAGATTCTAAGCAGAGATCAATTAATAGTGTTGCTTTGTCAACAATTTATATGTCATTATGGTAAAATAATTACGTATGCATTAAATATTTTCTTTAATAATATTTGTTTAACATTGTACCTATTTTTCCAGTTTTCTCATTTATATTGGAATAATCAATAAATTGTCTCCCTAAAGAACACCCAAATCAGATTTCCATTAAGAAAAAGTGCTAAACTTGTAATTCGGACCAAGATTTCTGGTAAAAAAGTTCTTCAGATAAAAAAAAACCATTATTGTAAAACCGATACATTTAATGCTTCATTTAGAATCTAATAGTTTGGAAGTATTAAATTGTCACTTTTTTTGTCACCCTTATTTTTGGTGCTGAAAACAGTCGTTTTATCGTTTTAACTATCTACTTTTGATTTTTGAATGGCAAGTAACAATCTATATTGTGAATTCTTTTAATAGATAGAATATTAGTTAAATACATTTTGTAAGGCGACACGGCGTGTGGCCGAATAATAATAAATAATAATGTACCACTATTAAACTGTCCCCTGACCCAAACTTAAAAGTGGAATATCTTGTTAATAGATTGATAGAAAATTTGATATGAAAAGTTTCTTAATCAAAATTTATTTAAACTAATATCCATATATTTTTGGAATTTTTAATATAGTTTGCCATTTTAAAATCAAAAATACCTAGGTAAACTAGTTTACCACCAAATTAAGGGTAATAAAAAATAACATAAATGTAAAATTGTAGAGCTGCTTGTTTCTTAAATGCTACGGAAGTGTAGTAGTGCCAACTAATAAAAAAAAAATTGTAATTTCAACATTTTTATAAGCAGATTTATTTTGTCATGGTTCTTGATTCTTCAGCATACTTTGTCCGTCAAGCACACGCTTTGTCTCCACATTTTTGAAGTCTTCTAATTATACTATTCTCTGACTCTGTGTAGTCTGTAACAGCCAACAGGCAAGTGGTTACAGCAGAATGCGCTTAAATAAATTGATAGAAAATTATTTTCACATGAGTTTTAGTTACAATGAAATAATAACACATTTGTCAAGCAATGGGATAGATATGTCTTTGAACACTTAAACGAAACAACTTGGTTTGTATAAACGCATCAATTATATGCCTATTAATATAGTGAGAGAGTATTTAGAAAATTGTATTCTAGATACTCAATTCTGGATGGATGTATTTTGTGAATTAAACAATAATGGACTATTTAGTTTTAGAATGATGTTTATTATTTTTTTTTTTTAGTAAACTTGTTCAAAAGTATAGACTATAGTACCTTTTCTGAAAGCTCTAGGTTTTTAGTTGGTATTTAAAAGATTATTTGAAATATTAGCATTTAAGTGGCAAAAAACAGAAAAAAACGAACACTTTCATTATTTTAAATAAACACAAATGAATAACTTTTTCTTCCATAAATAATGTTCAAACAGAAAAATGACAAGAGACCTTATTTGTTTCATTTTGGATCTAGTTTTTTATGGTATCATTCTCATAATAAACTAACAAAAAATTACAATAAGGTCAACAATAAAAGTCAAAACATGGAAAATAATAGTCAATATTTTGAAATTACAATTTTTTTTTTTTTTCTTAACATTACTATGCTTTTGTAAAATGTTCTATAAATAAATTTTAAAAAATATTAATACTTTCAGAGATAATAAGCTTTTCTAGTTGAGTTAATCACCCTGTATACATTAAATATATTTTTTATATTATTATTTTTTACATTAATATACTCTTACACTAATATAAGCGATACTTATTTTTATTTCAACTGACACCAACTATAAACTACATAAAAATGAATTTATAAAATATACTAATGCATATTAAGATCAATTCATCCCCGTTCCTTGAGCTATGAAGTTTACAAATTCAGATTCCCCTTCCAACTTCCCATTCAAATTTTATAATATATGATCTTTGTGCAAATAGAGAGGTTATTTCCTCAAATCAAATCAAGTAAATACTAAGTATGCATAATCTTAAGCCTTTCCACCAGTAAAAATAGTTGAGCTGCTTTCACATATTATGTTAGTTTGAACATCTTAAGCCATTAATTATATTTTTTATTAATTCCTATAAAACTAATATAGCAAAATCACTATCTCCTAATTTTTTATTGTAGTTAAAATTTTGCCACAAGACTGCATTGATGTAATTAAGGGAGATCCATCTTTAGTATCAGCTAGACCAGATCCAAAAGTTTACAGGTGTCGTAAATGCAGGTATAATAGATTAAAATATTTTTGCACACAAATTTTAATTATGTGTATATATTTTTAGAAGAATTGTTGCATTACAATCAAATTTATTACCACATTATTCCAATGAAAATTTATCATGGAAGGATTCAAAATGGTCTTCAGACTATTCGGGATCTCAATTGTGTTCAGACACAATCTTTGTTGAACCAATGTCTTGGATGTCAGTAAGTCAGTCGGAAAGTGGAAAAATTAACTGTCCAAAATGTCGGTCTAAGCTTGGCTCATATAGTTGGACTATGGGATGTCAATGCCAATGTGGTGCAAAAATATCTCCAGCATTTTATTTTGTACCATCTAAAATAGATTACAGTGGATTTTTACAAAATGTTCAGGCTACAGTATAAAAATTATAATTTTTGTTTTTAACATTATATAAGTCAATTCTATGTTAAATTGTTTTATATGTTGATAATAATAAATTATTAAAAGAGACAATAAATAGCTCCTAAATCAAAAAAGGTAATTTAAGGTAACATAAGTTTCATAGATCTTAATAAGATTAAAAAATAACTCAGTTTCATTACAATATAGTCTTATGTTCAAGTATTTGTAATAGTACTTTCGTGTAGCTACCTACAATGATTTGAGGATGTATAGGTTTTTGATCACTTATATTTGATATAGTTAGGTTCTTACTTACATTCTATTATATCTTTTTCTCTATTGTATTTAACAATGAAGAAATACATTATTAATTTGAAGACTATTCTAAAATGTATGTGGGATAATTACAATATCTTTTTCTAAGTATACCATGCAGTTTTATTTAATTAAAAAACATCTATGCTTTCTATGTAAAATATTTATATTCCTAATAAAATAGTTATAATTGCGCCCATGTACTTCATTTTTAACACTCATAATATTCCATAGTTCTGCTCGATTTCATAAATTTATAGTAACAAATAACCATTAATAGATTAATTATTTTAGATTCAGCGCGTAGAGAGAAATGTAAGGTTTTACAGTAGTGTTTATTTTATTTTTTACAAACTTCTATCAGAAATCTACCTTGTTTTTATCTAGTTTTATCTAGTTGATACTTTATAAATCATTTGATTTTCCAAGTGATTTTCATATTAGAAAAAAATAATAATAATCTTACCAACTTCTTACCTACAACAGTGGTCCACCCACTATGTAATGTATGTCAGTCTTTTTAATTTATTAGTTTAAATTTAAAATGTATTATTTACTATATGGATAATAGTCGAAATATTTAATATATTTATGAATAAGAATATAATTTTAAGGATTTATTTTGGATTATTCTTGTTGAAATTGGATGTCAAATAATTTTAGTTTACTTAAATATTTTGACAGTCAAATAAATTATATTTGTGTTATTTTGCAAATTAAAAATGTTAAATTTGTAATGTGTATTTTATCTGTACTTTGTCAAGGTAAACAAATCAAAGTTGGAAACTGCTCAACTCCTAAGTAATTTTTTCTTTAAACTTTAAATTAAATAAAACATTTTTTTGAGCATTAAGAATAGACTGATAGATTTTATTGAATTACAAAAAAATCATATTGATATAGTCCTTAAGTCATATTATTGACCACATTTATTTTTTTTATGGTGTTAAAGATCAAAATGATTAATAATATATTTTATTTTTACCGTTTCAAGTATCATTAATTTTAATATTTAACATTTTCTATATTTTGTATTCTTATAGGGCCACAAATATAAAATAAATTCAAAGTCCATCGAATTACTTAGTAACTATATAAAATATGTATACAATCGAACTTGGTTAACTTGAAGTTGAAGGGACTAGAAAAAAAGTTATCCAAATAAAATCTCAAAATACATGGGTTTATTTTTTTAAAACAGTACAATATATTAATTCTTAGGTATTTAATATAATGGGTAATACAATTTTTTTACTATTTATATATTATGTATAATATTAAAAAGGTATGTATAAACAAAAATTAGATTAGAAAATTATTTAAAAAAGGTATTTATTTTTGTTTAAGTTTTGTTGTTAATCGCAGCATTTCAATGAATTGTTCTTCGAAAAAGCTTCGAAAAGTTCATAGCTGACCTCTGGTTGGTTTTGTGATAAATAACCCCAATTCATTATAATGCATCTGTACTTGTGTAATGGTAATAGGGAGGTTATCCGGTGATTGAGTACATCTTACAGATGACAAAATGTCTGAATCTGATAAATTTCCTTACACTTCCAAGTCATTGTCCATATTGATATAGTCATTGAAAAGAATATTTACACCTTGCCTCACATCATACTTTTTGATAGTAAATAAACATACTTGAGGGAAATATGTATCATAAATTTGTAATTATAAAAATCAGAAATTTAAGTTCTCCACGAAATTATTAGAGTTAAATAAGATCTGTTTGCATTGTTTAAATAGGAAATTCTAGGGACTGGAGAAAAAGTCCGAGGTATCAAAGATTTCGAGTTAATCAAGTTTGACTGTAGTATCTATTATATTATAATTATTGTCCTATTGACAAATCATTATGATTGTGATATTAATTATAAATAAGAGTTTGTACCATTGTTTATTCTTTAGTTATATATTTTATTATACAACCAATAGCAACTAAAAATGTATATTAAGTAAAGTTTTTTTCACTCCATCTGTACTTTCCCATACAATATCTGAATTTAATTTGGATGATTTTAAAAAATGTATGAACTCACTTATTGATCCACCAACACCAAAATAATAATTTTTGGCAATTAATAAGATACATCCAGAAAGCTTTAATTTTTTTTCAAATAGATTGATAAGTTTTTTATAGTTATTTACATTATAAATAGTTTCTGATGTTAAAATTAGGTCGTATTTATTTTCATTAAAATCAGTAAATGATTTCCAGTCACCTGAATAGTACTTGCAAACATTTAATTTGTCTTCACAATTCAACAATACATTACTCATAGTTGTATTGATTAATACATCTTTGTTAAAATCCTGAAAGTCGACATTTTGAGCTCCAGAAACTAATGTAAAAATTCCTAGAAGACCAGTTCCACAGCCTAAATCTAAGACTGATTTTCCATTAAAGAATACAGAATTGTTGCTGAGATATTCTAAAAGGTCAATAGTGCATTCCCAAAGTTTAAATCCCCCTTCATAAGTGCCAGGAATAAGATCTGAATTGTATATGCTAGGAAATTCATTCACAAGTTTTAAAGACCGATCTCTTATGGTCAAGTTAGTAAACGATTTAGTGATTAATGTGTTAGGTGTAGACAATTCTTCTGTTTTAACCACTTCATATTCATTTTCACATGAATGAGACTTGGGTGAGTCCTCTGCGTTAAAATTGAATTTGAACATATTCAAATGTCAATGTTATCTGAAAAACATAATATTTTTTAAATTACTAATGGATTCAATTATTTAAAAAAAAGTAGAAAATATTGATTATTCATTGTATATAATCAATGACGCAAAATAACTCATGTGACACAATAAATTTATCTAAAATCAATGTATTTAGTTAATATCCATGTCTTCAGAGATATATTTTGTACCTATGCCATTTGTGGTACAAAAGTAATTTGCTTCCAGGCAATGGTGTCAGGTCAAAATATCACAGCAATTTTAATACCTTCTTAATACAAGTTAATGTTATTGCAAGTTGACAGTATCACATTTAATTTTAAACCAGTTCCTACCAAAGGTCTATATTCCCAATATGATGTAATAAATTAATAACTGCATTTGAATCTTTATTAAAATCTGAATTTTGTCTACAAAATAATATTTTATCATACTTCATTATTTTGAGGATAAATGAATTTATATTATATATCCCACAAAAAAACTTCATGATCAATTGACGTTTATAATATAACCTACCCAAACAAATAACTCTGATGAAAGTTGGCATAATTCTAATTCTATGATTTGTAACCTTTTAATCGTCATTTAATTTAAAAATCACACAACCCTGAGCAGGATTTGAGCCACCTAAGAAAAAAAAAAAATACACGAGAAAATAATCGAAGACTACGTATTTACGTGCAAATACTGATAATTTTCATCACGAACTATAAATTGTATTTGTTACTCTATAATTGACGACTATTTTAGTGGTAGTTTTATTATACCGCGATAGTTTTGCTACAATTTGAAATAGATCCCTGAGCAACGATATAGAAGGCTAAAGAATTACCACAACCTACTGCTGTATTATTCCATGATCTCATAGCAATCATAAATAATATAATAACTTTACCTTAGATACCTATTATTGTTTGCTTCTGCTACACGCATAGAAGATTACATACATTTTTAATTCTAAGAATTAAAATAATAGTTGTATGTTAATGTAGTATTGTTATTCTAATTTATGACTACTCAATAAAAATTATCAAAATATAACAAGGATACGTTATTTGTTAAAAAATAACCCTCTTTTTTTTTCGAACCACAATCACGAATTAAAATACAATTAATAAATTAATAATCTTAATTCGTGACAACTTGATAAAAACTGAAACCACAAAAAAAAGTTTAATGAATAATAATAGAGAACCATAGGATATTAAAGTCACGATAATAAAGAACTTCCTAATGGTGATAGAGAAATTGATAAGATAGTCAATATCACAGTTAGGTTATTATTTGTTGATAATTTTAATTATCAGAGATTTTTCATATTTTTGATAAGAAACTTTTGAGCTATTTTTTTGTCGACTTGTGAAATGTGTAACGATTTTAACTGTAAAAGTACGGTTTCCAAGGCGTGTCCGGTCTCCGCAACCTGTCGTTAGTGCGTGCTGGTTTCCTAGGCGCGACTGGTTGCCGAGACCGGTCTCCGGTGACGTAAAGAAAACCGTCAAATTCTGTATCTGTATTCAGTATCACTGTGGTTTTCGTGCAGTGAGGGCTAGTGTTTTAAAGTTAAATTGTATATTTACTACTATGAGTATGAATTCAATTATTAATAACAATAATAAATTACTTCTTCTTGAAGAAGAGCAAGAGGATGATGATTTATTAATTACAACACAATGCGATCAGAGAGAAAAAGTTTATGCATTTTTTCTTAATAGGAAAAGTGAAGGATACTTTGAAAATGCAATTTAGCCATATTGTTGTACGGGACAATCAAAATACACTACCCAAGAGATGGTTTGTGAATGAAATTAATCAACGGTCGCGCGCGACAGTCGCAATACACTGCTCTCGGACCGGTAGTGACGCCGGTCGCCACGATAAAGTTCAGTCGCGCGTTGGAATCCATCAATAGGAATTACATACGAACAGTCGGACGGCGATTGTCACGCCTTGGAAACCGTACCTTAATCGTGGTCTATATTGTAAGTCTGACTAAATAAGACCTATAGTTATAGGTTAGATAATCACTGTTCAACGGAAAACCATATTATCTTAAATCGTACTTTATGATCATAATTATCATAATATATTTTTGATTATGATAGCAATACAATATAGTAAATATTCCTCTGCGCCACACGAGCAATACAAAATTATTTGATCCCATGAATGGAATTAAAGAGTAAGTTCGGCGACGAGTAAAATATTCGAACAATATTTCAGTCGAAAATATATTTCATCCGAAATTATATCCCAATCTAACCTAACCGTATATTTTTCGTACATAAAATATAATCCCTTGAAAATTACACAACTGGTCAGGCAATAATAAACTTTATTATAACTTTAATTGTGCTCTGAACAATTTGAATAGGGAATACAGTTATTCGAAAATGATAATAAAATATTATCTATACCTGTGCAGTTAACACATTTAGAAAACGTTTTGTATTCAACTTTTTCATTAGTAAATTAATTTAAAAAAAAAAGATCATTTATTCGATTTTTATTAAAATATTGACCCACACAAGTGGTAATAAAAGAGCTTAAACATTTCCGATGATTATTTCTTATTTATATAAGTGTCATATTTTTAATTTGGGGTAATATCAATTGCGCTGGAAATCCCAGGTAAAAAATGAAAAATGTTTGAATAAAAAAAAAAAAAAAGGTATACATCGAAATTTGAATATAATACATTGTTATGTATCATTTTCGCCGATCGATTTCTAAATACTTATACAAAAAAAACCGAATTAGTATATTTTGTGATTATCTGGTTGATATATAAATTGCTGAATATAAAACTTTTTCACTATCTTTGGCCATCATGTAATATCAGGTGAAAGAACTACAAATACCTCCGAATCATTTCACTCAGCATTTGGGAAATATTTTTGTTCTATATTTTGTCCATGTAAATGTTTTATATCATAACTTATATCATACATGAGAATAAATATTGCCGAGAAAGAAAAAAATATTTAAAATCAAAGATACAAAAAATAAATAAAATTCTATATAATATCTAAGCAGTTATCTTATTTTTATTACATTGCTTATTTTTCAATGTACTTTTTTTGAAAATTAAAAACTAACCATGCAAGTTTCAACGACATTCAAAAACATTCAACAGCATACAATTTTTATTTTTGTTATGCAAAAATTATCATTTAGCGCAATTGATGTATACGTTTTGTTCAACCATTTAAATCTTCCTCAAACTTTTAACAAATCGAATTAAAAAATTCCGGGAAAATTATTACCATAAATTATCCTTTATTTATCTTTTAACATTTTGGTCAGTTTAATTTTTTTTTTATTCAAAGTTGTCTGAAGGAAGTTATATATTAATAAATATATTCTATATATATATATATTAGATAATTATAATAAACATTATCTCCTAATCTATTTGAGTTTTGAAAATTATAAATTGTAATATTGATTATCTTGGGAATATTGACTATTATTGTTTTTTTTTTGTAGGCCTTCAATTTGTATCAGGATGACATAATTCATCCATAATTTGTATATAGTACTTATTCAAAAATATATATTGATGCTAGAACCTGATAACTAAATACAAAACATAGATGGGTTTACTATGATACAAAACTATAGTTTCTATATTATAATATAATTTATATAAATACCTCTAAATTAGTTAACATCTTTCATAACTCATCAGAATTATAATTTTCCTCCAAGTCCAAATAGACTCTTGGACATTCAAGAACTAAAAAAAAAAAAACATGACAAATGTATTGAGTATATGCATATTAATAGAAAATATTTTAAATGTTGTTTATACTAATTATTCATTTGTTATTCATTTTTTTTTGTGACTAAATAAAGAAAAAATGAATAAACAACATTGTTGTATGAAAAAACATAACATGAAAATATATTAGTGCACACCTACCTGCATTTATTACACAAATTAATTTTAGTGAAACTTTAGTGTTCTGGTTAGTCTAAAATATTAAATTATTTTGATAGCAATATTCAAAATTCAGGCATAGATAAAGAATGATCATGTAGAAGATAAGTTATTTTAATATTTATAATTTTATTTGGTAATATACAAAACAAATGTTTACCTAAAATCTCTTTAAATTAATATAATAGCATACAAATTAATAATATAATAATTATATATATTAATTTAATATTTTAACCTAATATGTATATTATATTAACAAAACAAAAAAAACCTATTTCACTTAATAAATTGTGATTATTTTGATTTTTGTAGGTACTCATAATTAAATTATACTTAAGTTTAATACAAATTAAGTTTTAAAAAAATAACACGATCATAATCTGCAGAGATGACTACAGTGAAGTAACTTCTTATTAACTAATTGATCCTTGTTTGGATCATATTTGGTAATATGTTTTTCATTTTTCTGTGTACACAAATTCAGCACCAATCATTAAAATCTGGGATGATTTCTGGTAAAAAATATTGTCTTGTAACTAGACTCTAAGTTGATGCATTTTTTTGTAATCATAAGCATTTTTCTTATTATAACTGGTAGTCCACAGAAAAAATAGACAAATTTACGAAAAATCGGTTCAAGACAAAATAGATTTTATAAAAATAATAGCTTATTTTAGTAATTAATAGGCTTACAGACTGACATCAATTTGATAAATTTGTCTCAAATTAAGTAGACTTTCTACATAAAAAAATCCTTGAAAATTCTATACCAAAATTTATAACTCACTACTAAAAATAAAATAGCACATAAATGTTGTTAATGACACTTTATTTTATATACATATTATATATTATATATAATTTTTTGAAGTTCATATTTGGATGAAGATCATATAGCATTTTATCTACATTTGTACAGCTATATTATTTTTCACTAATTTATTTTGATTGTCCATACTCCCCAAGTAAACTTTAAATATGTATAAAATAATATATAAATTATATATATGCCATATTGATGACATTTTTGTACCATAGCAATGGGTAGTGTCAGATTAAGAACTTCATTAGTAATACATAAATAAATCGGATGGGCCCAATTTAAATTAATATTTTATTATAAATTATTAAAATACTTGCAGTGGATCTATAAGTTTCCAATGAATTTAACCTGTTGAGTGGAGATTACAAATTAAAAAATATCAAAATGTATAATTTTTACTAAACCTAACACTTAAGAGGACGTTATACCCACATCTACTGTCACAGTCCAACTACTGGGTAACATACAAAAGCAATACTTACGCAGAATAAGTAAAACTAGCTTAATTTTGATTTTAGAGTAAAAGTACTTATAAAATTTATATAGAACAATATTTTGGAAGAAACGTCATAAGTGTTTTTTTGAATTATAAACTATTAAAAAATAAGGTTTTTTGTATATTATATATTGAGCTATAAATTTTAAATACAAATACCCTATAACATTCCCCCCAAAGTATTAGTCTCTATAATTTTCATAATAGTTACATTTACTCTAAAATCAAAATTAAGCTAGTTTTACTTATTTTGTGTAAGCATTATTTTTGCATGTTACCCGGTAGTTGGACTAAGACAGTACATGCAGGTATAACATCCTCTTAACTACCAATAATCATGTGAAATTTAAAAAATAGACATTTTCTACATGTACTTAAAAAACTACAAATATTTTATGTAAAAATATATATATAAATTTTTTTAATCAATTGTATTTGTCTAAACTTTGTTTATGACTGTAAACAATGCCTATTTAATTTGTAAGTTATTCTTATCCTGACAAATTGATATTTGAAAACATCGTAATTAATACATTACTAAGGATGATATACTTTCATTCCAAAAATATACTTTAGACATCTTTATAATAATCTCAATTTAATTTTAAATAAATTCTAAAAAACTATACATTGCTGGTATGCTAAAACAACGACATTACATAAAGTTGTCATTTTTTATTTGTTTGCAAATAATAAAAATATTGGTATTTTTCTTTATACTACATAGTAATAATACAACTTAAGTGAGAATATAAAATTAGCCGCTAGATGGCAGTTGTGATGTTATTACGTTATCATTTGTTATTCATATGTTTTGTTTGAATACTGTTTTCAAATTCATTCTGCGTAAAATCATGTTTATGTGTCATGTCATTGTTGTAGCAAATTAGGGACATGTATCATTTGAATTAAAATATTACATAATTACGTTGAATATTTTATAATTTTTCTAATTTTGATTTTTTTTAAATTTAAATTACAAAATGTCACAATTATACAATTCTTCAATGAGTGATAATGAGTTATCAATGTTAATGATAATTTTTACTTTTTAATTGGTACTTACTGAATAGTCTTTTTCTACTTACATATTATTTGTACCGGATCTTAAGTATCTGGAAAATGTAATATTATAACAATGAAAAAGATATTAGAATAAAACATGTTTTCGACACACCAAATGTTTTATTAGAGAATTTACTATATATATAAAATAAGGCATTTCTATAATATACAAGTTGACGTTACAGTGTTATCCATGTTAATAACAATATTCATTTTTTTTGTTATATAATATAGGAATCATAAACATTTTTTAACATTATATCATTATTTTATATTTATTATTCCATTTTTTAATTTTTATTTTTTTAAATATTCAGTGAAACCTCTGAATAGCGGACACTCGGTCGCCGAAATTTTGTCCGCTATTTAGAGGAAAACATGTTTTTTAACAAATAAATAAATTCAATAATCCGTCCCTGAAAAAACGTCCACTATTTAGAGGTGTCCGTTAAGGGAGTTTTCACTGTATATCAACATATTGTTGAATAATTAAATTAATAAATATTAATAAATTAACTCATTATTATCTATATTGGTGTATTATATTATTGATTATTTGTGATAAACACCTATGGTAGGCACCTAATAGTAATGGTATTTTCCATCAAATTATATTATATTTATACAATGTATTTATTGTTATATGGAAGACGAGGCTATAACAAACCAGTACCAAATTTTCAAAATATTTTATTCTTTATTGAATGTAATATATATTCAACTCCAATCAATAGTTTCTTATTAATAGCTGTTTTAATATTTGGAGAAAGAAATGATGAAATTTAAATGGCTATTACTAAGAAACCTTTGATCAGATATGAATATATGAAACATTAAAATTTTTAAAATAATTATTTTTACAAATTGGCTATTTTAAAATTGTTTAAAAAGTAATTTTTTTTTTCAGTGATAAAGGGATAAAAATAAGAATTAAATTTTTTCTGTATTTGTCCCCCAGACACAAAAACCAATTGAAAAAGAAATATTGACAGAGTTATTAGCATATAGATAACACTGTAGGACACCCGTCACCCTGTATACCTATTTAAATTAAATCATTCTAAATCATTACAAGTTTGTCTTAGTGGAATTGTTATTTTCTGTTACATAAATTAGAATATAAAATATTTTTACACTTAACATTTTAATAGTTCACTTGTTGATTTTTAATAAAATAGCTTACTAACTATGTAATTAAAACCAATAAAATAAAGAATGGACTAAAAGAAATTTCTGAAATTTGGTTTACATTTAATTACACATTACCTCACAAGATGAATAAATAATATAGCAAATATTTATAAGCAGAGTTCAATCATCAATACAAACACATACAAATTTATCATTTACAAGAATTAAATTATAAAATAATTAGTTAAAACCCAATAGATTGATAGCAAACCAATAGAGGTATACAAACCTTTCCAAATTTAAAAATTGCAATTTTATTATAATTATTAATGAAACTATTTACAAAAATAGATAATTTACTTTAATATATATTAAAAAATTAGTTACACTATTTTATAAGAAAAGTGTATCCGAGACAAATTATCATGCAAGTAGAATATTAAAGTAACTGTTTTTTTATAATTTAATATACTATGATAAAAAAATGATACATTTTAGTGTTATTGAAAGTTTACACAATTTATTATCTATATAATAGTGTAAAATATACTTTTTATCATTTAACTTTGCCTAAAGTTCAAAACATACCAACATTTAAGATACAATAGCAATAGCCATTATTTAATTCTGTTTAACTTACTCATTAGTAATTTAAAAAGTATTGACAATTTAAAGAATATAATGAGAACAGAGTTCCCAGAAAAAGACAGAGCAATATGAAAATGAAATGAATACTATTAATCAATTTTCACAAATTCTTTTATATATTAGCATTTATATTTTTTTTAATTAATACATAATAGAGAAATTGCATGACACTTAAATTTGATAAATTAATGTTGTGTACATTTAATTATTAGTTAAAATAATTTAATTTTTTTTAAGTAAATTAGTATTTCAAATATTAAAATACTTATGACATTAATTCAATTTTTAAAATTAAATTAAAATTTCAACTCAAAGATATAAAACTTTACTGTGGAATTATATTATAATTTTGCATTAATATTATAATTAAAACTCACAATTTTGAAAAGTAATTCTAAATACTAATATCTGATCATTATTAGATATTTGATATTTAAATATGATGATAATATACTTACTAACAAAAAAATTAAGGATATAATAACACATGTTATCACCAGCTTATTAAGTTAAATCAGTAATTTTTATACTGTAACTTATTTCCTAAAATTTCAAAATACGAAATAATTTTGGGGTATAATTTATTAATACAATAATTTTCAATATATTGATTTGAATACAAATCTGGAAGTCAGGTTAAAAAAATGTATAAATATTGTACAGTATTTCAATTTTCACACTATTTTTTTTTTTTTTTTAATGAAAGACAAGTTTATTCTTATCTTTTTCATTGAATTTTGCATTACGCAAAACTTAGTTTATATGTGTATTTTATAATATACACAAAACAAACGAATTAAAATAATTAACACTGCTATTATAATTTTAAAAAAATTTCATTACAGTTACTACTCTGAAAAAATTATTACACGCAATTCTATTTCCTAAATTAGTTAGAATATTTGTTGATCAATCACAAACATAAATCATAAAAGAGGGCTATAATTTAACTACAATATGAAATTCGTCATTAAAACTCAATTAATTAAATGTTCCAAACACTCCTAATTCTAAATAAGATACAGTACCAATAACTCGCATATTAATCAAAATTCTTAAAAAAAAAAAAAAATTAATATTAAATAATAATTATTATATGTGTATATGTATAATATACATGTGTATAAATATATTAAACACTATCTATATTCTAATGCATTTGGTGGAGGTTATCTAAACCTATCTGTTAATTTAAACCTAACTTACTACATGCTCTTAAGTTTGAAAATTTGCTTACAGTTTTGAATAATACTGTTTTTCTGTTTTTATCATTTTAAAAAAAAAAAATTATCACTCATACTAAAAGATTGTATTCTAACAAAAAGTATATAGAAAAAAAATTACACACAAAATTTAATCCTAAAATTTGTTTCCTTTTTTTTTTTTGTCAATATAAACTGAGAAATAAGAAGTTTTAAAAAAAGATTCCTGATGACCTGCTAAGTTTAAATTTCTGCGGGTTGGAATTCTCCTGACCCAAACCCCTTAGGTAACATTTTGGGTCAGCTCATAGTTTTTTTAACCTGTACACAAATAAAAAAAATATTCTACTTTAAACCTGTACATTAAGTATATATTATATTAGTTCTAATGACAACTTAGAGCCAAAAATACAACATTTAAAAAATTTATATTAAAATATTCTGAGCAATTTAACCAAATTTTTATTAACAATTTGTATTAATAATTGTAATTAAAAAAAGATTTGTTTTTTTAATTTTAAGTGCTCAAGATAGTATATTAGGAAATTTATGTCTTACAAAAAAGAAAACTTCTTTTTTAAATAAAACTTTTTAATAAAAAAAAATTTAAGATTTTTAAAAAACTTATTTCTAATTACTGTATTATTTTCCAAATTCTATGTCATAATGGCTCCAAGTGTTAATTCAATATATTTGTAATTAAATTTTAAAACAAATTGTAAATGATAACATATCATTTAAATAAATGTGTATAGTTTACCTTAAATAATTAGTATCTTCCTCTTCCTCCTCGACTAAAAGCACCCCTACCACGACTTGTATTTCCAATGCCTCTACCAGATACACTTCTTCCAGGACCACCTCTTCCACGAACACTTCCCCTTCCCCTTCCACCAGAAAAGTTAGTTCCTTCACCACTGGCAAAGTTACTGCCACTAAATCCACCACTAAAGTCATTGTATCCACTATCAAAACCACCTGCACAATAAACATAATTAATAATATTTGATAGATGATACAAAATATTTTTTTAAGAAAGACATTATGATAAATGAGTACTAATGCTACTATACTAAGTTATTGAATTATATCAAATTTGCAGTATACTGTTGTACTGTATAGATATAGTGGAATACATTAATTACATAAATTAAAGGGCATTTGTGCTATGAGTTTTCTCAAGGAGATATTTTCAACTCTTAAGGTTTTTTCATAATATTAAATAAACAAACATGACACTATCTTAGTGAATAGAGTGAAGAAATAGATTTCATCAATTGTTTATAAAATCAGTAACAGAAATATGCTGAGAATACAATACCCTATATTCAAAAGTATATCAGATTAAATTTATTTTATGAAACACCAAAATTACCATCAGACTTATATTATTATCTTAATGAAAAAATTGAGTATTACTATTGTATGGCGCAGGTCTTGTAGCACCACTTCCACGCATAGGACCACCACTTCCTCTAATGGGACCTGAACTAAAATTCTGTTGATAACCATCACCAAAATTATTGTTCCAAGCGCTAGTTGATGGACTTCTCCAATTGCTACTCCGAGAACTAGGGACTGAATCCCACGGATCAGGGTCATTACCACCTGAAATTATAATGTTTAAGATATCTTTAAATAGTAATATTATTTTTAATTTACTTATTAAACATTGTAAATTATTTATAAAACAATAGATAAATTTAATAAATTTTACCTCTCCAACCACCACCTCTACCACTCATTCCAAAATTTCTCATTGTAGGTTCCCAGGCACTTCGGTTGTCATTTCCCCAATTATCCGAAGAATTGCTGTTATTTCTAGCATTCACCCTAGCCATTTCTTCTTTACTTAATGCCTTTTTCACGTCAATCTTTTTACCTTTGATTATATGTGATCCTTTTACTGTTAAAATTAAATGTATTAATGAATTAAAAAAATAAGTAGATATTGTAATTAAAGATATTAATGTTTACACTCACGACATATCTTATCAACTGGATCATAGTCATCAAATTCAACAAAACCAAATCCACGTTTTTTCCCAGTTTCTTTATGAACAACTAAAGCAGCAGAAGTGACATTACCATATGGAGAAAAGTACTCTTTTAAATCTTCTTCAGTAATGCTATCATTTAACAAACCGACAAACAATTTTTTTACTGTCGCTCCAGCTTCAGGTTTTCCAATGTCCTATCGAACAGAAATGATATAATTAAAATATTTTTAATAAAATTAATCAATATTTTTCAGAAAAAATCTGATTTGGCGCCCACGTGATTTTTTGATTTTTTTTTTTTTTTAAATGTGTGGTTTTACATGCACATTAAAAATATAAAAAAAATCAAGGCAGACGAACTTCATTTTAAAGTTATGATTGAAAACTTCATTAATGTAGGGGTTTTTGTTTTGTATATTTCTTAGTTAGAGTTTAACATTTTCAAACTTTTGATTTGTTGTGCAAAACCACGTCGAGTAGGTAACAGGGAAAAATAAATAGTTAACGATTATTTTTGATTAAAATTGTCCGAGTGAGTGCAGCATAACACTTTGCATTTAAACGTTTGTAACTCTAAAAGTAAACTAAATAGCCTTATTCTGACTTAAATAAAAAAAACCGGTTATCAAAATCTCAATAATTAGAAATAATAATAATAATAAAAAACAATGACAAATTTTAACCACACTTTGAATGAACTCCAAAAATGCTTTTTTTTAAATATTTATATACAAAAACTATAAAAGTAAGTATTGGTTATACCAATGAATAAGGCATTAAAAAACACATTTTAAAAAAAATTCAAAATTTCAACTAAAAAATATGCAAAACGAAATTTGTCCGATTTGATTTTATTTGTATTTTCTTAATGTACAAGTAAAACCCCACATTTTGAAAAAACTCAAACAATTGCATGGGCGCTAAACTAGATATATGCTTATTTTTCAATTACAGTTTTTGGAACAGCTCTCTTAGGTTCTACTGTACGGCCATCAATTTTGTGGGGACGTGCGCTTTGAGCATCATCAACCATATGAGCTGCAGCATATGTAATAAAGCCAAAGCCTCTTGATCGTTTGGTTTGAGGATCTTTCATAACAACAACATCCATTATTTCACCCCACTGTTCAAAATATTTTTTGAGATTTTCATCTGTTGTTTTATAATCTAAACCTCCAACAAAAAGTTTCCGAAGGTGCTCAGGTTCCCGCTAAAAAAATATATATATATGATATATGTTGTGAGTATATGAATGTGAGGATGATGTAGTAGCAACCACAAATATTTGAGATGAAGACAAAAGAGAAGAAGATGAATCAGTTTATTAATTTTCATTTTTATACATAACCTTAATCTAGTTTATTAAAATAGAGCTTGGAAGATAGTTTGGTACTTAAATTAAACAGTTCAATTATAAATATAAGTATATTAACTATAGGGTAACTGGGTTTTATATTAACAATTTATTAAACTAAGTTTACAACGTTAAATTTTAAACTAATATATACAATGTATATATATTAGAAGTTTTTAAACTGCATATAGTTGACTAATATTATCTAAAATAATACTAAGTATTTTCCTAAATAAGAAAGGACATTGAAAATAAACCTATATATAAACTTATATAAATTTATTCATGTTTTAATTCATTGTAATCTAATGTTTAAACAAGTAACTTGAAGGCATTTAAATATATTTTACTGGATTAAACATATCTGATAATAGATAACTTGATAGAGAATGTCGACTTATTACAAATATTAGAAATTATTATAAACGTTTACATTCATAAGAATAAAAATACAGATTTTAATAATAATAACATAAACAAAATTTTAATGAACCAAGTATGTAATAAATCTTATTATAATAAATTTACTTTAATATGTAGGATCTTATGATATAATAGTATTTGTTATTTAAATATTTTTTGTCACATATTTTAATTTATCAATAATTTAGAAATAAAATTAAGCCGAAGAAAATTCTTAACTAAAATTTAATTTTCATAATGTATTTAAAGTTTAATATTTCAATGTAAATAATGAAAGTATGAATATTACCATGATTATGATGTCAAAGTTGATGGATTGTTATAATAATGACGGCTGTTTATTTTTGTAGGAAATTTTATTGAAATTTAAATCACAAAATAATATATTTGGTAATACAAATCGGTGGTTTAAATTACAATTATTTCTTATTAGTTTATAATAGATGTAAATCAAATTTGTTTTAATAAAACACAAAATTCAACAGGAATCAATGAAACGATTGAAACGTAAACAACAAAGTAAAGTAGGTACTAGCTTAGCTGTAAAATATAAATTAGGAGGGGTTGAAGTAAAGCTGAGTTTCCATTACACCGAGCACCGTGTCCCGTGCATTAATCTACGTATTCTGATTGGCTAAACGGTTTGGTTACCATGTACTACCTGGTTCAGCCAATCAGGATACGTAGATTAATACACGGTATACGGTGCACGGTGTATTAGAAACTCGGCTTTATGGCATTAAAAATTACAGTATGTCCAACTAAATTATTCTACAGTCTAACCAATTATAATTATGGTACAATACATTTTCAAACAAAACATTCTACAAAATATTAAAGCTATTGAAATATAATGAAGCTATATGGAAATTGAACTTTGTACTTTTACTGGTTTCAAAATATGCAAAAATTATAAATAGATTATCTAATTTTAGTATTGTATTATACATTATTATGAGTTATTCTGGAACTGTAGTTCAACCACCTGTATTCTGAATTGTGTACATCTTGTTGTCACAATAGTGTTTAATAAATATTGATAGTGAAGAAGTATTTCAACCTGTTATATTACCTTATTCATTATGCTTTTGTATCAAGTGTAATACACTTGTCAGTACTTTTGTATTTAATATTTATTGATTTTACGTAAATTTGTCCAATGTTTAATTATTGTTTAATTTAAAATGTTTAACAAACGTATTTTATTTTGTACTCTTGTTTATTTAATATTTAATTTCAATAAATATTAATTTAGTTATTTAAAATTAAAATGAAATACATATTATGGATATTTGTTTTTATTTCAACTTGCTTTGCTGATGGTAATTATTTATTCATATTTTTTTCTATGATCTACGTGTTTAATTTGAAATTATTGACAATTTAATTTTAATTATTTTGTATTTTCTTAGTAGATTAGGTAAGGTAAGTCATAAATATCATAGGATGTTTTTATTTGTTTACATTATCATTTAAATTTACATATACTTTTCTAAATTAACTACTAGAATAATTCAATAATATTTCTGTTTATTTGTTTACCGTGTATAAAGAAATTTAAAGTACATTGTGTTAAGTTGTAACTAGATATTATTTATATAATAATATTAAGTATTATAATTCTTACTTGCCTATTTATTATTTTTGGAATGCTGTTATATATTTGTTAAATAAGTACCTATATAAAATAACATAAATTTAATAACATATTTCGATTTATAAATTCATTAAATGAAGTAAATTTAAAATGTTTATGAGATAATAGATTCTGGCTTTATATCTATTGCATTATTCGTTTTTTTTAGTATGTTTGACATTGATTTGAAATGTAATCCATATAATATGTATGTTTAGTATAGTTGGATATTAATGTAGCTTCCAAGCAATTTTTTATTCAAAGTGTAGTGAAGAATGTATTAGTTTTACAAAAATATTTTATTTTTTTTTATCAGTTTTTCCAATTAAACAGAAAAAGTGTAAAAAAACGTAAATAATGGGAAAATAACGAAATAATGCTTTTATTATTTATTGTAATTCAGTCAAAAATATTCGTAGATTTGAAATTTGGACAAAAATTTTCTTTTTTAGACATTGTAATATGTTTAAAAAATTAAGTCATTTTTTGAACTATTTATAGAAATTTTAATTTTACGAGTTTTATACTTAACTTTTAGTACCATTAGGTACTGTGTGGTAAAATTGTCAGACCAACAGAAATGCGTGGAAATTTAACTGAAGGTTCATAAAAAAAGTCTTAATTTGTGGTAAAAAAAAATCAATTTGAGTTTAATTTTTTATAAAGAAATTTTAATATAATATTTTGACGAAAATCGTTTGAGTAAAAATTTATATTGAAAATATTAAATTTTTCATTTTTCATTTTTTTTTCTACTGTAAACTTGTATATTGCCGATTTAAGAATGATGGTGAAGTCAGAATTGAGTGGACCAACTAAGTTTCGAAATTATAAGTTTTTAAAGTTGTGATATTATGCGAATATTATATGTTATGTTAAATAAATATTATCATATTAAAGAATATTGTGATCTAATGGTTATACATACTTCTTGTCATCCTAGGGTGAAATAAATTTCAAAATACCCCACGATTTTTTATTCAAACTTTTTACAAGAAATCTTGCTCCAATTTATCAAGTGTAGCTTATTTTATGATAGAAAATTTATCTACATGGTACTTTAAGGACGTCATTTTGAAGTGATTTTCATAAAATTTGCGAAAAATCGTGATTAAATGTGGGAAAAACGGGAATATGTACAAAATGTAGGTATATAAGTTAAAAATATGACGACCTTCTTTTGTTTCTATGTACAACTTTTCTACCAGCAATTGTGCTGATTTACAATGATAGCACTTTTTCTTAATGGAAATATGACTGGGGAGGTACTTTAGAGAGGTAATTTTTCCCAACAAATATGAAAAATGCTAAAATCGGTACGATATTAAACAAATATATATTTAAAAAAATCATATAATGCCTATTTAATTATTTTATCATTATATAACATGTTTAGATATTGTTGACATAGCTTCACTATAAACTGAACTACGCTCAGAATTGTTTTTTTCGTTCGCAATGGTTTATTGTTGCTTACAGATGTACTTTAAATTACCTATAATAGTAGCTACACCCGTCTCCATTATCCTAGGGCATCTATTTTTAATTTTTTTTTTCAAATTGTGTGTTTGGATGCTTAATTGAAAGGTATTTTTTTTAAAAAATGACTTACATTTTCTTTAGTTAGACTTCTTTAGAAGTTACAGCCAAAAACCTTCAAAATGATAAATTTACCAAAAATGATGTTATTATGTTTAAAATACCAAAGATTTAAAAATTTATAAATTTTTCTTTTAAGTGTATTTTTATGCTCAACATTTTGATGAAATCAAAATTTACTCGGCTTTTTTGCTTTTTGTGTTATTGATAACAAACTATATAAAACTTAATTATAAAATTATTTCAAACATTTGCATATTCATGTATTCAAATTTAAAATAATAACTTATGAGGGGGGGGGGGAGATAAGTGATATAATGTGTATGTTATTACATATTAAATAAAAAAGTCAATTTTTAGTTACTTTAATATGTAAATGTTTAAAAGAACTTTATAATTAAATTTTACATGGTTTATTAACAATAATATAAAAAGTAACTATGATAGTAAGTTATGATTTCACTGAAATACAAAATTTAAATTAAAAATTGTTTTTATTTTAAACTTACACACAGGATTTTTGTAAATCAATTATTTTGAAGTTTTTAATTATAACTTCTAAAAGAAAGTGTGAGTGAATTTTTTTGAAAATACCATCAAATAAAGCATGCTGCAAAAACACATATTTTATGAAAAAAAATTCAAAAAATTGTTTGGGAGTCAAATTGCATTTCTACTTATGATTGTTATATGTTATTTTGTATTTATTAAACACATTGATTAAATTTGTTTATAAAATTTCAGATTTACCAGTTTTCAATAAATATATGAACAATGAAGCTCTTTCTGAAAACTCTCCAGTTGGCCAATCTGTTTACAAACTTGAAGGTATTGATACATTTGGAAACGATAATGATTTATTATATGGTATAGAAGGAACCGATTACTTAATGGTTAATTCAAGCACAGGTGTTGTTACTGTTGCAAAACGTTTAGACCATGAGGTATGTATTACAATCTTTTTTTTATTTCAAAGTACTTTCCAACAAAACAATTATTAAATAAGACTTTGTGTTCTAGGAAAGTGATACTTTAAAATTGTTTGTCACGCTTCAACAGAAAAATAGTACTGATATAGTTAGGCTTCCTATATCTGTAATTATATTGGATGAAAATGATAATGCTCCTTCATTTAAAAATACACCATATGAAGGTTCAGTTAGTGAAGAATCTCAAATTGGCACTACTGTATTTAAATGGATTCATGTTGAAGATTTGGATAAAGTTGGTGATCCACTTGAAGTTAGATGTGAATCGAAATTTCAGGTTATTAAATACATATTATAATAACATTCATATTTAGATTGAATTAATTATTATCTTCTACTCCTTCACCTTCATCCCAACTATTTAGGGTCGGCAACTTTTGCTCTAAATTTCCACTTGAGCCGATCACCCACATCATCTTTGCATTCACCAGCTATCCTCATATTCTCAATTACATTTATAGGATAACATAGAGGAGGTGTGAATAAGTTTGTGATATATTCCCTCAACTATTAAAAGTTATATAATATTTTTCTCTTTTCCTAAAATGCATACATGTACCCTCTCATATCATAGTATCTTCATTTCCTGATATTCCTTGTATTACCTCATTTATCTTTGACCATAACTTATCCTTTTCTCTCCCTTCACACTCTACTTGTAGAACATACATACTTACTACATTAAATACTCTTTTATTTAATATTAATTTCATCGCTATTATTCAATCACTTTTTCTTAGTATATCCACTAATTCACTTTTTAAATCTTCATCCATCTATCTTTCATCCCCACACAATTTTTTGTATAAATTCTATATGAATATATTATTTTATAACCCTCTCCATCCTAAATACAACAAATATTGACTTCCTACCTCTTTAACACTTTTACTAATTTTCTACTTCTATCAGTTAGTGGTCCAACATTCCATATACTTATTCTTCCTTACCTTTATGTATCTAGATACAAGTCCAATCTAGGAAGCAGTGGTGATGTCCCTACACTATTTACACTACAAGAGTTGGTAAAAAAGACATATCACTTTCTGTTAGGTTGATATCACTCACTCCAACTTCCAAGCCTCCTCTAAACATTGCTTCATCAATTCCTCTTTCCTATTATCCCTGCACACATCCAAAATGGAACAATTCACCTAACCTTTGTTTAGAACTCTTTATACTATTTGATAGAATTTTACTCACACTTAACTCAATCCCATTTTTTTTTTTTTTTTTTACATTAACAACTTCTTTAATGGAAATAATTTCCAATTACTCATAATACAATTTAATATAATTTTAAATATAATAATATAATACTGCAATATAGTGAAAATAATAAACAAACTTATTGACGAAAATAAGTAAAAAATATACTAATTATGAAATCTTCTTCAAAACATGTATTATAAATGCTGATATAGATATATTAAAATAATCGAGATTTTTCACTGAATTTCTTGCAGACATCAATACATATGATGGTAAATTTAACTTATAATTTGTTCTAGTATATTTTATATAAAAAAGATTTGTATTTTGACTGTTTATTGGATTTATTTTAAAGTTCATATTTTGCAGAATTTTAGGACAATCAATCACATTATTAAGTATTTTATACAGAAATTTTAGTTTTAGCTGTATTAATCGTTTTTTTAATGTTAAAATATTAAAAAAGTTTATTGTGACATCGTAAGGAGAATATTTTGACAATTTGGACAATAAGTTACATTTTACAATAGGTTGAACCTTACCATTATAGTATGCCAGACTTACTATGTTATATGGTTCAAAGTGTTAAGCTGTAGACATAAAAATAGAAAATTTTGAAGTTGATGAATGGAGGGACAAGAGAGGATATAATAAGTGATGATTACATAAAAGGTAGCTTAGGCATGGCTTCAATAGTAAACAAAATAAGAGAAAATAGACTGAGATGGTTTGGACATGTCATGGGGAAAGAGGAATCTAAAGCAATAGAAATATAATGAAAATAAATGTAGGTGAGGTTGAAGGGAAAACTGAAAAGGAGTAGTTGGATGCAATTAAATTGAGAATTATAAGAAAATAGCTGATGTATGGGAGGTAGAAGATCGAGTTAAATGAAAATTTAAAACAAGAATGGCCAGTTCCAAACAGTAACGATAAATGCAAAGGAGAATAACTATTTATTATAATGAAAGTTTCTAAGCACAGTAAACTCAAAATATAACGAAAATTTCAATATAATGAATGAAACTGCCGTTCCCTTGAAAACTTTGTTATGTAACGAAAAATTTAATCTAATTTTGGTCCCCTCAATATAACAAAGTTTTTTTGGCAAAAGCTCTTGTAATACAACAAATTTTTACAATTTTGAAAATTGATATAAACAAATTTTCAATTTTTATTAAGATTCGATACATGTCTGTTAGTGTATGTTAATGACTAAACAAAACATACATAGCAAATAAAAATAGTTTAAAAATAAGTAGCTTGCTATTAAGATAAAATGTTAATCAATGTATAATGGTTCTATGAAAAATGTACAGACATATGCTTTACATTACTGTTCATACATCTATATAGCAATGAGCCATTATATGTGACTCGTGTATTTTATACATATTGTGATTTTGCTGTGTATTTAAATATTATTATTGGAAACTAATATGTATTTGTAGGATGTTGATTTAAATTTTGAATTTTCCCTTGAATCTAGTTAAAACAAAGTTTGTTGGTTCATGCTCTTAATATAACAAATTTTAGTGTAACAAACTTTCATAATATCAAACTATTTTTTCTGTCCCTTGAAATTTGTTACATTGTGAGGTGACTGTTTTTAAATAAGCTGATATTTGTTTACAAGAGTATTATTGTATTGTATTATTGAGTACATTCTAATAAGTAGTAAACTAATTATTAGTTAAATATTTAATAAATAAAAGTATTTATCTTTTAGATGTATTTTCAATTTTGTATAGATTTAAAAAAATTACCTGTATTATCATTTTTTCAGAACGATGATGGATGTTTAAAATTTAAAATACAAGCAATAAATGTCAGTGAAAGTTATTTTTTGGGTGTTTTAATTGTAAATGGGGATATACAATATTCAACAAACCAGTTTTATAAAATAGTACTAGTTGCTAGTGTAAGTCTCAATTTATTCAATTTATTGGTTTATTTATTCAAATAAAATAAAAACTTAATAGTTGTAATTAATAACTCTGTTTAATAATTATGTGACTATGCCACATTTAATGTAATAATAAATTATGTGTTTTAACTGTTAAATATTTTGTAGTTAATTTAGTTTAAAATATTAATAATATTATTTTAGTTTAAAATTTAAGTATGATTTGAAGTTAAATTTGTTATTTTTAGGATGGCATTCATGAATCTAGCATATATGTAGATATACACGTTAAAGACATTCAAAACATGCCTCCTGTTTTTCATGGCTCATTAACTTCTGTTATTAGTGAAGATATTTTAGTTGGAACACATATTTTAACAATAAATGCCAAAGATGGGGATAGAGGAGAACCAAGAAATATTGTTTACGACTTAATACAAAGTATATATACTTTTTTAAATTTGTTTAAATAATTATAAACAATGTTTGGATATACTATATATAAATTAGTACTAGAGTGCTTATTAATTCCCACTTTTATTTGACCATTTTAAAGTAGAATTTTTCAACGAGCCTGTTAAAAACATTAATCAATAAAATAAATTTAATTTAACACATCCTTTCTGTCTCCATGTGTAAAATCATGGATATAATAACCCTAGATTCCTTAATGAAACTCAATATTCTTAACAGAAATTAAATTAAATAAAAATTAATACGCTTTTCCATTATTATAATTTGTGATATTTGTGTCACTCACAAAACAAAAAGAAATAATTCAATTTTCATTCAAAAAACCATGCAACAGCCACCCTTTAGGAAATGAATTATAACAATCTAGTTTCGAGGTGCATATAGAATTGTTTAACTACTTCTATATATAAATGCGACCCTGTGATAGATTTGACAGTAGATTGCACATAGACAAATTGATACTTAAGATAATTTTATTTCTAATATGCAGCTACAAAGTAATATTTTGGCTATTCAGTGCATAAAATATATACAGTTGTAAAAATTAATATATGTGGGCCCAATAAAATTTATTTAAATGTAAAAATTATTTTGTTTTGTTAATTGTTTTTAAATTGAACATTTGCATATATATTCATGTGTGAAATATTGTTTAATTTACTCTTGAAATATCTAATTCAGTGTTTTAAATATTAGTTTAAAATATTAATGTGTAAAAAGAGGTATGTTGATATTAAACATGCTTAATAATGTTTTGTAGATCCTATGGATTACTTTTCTTTAGATGGTTTATCTGGTGATTTGAGTACTGCTAAGCCAATTGATAGAGAATCTTTGTCTGATAATAATGGTATTATTACATTAATTGTTCGCGTAAGTATACATTTGAAAATTATAATATATTAGTTGCTATATATTTGTATTTTTAAAGACAATATTACTTTATTTATTTAGGCTAGAGAACTTGCAAATGGTTCAGCGTTAAATGATAAATTAAGTTCTTCCATAGCAAATATTACAATCACAGTACAAGATGTTAACGATGAACCACCAGTTTTTAATAAAAGAGATTATTTTGTTTCAATACCTGAAAATATAGCTCCTGGTACGCCTTTACCTAACTTGAATATGACTGTTGTAGACTCTGATATTGTAAGCATATACTTATATACTTAATTTGTTTATTTATATATATACATTTTTTAATATTAAATATATTAATTAGGGTGCAAATTCTGAATTTTCATTAAGACTACTGGATGAATCAAAACTGTTTGTAATTGAACCAACTAAAGCTATTGGATCAGTAGATATAGGAATAAAATTGGCAAATAATGTTAAATTAGACTATGAAGATCCCAATCAGAGAAAATTTATTGTTTTGGTAATGATATATTTGAATAAAGAAGCAATAATATAGTTTTTATTTTTCTGCTTGTAATAAAATAGGTTATTGCTAGTGAACCAAGTGAAAAATATGATTTAACATCAACTGCTACTCTTACAATTCAAGTAACAGATGTCAATGATAACGCGCCTGAATTTGACAATAATGCTTATACTCTCACAGTAAACGAAACTGCTACTCCTGGAACTATAATAGGTGTAGTAAAAGCTACAGATAGAGACAGTAATCCAAATATTGTTTATAAATTAAGTGGACCATCAGCTGATAAGTAAATATTTAATTTTAATTTTAACTTCTTTGAACTATCTTCTGTTAGAATGAAATTTTTTTCTTAAATTTAATTATTATTTTCATTATTTTAGATTTGATGTAGATAAAGACACTGGGACAATATCAGTAGCACTTTGTTCAAATGTTGGGAAATCACCATGTCTAGACTATGAAACACAATCAAATTATTACTTAACATTTATAGCGACCGATGATAATGGTTATGGACAGTCCAATTCAGTTACCATAATGATAATTTTAACTGACAGCAATGATAATCCACCAATTTTTATGCAGCATTCATATAAATGTCTCATTGATGAAGGAATGACAATATTTGAACCTCCCCTTATAGTTCAAGTAAGTAAATATTTTACACATAGTACTATTGCCTATACATTTTTATTGCGAAATTGTATTTATTATTTTATGTTCACTTCAATATTCATATTGATTTAGTTAACAATGTACATTTTAATAATCAAAACAATTGTTTTTTTTTTTTCAGGCAACAGATGCAGATAAATCTTCCTCTATTATGTATTCAATAAGATCTGGAAATGAAAAAAAACTATTTAAAATTGATCAAACTAGTGGAGAAATATTTATTGTGCCTAAAAATGGACTTCAACGATCAAAAGATGATAATATTACACTTATAGTTGATGTAAGTTTATATCATACAAGTTTTACTTATTATTTATTGATATTTAATTTATTTTTTAGTTTTAACTTACATGCTTAATTTTTTTTACTATAATCATTTTATCAGGTTTTTTGTTGAAATTATCTTAAAAATAATTGTAAGTTCCTGAAATTTTAACAGAATAATTAAATTGACATTTTCAAAATATTCTTGCAATTTTTGAGCTTTTTAAAGGCATTTAACATTTTTTAGTATTTTATGGATGAAATTATTTTACCTATGATTGAAAATGATTAAAAATTAACATGAGGTTTTTTTTAAGATTAAATTTTGACAAAACTAGTAAAAATTATGTCATTTCAAAACATGTATAAACGTATTCAATCAAAATCGTTTTTGTTAACAATGGTTTATCATTGCTTACAGATATAAATTAAATAACTTTATATGTTCTGTCTTCCTAAATTTTCACCTACAACTTAAATATAAACTTTAAAAATAATTAAACTAACAAATGTTTCTTAAGCATAGTTAATTTTAGATTCTTAGTGAAGCGAAGAAGCTAATAATTCTACATAAATGTTCATTTTTTTTTTTTCTATCTGCGCAACTTTTCAACCAGTATGTTTGCTCCAACTTTTAATGATAGTAATGTTTCTTAAAGGAACTTGTACTGATGAGGTACTTTAGAGAGGTCATTTTTCAATTTTCCCAAGAGTTTTCCCAGAAAATGTGAAAAACCGGAATAATTGGTACAAATTTTCTTAAAGAAAATATACAAAGCATATTTAATTATTTTACTACAAAATGACATTTATATTGTTGACAAAGCATCACTATCAATTGAACTCTTCTCAAAATCGTTTTTTTGTAAGCAATGATAAACCATTGCTTACGGGTATACATTAAATTCCCAACCATATATCTTACCTTCCTTCACTAGTAAAATTTCCTTTTAAAAAAGGTGCTACACATAAAAATCCGAGCAAGTTTTCTGGTAGAAAAGTTGTGTACAGATTAAAAAAAAAAAATCATCTTTGTACAACCATAAGCTTCCTCGCTCCACTCAGAATCTAAAATAGTTCAGTCAGTTGGCTATCTTATTTACAAATATATGAAAATATATTTGTGTAGGTTTTTTTATTTTTTTTACACTTATATCTATTTTTGTAACCATTATTTGTTTGGTTCAGAAATGGGGTTTAATCCCCTTACCAATTCTACACTGCTGGGTGTATTAATAATATTAAGAGATTATATAACTTCTTTAATTTAAATTAATAATTTCTTCAAAATAGGCAAATGATGGAATACATAATGATGAAGCAACTGTGAACATAATTGTGTTGGATGTCAATAACAATAGTCCATATTTTTTGTTGGAATCTTATAATGTTTCTATTCTTGAAAATGAACCTATTGGACATAGTGTTATCACAGTTGAAGCAATAGATGAAGATTTAGATATGAATGCAAATCTTACATATTCAATACAAGAAGGTTCTTTTGATCATTTTTCTATTGACAATGTTACTGGACTTATCTTTACTTCATCAAAACTTGATTTTGACCAACATTCAAATTATGCCATCAAAACATTAGCTATTGATAAAGGCACACCTGCACTAACTGGAAGCACAACAGTATTCATACAAATAATAAATGTGAATAATAAGCGTCCAGAATTTGTTCCAGCCATACAGCGCGCAGAGGTTTGAAATTGAATCATTATAATTTTATTAATGCAGTATAGGATTATTGTGCTATGTAAAAAAAAATGTAATTTTATAGGTGTCAGAAGATGTACCTATTGGCACAGTTATTTACCGTCTCGTTGCTCATGATCCTGACACTAGTAATGAAAATGCTTTAAGTTTCTCTTTGAATACATCAGCAATCACTGGGATAAGTAGTAATGGTAATCAACTAGAAGACAATAAAGAAATTAAAAATTGGTTCAAAGTTCGACCTTCTAATGGTGATGTAATTATATCTAAAACAATTAATAGAAATATTGCAGCTATTGTTAGTTTATCAGTTATAGCCACTGATACTTCTGCTCCAGATGTTCAACAATCTTCAGGTTGGTTTTAATTTATTAAAAAGAAAGAAATGTATTAAATTTACATATTATATTATTATTGTTAATTTTAATATATTTATGTATACTTAAGCACAATTGTATTGGGCTAATTAAATTTTTTTTTTATTAGGAACTTTGATGATAACTATTATAGATATTAATGATATTCCGCCAATATTTGAACCACCTTGGAGTAAAGAAAATCCATATTATACAATATCGGTTTTAGAAGAACAGCCAATTGGTTTTATTGTTGGCAAATTTATCGCATCTGATGATTCTGGAATTGACCACTATGATCTTATACCTAATAATTCTTATTTTGATGTAAATCAGGTTACAGGTAAATTATTAATACTATAAAATTACTAATGTGGAACATATATATTACTTAGTTTGATGGGGTTTTTTTTTATTATTATTTGTTTATTTGTTTACTGTATACTTGTCCTCAACTTCACTCAAGTGCTTGATTATTCTAGAAAAAAAATTAATTATAAAAATTAGTTATAATTTTCTTGAAACCCACATATTTCCATTAAGAATACCATGTTAATTGTTTTATTATTAGTATTATGATAAAAATATTTATGTTTATTTTTGAAATGTCACAATTAATGAGTTTTTGTTCTAAATCAACAATGTGTCATTAATAGAATTTGGTGCAATTTGCATATAATCTGCAATTTTAGTTTACACAGTAAATATTCCAGTACTTTGTAATTTAAAATTCCTAATTTTTGAACTCAATTCTACTTGAAAAAATGTAGTACCCGCCTTTTCAATTTCAGTAAACCAATAATATCCCAATTTGAATATTGTTAGATAATATTGTATAATATTCACTATATTATTCTTTTTTCAAGGAGCTTTATACACAAAAGAAAGACTTGACTTTGAAAGAGTTGAAACAATTGATATTAATTTGATTGCATATGACACTGGTCATCCACAACTTTCAACTACTGCTACTATATTTATTAAAATTATAAACATAAATGACAATAGTCCAATTTTTAATCAGGTAACTTTTATATGATAAACAATACTAATTTGTATTGAATTAGATTGATGATTATTTGATTTGGATTATAAATTAATGAAAATATTAATTATTAAAGTATAGTTAAAAAAACTAAAAGTTATAGAATATATAAATGGCAACACAGTTTTATATATTGGCCAAAATTACTTACAATAAATGGAAAAATACATATTTAAGAGTAAACTTGTACAGATTTAATGTTTTTAAAAAATTTTACCCAATCATTAAATAATTTCTATTATAAAATGCCTAAACCAAAGTAATATTCAAATTATTGATTATAAATTGAATCAAAATCAATTAAATGCTAAATTCTAAATTAATAGCATATACATACATAATATGTATATTATTGACACTTTTATTATTTTTACTACCATCATTGTTGTGCCGTGGACTATCACTGTAACAAAATGTTATTTATTGCAACTATCTTTTTTAGAATACCAGGTGATTCAATTAAGTGGGTACACTCATCTCAGAAACAGAAAGTATTTACTTTTTCCGGAATTTGTTTTCTAGAACATTTAAAAAACAAGCTCCTCTACAATTTTATATTTATGTTACCCTTATTTTTGGGAGTAAAACCACTTCCTAATTTTGATTTTCAAATAGCAACCTATAATAAAAATTTGAGTGTTGAAATTTTTGATTTTTGTCAAGTTGTTGACGAGATATATTACTTTTAATTTTAGGTTGGAGGAAAGTAGTAGTGCATTATTAATACGGCACATGCCGTACCACCACACTAATGACACTCCATTACTCAACTCCAACCCAAACTTAAAAGTGGAATATTTCTTCAGTGGATCTGCAAAAATTTAGATAAAAGATAAATTCATTTTTTTTTTAATATATATATTTTTAACATTTTAACAATTTAATATTTCTAAATAGCAAACAGATGCCATTTTGGATTATCAACATTTTTCAAATCAAAAGTACTCTCAAGAAGAACAAAGATAACGTTGTACAAAGTTTTAATTAGACTCATAACATTATATACGTGTGAGACATGGAATACCACTAAATCGGATGAGAACAAATTGGGTGTATTTGAAAGGAAAATATTGCGAACAATTTTTGTACTAAAAAAATATGATGAAGGTTAATTTGAAGTTATGACAAATGAAGAATTGCGAAGATTATTTGATAAAGCCAACATTATAAGAATCATGAAGAGTAGTAGAATAAGATGGGGGGTCAGCCATGTGTGGTGATTGAAAGGAATATTAAGAAACATAACAACATGGAGATTAAACAAAAAACGACCCAGGGAGCGACTCAGACAACAATGGGCTGATAAAAATAAGGAAAACCTCAGGATGATTGGGGTGAAAAATGCGAAGGAAGTGTCATGGGACAGGGAGATGAAGGAATGTTGTTGTTGTGACGATGAATGTTAATGACCTAAAGATAGAATAGTATATAATTTATTACAGAAAATAATATGAATAATAGATATTATAAAAATGAGTACCCAAAAAAAAAAATGTTCAGTTTTATTTTAAATTAAAAATGTATCAACAAAAATATAATACTCTGATTAGTGTGTGTGTATCACTGTTTTAAGAGGGAAGTTGAAAAGGAAAATACTGAATGTTGTACAAATATATATATTCATTGTAATACATCTGTATATAAACATAACTAAATTCTATTTTTTATTATTATTATTATTACTCACAGGGTAAGGACAAAGTTTGTTTATGTTTTAGTTAAAACTTAAAAATAACTTTCTATTTTATTATTATTATTTTTTTTTTTGTTAAAAAAAAATTGAATATAACGATTTTATAAAGTTTATTTTTAAAGGTGAAAAGTTAGTAGAGGGGAAATTGGATGTTTTAGACAAAGTGATATAATTGAAATCGGAGCAAAATTACTGGTAAAAAAGTTGCTCTCAAAAAAAAAAAAAAAAGCATAACCAATATATTTCTTGCTCAACTCAGAATCTTAAAGTGTAATAATAACCAATTAGCGAATGCGATTACAGCTTGCTGCAAAGCTATAGGTACTTTTTTCAGAATTTTAAAAAAATTATTAACAACCACAGATTTATTGAAAATAAAAGTTAACTCTATAAAATAAATGACCATCCTCAATGGGTATATCTTTGTGAGGCACCTTATATATAGAGTAATTTAATAAACATCTGTATACAATGATACTACACTATTACTAACTAAAAACTATTTTGAGCAGAGTATTATTAGTTACATTTTTCCCTTGTTTCCAAGGTAACCCAAAAATCAACAAAATATATTAACATATAATAAATTAACATTTTTTCGCATTTATTTATTATTTATTTATTTACTTTATTTATTTGATTATTAATAACGAGTGGTGTTATCCTGACTATCTTGAAAATCCGAAATAGTTATCGCCCTAATCTATTCACAATAATCTACAATTACTATATTATAAATAACTCATCAATTTGTGTTTGTATTATTCTATTAGACTGAGTATAGAGCAGATATTGAAGAAAATTCACCTATTGGAACTTTAGTTACAAATATAGTAGCTACTGATGCCGATAAAGGGTTATTTGGTATTGTTCATTACTCTATTATTGGCAATAATTATGGTTTTGTTATTGATCAAGACACCGGCATGGTCAAAGTTAATGATTCTAGTTTTCTTGATCGTGAAATAACGTCAGAATTTATGTTAACAATTCAAGCTAAAGATGAAGCTTCACCAAGTTCAACTAAATCTGCTATAGCACTGGTAGATTATTTTTCAATTAATTTTTTTAAAACTATGACATACATTCTTCTTGGTATTATCATTGATTATAAATACTAGTTTTTTAATCAATGCAATTAATTTAGAAGACATTAAATTGTTAACATAATTTACATAAATAAATTGTATTTATTTTGTTTAGTTATTTATTACACTTATTGATATGAATGATAATCCACCGCAGTTTGATCCAAAATTGTATTCATTGTCTATTATTGTCTCTACTCCTACAACACCTTTAATGCAATTAAAAGCTATTGACAAAGATTTAAACTCAAAATTAATCTACACTATTGTATCAGAAAATAAAGGTTTGTAATAAAAAAAAAATATTAATATTTAGAATATTTAGAAGTTTAGTTTAAAAAAATAAAATTATATTAATATATTTTAGATGTATTTAGTCTTGATAAGGATTCAGGATTTTTATATTCAGCCATGTCATTGAATGGAAAAAAAGGTGTATACTTGATCAAAGTTGATGTTTTTGATGGTATTTATCATGATCAAGCAATTGTTAACATTACTGTCCTTGATATTAATCAAAATCAACCAGTATTTGTAAACCCATCAACTAATAATTCTACATTATCTATTTCTGAAGTAAGTCTAATAATACATGTGATTATAAATGGGATTTTTAATCTGTATTAATTTTAAAAAACTACCTTAAATTACATAATAAATATTATTAGTTTTATAGTGCTAAAAAAACCTTTTGCACATTCTTCCAAGTTCCTCTATCCACACTGATCTATTGTATTTTCCATTTATATTGACTTGTTGACATTTAAGATGGTGATATAATGTATTGTAAAATTAATTTAAATTGTTCAATATAATTATATGTTTATTTCAAATTTTAATTAAATATTTAAACTTTGTATTGTTTTTTAGGATGTTAATGTCGGCACTTTAATTTTAACAGTATGTGCTGAAGATAAGGATTTTGGAGAAAATGGCCGTGTGACTTATTTTTTTAAAGTAGCCAATTCAAATGCACAACAAACTGATGCATTTACTATTAATCCAGAAACAGGACAAATTAAAACTCAAATTTTACTTGATTATGAAACTAAATCATCTTATCAAGTATATAATTTTTAACTACATTATTTTATTTTAAATTCTAAACAAAATCATTGGTACTTATAATAGTAATAACCCATTTATTTAGTTGGTGTTAGTTGCAAGGGACCAAGGATCTCCAACATGGCATGAATCTTTAAAACTTCTGACAATCAATTTAATTGATGTCAATGATAATAAGCCACAATTTTCTAAACACAATGACAATAAACCATTGTATACATTTACTATTAGAGAAAATAATAGACTTCAGTACAAAATTGGTAAATTGACATTTATAATTACATAAATATTTTTGAACATTTTATAATGATAAACTAATTTGTTTAATACTGAGGATTTATATTTCATTGGTAAATATTTTTAGGGCAAGTAAAAGCAACCGATTTAGATCAAGGCGAAAATGCACAAATTTATTATTATTTGATATCAAATCAACCAGTTCCGTTTGTTGTAGATCATCTTGATGGAACTATTTATACAAATGACACATTAGATAGAGAAAAACAGAGCTCATATGAAATTCTTATCAAAGCTTCAAATGATAATGAATATCAACAAACTAATGTAATTATTTTATATTTTAAACACTGTTGAATTCAAATCATTCCTAAGAAATTCTCTTAGACATTAATTTATTTATTTCCAATCAAATTTAAATTAATATTTAATTTTGTTTTGTATTTGTATTTTTTACTCTATAGGACTTAGAAATTGATGATTATAATTTAGCGAAAGTATTAATACTGGTAACTGATGAAAATGATAATCCTCCAGTTTTTCAAGTCAATCATTATTATGCGGGTAATTTTTTTTTTTTTTTAATATAAATGTAATAGTTTTCTATAAATCTTAAGTTCAAATTTATGATAACATTTATTTAAATCACTAACAATTTTAATTTATTTTATTGTTACAATTAATTTAAATTTATCAAAAAAATATTTAAGCTTACTCAGATTTGTTTTTTCTTTTGTAATGACAACAAAATGTGTAGCAACAGTGTATTAAACAGCCACAATGGAATGTATTTTTAAACAATAATTTGTTTATAATAAACTAAAATTTTAAACTTAATTTCCAGGAGTGAATACCATGGCTAAAGTTGGAGATGTTGTACTTCAAGTAACAGCTATTGATCTAGACTATGAAGAAAACAGTACAATTACATATTATATTGAGAATACACAATTATTTAGACCTGGAACTAGCAATTTGACATGGTCGTCTATGCTAAAAGACCCCTTTTCAATTGATCAGTTGGGTCGTATATCAACAGCTGTATTCTTAGCTGAATATAATCAAGGACGGTTCAATTTGCAAATAGCTGCAAAGGAAAATTCATTTCCCAATAGAATTGCCTACACAGTAGTCACAGTAATAAAATTATTAAATAAATTAGCTAATACTTTAGATAACAACAATGGTGCTAAATACAAACGCAAGGTAGTGCATTAGAACCACTTAAAATTGAAGAGTTGGCAGGGGCGTATAGGCAAATTAGAGCCAATCTGGGAAAAATTTAACCAATGCAATCCATATCAAGAGCATAACATCATTCAACAGTTAGCCATAAAAATTGGAAAGATTATTTTATAATTTGTACTTTATTAGTACATAAATAAACAAAAATAAAACCATTGCTATAAAACGCTTATAAATATAAAATACCACATTACGATTAACTTTTTTATTTCTACTATGTTAAATTTACAATGAGCCTTGTATTTAATTTTCAACTATTTCAGTTTGATCAAATAATTGTATCCACATTATACCAAATAAAAACTAAAATTACTAAAATTTTATCCAAAAATTAATTTGTGAAAAATGTGCAAATATGTGTAGCTAGGAATTGTGAAATACTATTTAACTATTTAAGAGAAGTTGTAGAATTATATTCAATACTATTTTGCACTTGCTTACTTTTACTAAAAACTACAATTCAGTACAATATAATCGATGTAAATAAAAATATTTATTTTAGTCAAATGGTTTTCCTTACCTTCTAGGCTTTCAAACAGTACAAAATTAATCGCTTAAATATTTTACTTTCTTCAAAATAATTTATAATGAAATATAAAATTAATACAATTCTTTGATATTATGTTTAAATATAAAATTTAGCAGTGTTTTCATAAAAATGTTTGTATAAAATATGATTTTTTTGTTTTTTAATTAAATTAAATTTGTGAGGGTTTTATCATTTTCCTACTCAAAGCAACCTAGTAAACAAGTAAGAGCCTATACATTTTAAAATTACAATAATAAATTAAATGATTTAAATGCATTTAATTAATAATATAGGTTATATTTTTGAAAAAAAGACAATTTATTAAAAATTAATTTAAAAAAGCAATTAAAACTTAGGAATATTTTATTTTTTTAAAAGAGCTAAACCCCTCTAAGCAAACTCAATCAGTACCTATAGTTTAAGTATAAATAGATGTATGTATAAAACAATATTGTTAAAGAGTCTTATTAGAAATTTTAACCTTGGACCTGAATGGTAACAATATTTTTGAGATTTTCTAGAAATACACCCTGGGTGGAGGTTAGAAATTGTATTCACATCACATAGGTACTAAAAGTTTAAAGTTTTAGGTAGGTATGTATTAGTGAATGATAATCTTGGAAGTTAGTTATTTTTTGTTTAGAGATACTGTTTTCTATTTTAAACTCTATTCCACTACTGGTTACCTATATTTATCTTTTTATACATATGTAATTCTCGTGGTTTAAGTTTAAGGTTTAAAAGGGGATATAGCACTATTAATATCTTGAAATACTATATTTTTAACCGGTTTCTATAAAGCTTCTCGTATTTTAGATTCTGAGTGGAGCGAAAGTGCTTATAGTTATGGTTTTAGGTATTAGTTAAAAAATATTTCTGCCTTCTTTTTTCCTATAAACAACCTTTTTACCAGCAATTTTGCTCCAATTTATAATGATAACAATGTTTTTAAAATGAAATCTGACTGGGAAGGTACTTTAGCGAGTTCATTTTTCAATTTTTTCCCAGCAACAGTGAACAACTGGGGAAAATGGTACATTAAACAAATATTATTAAAGAAAATATTTAATGCCTATTTAATTATTTTACCATAATATGACATATATATTATTGTCAAAGCATCACTATCAATTGAACTCCGCTCAGAATTTGTTTTTCGTTAGCAATGGTTTATCATTACTTACAGGTATACATTAAATTTCTCTTCTCCTACCTTCCCAGTGGCTTCACCCATCCCCATTATCCTAGCACAACTTTTTATTTATAGTATTTAATTAAATTTAATGTATTGTCATGATTGGATATTATTTTGTTTCAGGTATGGGTTTATGAAACTCATCAATTAGTGAAATTAATAGTGTCACGTGCTCCACAAACAGTTAATAAAGGTCGAGAACAGATACTTTCTAGTTTGGCAAATGTAACTAATATGATTGTGGTATTGGACGATGTCCGTTACCACGTTAATCAGTATGGTTATATTCAACCAGATTGGAGCGATGTGTATTTACACTTGGTAAATCCAATGAAAAATGATATAATGTCTAGTTGGGAAGTTTTAACTATAATTGATGAAAAATATGATTATTTAAAAGACTATTATCAACATTTTGCTATTGAAAATGTTGTGGTATGTATAATTTTAGAATTAATATAAAACATTATTATTTTTTTTTTTTGACAGTAATTTTTGCAGTGGTTAAATAATTGATTCGAAAGTTTTATTAATTTCTGACAATAAAGATAAAAGATAAAAAATAAAAGATCAATTGTTTAAATTTCCAGTGGTTACTAAAAATTAAAATTTTATGAACACCTAACATTGAAAATATTCATTTTTCTGATATCTACAAATTAAAATATACTTGTAACTTGTAAAGTGTACACTAGTTGGTGTTAATAACCTTACTAAAAGTAAGAAGATTCAAGCTTCATTTATCACACATTCGTTTCAATGTCCTATATATCTTAATTCTTGTTCAGAGTTGCATATTTCAAACAAAAATTAAAATACAATAATAGTGAGTCTTGTTCATTTTTATAGCAGGGTTGGAAAAAACTCAACTCAGTTGGAGTAATTTGGGTTATTCACCATAAAACCCTGATGGGTTCAACCCAAAAAAAAACTTAATGGTTTTTTTAGGATGGGCTTTTTTTAACCAACCTTGACTTATAGACATGATTAATGTGTTTACATAATTTAATAATTATTATATTATTATACATATTTGTTTTTAAATAGTTGAATGTGATATTAATATAAATAATTTTTTCTTATATTAGCCTGCTCTGGTTGTTTCTCAAAATGAATCATTTGAACCTACCATAGCTGCTTTAGTAGCATTATTAGTTGTGTTAACTGTTGGATGCATTGGTGTGTTAATAATTTGTTGCTGCTTCAGACATTGGTAAATTCAACCAAAATATTCTGTTAACAGTTAATTTTCTATTTGTATTTGTATTATTTTTTTTATAGGATGTTTACGGAATTGGATAATAACTCAATAAAGAATGACATATTGATAAAAAAGGCTGTGATCGATGATCTCAGTACAACTGAAAATCCACTTTGGATTGAACAGTAAGATAATACTGTTTATAAATAAATAATTTAAACATAAATGTACTTATATGATGCTTTTCAACTTTTTTATTTATTAGGAAATTAAAATTGTACGAAGAACAAGAATTAACTATGCAAGTTTTTTGCGATCTTGAAAATAAAGATATGCCAATTAATCAAGATAATATTGTGGTAAATTTTCAATTTTCAATTTATTTTTATACATTATTGTGTTAAAAATATTTATTTATAGGGAGATAATACATATGCAACGATACGACGTCCTTCTCGTCGCGGTTCTATCAACACTTTATTGACAATGACACCTGGTGAATATGCCACTTTGGGCGGATCTGTCTTACCATTGCCTCCTGACGGAGGCACTTCTCATAGTCAACAAGTAATATAATTAACTTTAATAGTATTTAGTATATTTAAATGCCCTAAAAAATTAATTTTATTAATGTAAAATTACATAAAATGATGCCAATATAAGAAATATTATGAGTTTTGTGACAAACACAAATAATACATTATGCTACATAGTATTGTTTACAATACAGTCTTCTTGCAATTCATCTTGCATATATTTCCACATTCAAATTTGTATAATAATGACATAATAAATCGCATCTAATTATCAGCTGAGAAATAAAATTATTGTATGTCTACAATAAACTTAATGAATAATTTAATTATATTATGTAATAAACATTATAATACAATTTTTTTTTTTTTTTTTTTACTTTCTTGAAAAAGAATTTATGTAACAAATAAGAATATGAATAAAAAACTGTATTTCTAATGCTAATATCTTTGGTAATATTCAAATTTTAATTTTTCAATCAGTTCTTTAGAAAAAAAATTACTTTATTTGTTTTCACTTTTCAAAATAATCAAAATATCCACATTGCAATCAATATTACTTTTTAAATTTAACTGTATCAAACTAACATATCCAATAAATAGTGTTTCTTAATAATAGCTCTTTTAATTTCTATAAAAGGGGGAGGGTTTAAATTTCTTTTATTAATGGAAGAATAATTATTTACCGTGATTTTATTATAGTACTATGATTTTGATTCCTTATCATTTAACATTTTAGTAATTTATTAAAAATAATCGGTTTCATACTTCTTCTCTAAAAATTATAATAGTTATTATTAAGAAACTATTCATTGGATATGTATGTTTAGTAAACTAAAATTTTTAGAATAATATGTATTACAGAGTAGCTAGTATTTTAAAAATTTTCCATAATGAACAAATAAGTTATTTTTCTCTAATGATCATGAAATGAAAATACAAATTGAATTTTATATATAATGTCCCTCTCACAAAAATCTGACTGAAAGATAAAAATAAAAACATTGAATATTACCAATGATATTAGTATTGAAAAAACGCGAAAAAACAACCTGCACATAAATTAGAATTATTTATTATTTAATTATCACAGAGCAAAAAAGATAATTTTTACCATTTTGAATTGAATAAAAAAATTAATTGTCTTTTCACTAACAATACTTTATGTTAATTTATTTTAATATAAATATTTAAAAAATTATATTTAAAGATGTTTGAAGCATCCCTTGGATTTCAAGGATCAACATTCCAAGTTCCAGATTCTGCTTTGGATACAAGTAATCTCTTAATAAATAACTCTGACATATGACTTCATCTATATACAAAATTATTTATTGTTAATAAATAAAATTATTTATGTGTACAATTGCTAGTACTTATGTATGTATATTGTAAAACTGCAAATTACATAACAATACCTATATAAATCAAATTTATGTAATAATCTAAAACATTCTATTAAGTCAATTGTCATTGATTTATATTTAATATTACAAAGAATTATTTTGTGGAGCCATTTTAAGTTTCCTTTTTGTAATTCTATTTTATTATTATTGTTATGATTATTATTATTATTAGATCATAGTTTTTAATGAAAATAAAATTGTTTTCAAATATAAAAAAAATTGCTCATCGAACTAATATTTATATTACTCTATTAACTATTTAATTGTGATAATCATTCAGTATTAAAAAAAGTGATATGTATTTTTTTTTTTTTTTTTATATAAATAATGACTGAAAATATAACATAAGTTAGCTTTTATAAATTAACAATATACATCGACAGTGAAATGTATAACACTTACAATTTACATAATATGAATTGGTTTAATAATTATTATTCATTTATTTGATTAATTGGAACAATGATAGTTTTAATTGTATTTATTTATTTTTATATTATATTTTTTATAAAAACTAGTTAATGTTGATAACAATTTTTTATTCAATTATTTTTAAGTAACTAAAAGTTTATAATTTTGTATGGATTTTGTTTTTATTACTTATATTTAATAAATAAATATTTAAAGTATTTTAATAAAACCGTGAGTAATTTTTTAATTTTTTCAACCTACCAGTAATATTTTTGCAGTTATAGCATGACAAACCTACATCTAAAAAAAAACAAATTCATAAAATATCATGGGTGCCGTTCTCAAAAATTCTTACAAGGCAAATATATATGTCTACTGTCTAGGCCATTTTAATTTTATCATATCATATTGTCCATAATGATAGTTGCTTAAAGAATTCTAAAAAAAAAAAAAATTTGAAGCGCACAGTTAAAGTAAATTTTATCATTAAATTAATTTAACATTTCTTATTTACATTATTTTGTTTCTGTAATGGGAAATCAATCAACTAAAACTTTTTCTCTAAAATACACTTCTATAGATGCTAGTTAACTGCATTGGACAATTTTAAACATAAGTAAGTTAAATTAAATTCTTCTATGTTCAATATTGTCAATAAATACTCATAATTTTTATAAAATAATTAAAATTAATTTAAAAAAAAGCACTTCAAGAACTTCATACTACACACTTGCATATGCTAGGATTGACATGACATGTTACAAATTCAAATATGAAATGTATGCATGTTTTTAGATTTAAAGCGGAACGAGGAATTAATTCTTTTTACTATAATGTTTATTTTATATTTTACTTTTTTTTTACTATGTACAAAAATTCTACCAGAAATCTTGTTTCGAAATATCAAGTGTAGCACATTTTCTTGAGGTAGTACTTTGGGGAAGTCATTTTTTATTTTTCCAGGTATTTTCATAATAAATGGGAAAAACTTACAGAAATAATGATATTATTATTTTTATGTTTGTTTTTTTCTTTGTAATTTAGTGAAAAATTGAAGACTTAAAATTTTGATAAAAAAAACCTTATATTTGCCTTTTATAAACGTGGTAACATTTTCAAAACATTTTAAGCTATTTAACATTTTAATTTTACGAGTTTTTTATACAATGTTAATTCAGTAGATACTCTATGATTAAAATTATTAAATCAAACAGAAATGCTTGATAATTTAACAGGATGTTTATTATAAGTTGTACTTGGTGTTAAGAACAAAAATTTGAGCTACAAAAATTGTAAATATTACGGCATTTTAAACATGTATAACCTATGTTCGCTTCGAATCGTTTTTCGTTAGCAATGATTTATCATTGCATACAGATAGATATTGAATCCCGTTCTACATCCTACCTTCCCAATTTCTTGCCTACAACAGTGACCCATCCATCGTGCGAAGTCTGTCCGTTCTTATTTTGGCATATTTCCATAGTTTAAATAATAGAAATTGCTTTTAACTAGTTTCTCTGAACTACCTGGTTTTGCTAAAATTATTAAGAAACTATATCTACGCAAAAATCAAAACACCGATTTCTTAACTCGTCCACTAGATCCAAAATGCAACGAAAAATATCTCTTGGCATTTTTTATTAAACAAGATTTAATAAAGTTGATCGCATACACAAGTTTAGAAAAAAAAAATACATGATAGATAGGTACACCTAACCTATGCGTTAAAATCAATAGATTTCAATAGATAAATTCTAATAATAGATGGAATATTAGTTAAAATAAATTTAAGTGTTAAAATGTTTGATTTCTGTAAAGCCGTTGACGAGATATTCCACTTTTAAGTTTTGGTCGGAGGAGAGTAATGGTAGACTAGTACATTATTAACACGCCAAGCGCCGCGGTCGTACCGCCACACAAATAATACTCCACTACACTCCTCCAACCCAAACTTAAAAGTGGAATATCTCGTCAACGAAAATTAAAAATTTCAACATTAAAATTAATTTTAGCTAATACTCCATCTATTTATAGTCTTTTTAATGTAGGTTGCCATTTGAAAATCATAAGTAGGTAGGTAGTGATTTTACCCTCAAAAATAATAACATAAACATAAAATTGTAGAGTAGCTTGTCTCTTAAATGTTCTAGAAAACAAATTCCGGAAAAAGTTATTACTTTTCGAAATGATGAGTGTACCCACTTAAATGGATCACTTGGTATATAGGCGCTTATATTTTATTTTTGGGTAGCCAAAGACGTTTAAAAAACAATTGGTGCGAATCATTTACATAGTATAAATGATATATTATATTATTTCAATGGTGCGAATGTACACCCTGCACCACTCACAAATGACTGCCCTGTGTGATACCAAAAAATATATTAATAGTGACACTAAAACATAATTATATCATGGGTGATACTACGTGAAAACGTGTTAACGAAAATTGTTGCTATGCTATCAGTAATCATTTGAGAACGGATTTATATGCACTTAAAAACAGCAAAAATAGCGCTTAAATCGTTAAAAAAGAACTTTAGAATATTTAAAAAAGTAAAATTGGTAGAGTGGTTTTAGTCCCACATTTAATTAATGGTCTACTTTGGGGCTTTTAAACCTATCTATCTTTAATGCTCTTTAAAAGATTTTAAGTGCATATAAATCTGTTCCCTTACTATCATATATATAGTCTTTGTGACCGTTTTATTTACGATCGTTTGTATTAATATTTATTATTTAATATACTTCTTCTGGACTTTTTTAAAATTATTAATTACTTTATTACTTAGGGATGTAAATGTCAGTTTTGTACTCCCTGATTTTAGCGAAATTACGCTTATGCCTACACCAATTACCTTTTAGAAAAGATGCTACATTTAAAAATTTAAAAATAGAAGCAAGATTTCTGGTAGAAAGTTGTCCATGGATATAAAAAAAAATCTTTGTTAAACCATTAGCTTCTTTGCTCCAATCAGAATCTAAAATGGTTATAATATGACCAAATTAATTATAAAACTTATATAAAATAACTAGCTTTTTTTTTCAGTTTCCTTTTTTTCCTATTACAATTTACTTCTTTAAACCTACCTAGTGTGACATTTCTAGTGTCATTGAAAATTAGATTTCAATACATGAAATTGATACTGTTTTAGAGGAAAATGACAACCATTTAACTCTTAAGCAGGCATGTGCCTACTTTTAACATTCTTATTCGCATGAGTCTATCAGTCTCATTTTTATAAACTTGTAAAATATGTACAGAAAGTTCTTCTTTTTTTTAAATCCAAAGCCATAATAGGTGGTAACCTACCATATTATGAAATATAAATATGGATTAGAAAGTTAAAATAAAAATAAACACAAAATTATATTACTAACATTTTTGAGAAAAATCCTGCCAGAGGTTCAGAACTCTTTAATTCATTTCATTCCTATTTAAATTAATAATTAAAAATATTATTTTATTATTAAGGATTGTTTCACTAACCATAAACTTATTTAAAATTATAAATTTATTTGATTTATTAACAATAATATGTTTTTATTATATAAAGGATTTTCAAATTTTTCTTCACAATTTACCTCAGTATATTAAAGTATAGAAGACGTATAAGAATATTATATATTATATAATTCTTCCAAATCATTTAGCAATATCTGTGGTAACACTTGTAAAATGACCCTAACCAAGTCTCTCTATTTATAGCATTGATTTAATCAATGATATAAGTATGAAGTTGGGTTAATATGAATCATATTGACCAAACTTCCCAAGTGCATATAAATGGTTATTTTTTTTTTTGTTTTATGAAACTCTCTCATCACAACTAATTAATACCTACATCATAATTCTTGTGCAATTGTTTTATTACAATTTAATTCTCAAACTTTGATTTTATTTTTCCGTTTCCATGTTAACTTTCTTTTTCTACTTCTTAAAAAAAGAAAAATAATAAATTGAATTGACATTTTTCACAGAACTCTTAATGCATATATCACAAGATCTCCTACACACCATGATACAACACTACCACCAATACTTATAATTGTGGATTACAATAAGAAAAATATATATTTTGTACGTTATTGACTTAATGATGCTCATTTTGTAAACAAACAGTAGTGGAATTAGCTCTAAATACTTTACACAACAACCATTAAACTTGATTAACAAATTAAAAAATATTAATTTTTATTTTATTCTATTTGATGCGATTTACTCGCATTATGTAGTTTAACTAAAAATAATATCTTAATTAAACCTACTTTTGTATTTTTTTATCATTACAAGCTATGCCCAATAATTAGTGTTTACTACTAATATAAGTAAGAAACCTCAGTAATTACTAGATTTACAGCCAAGAATTAACAGTAAAACCAGTAATTATTATTAAAATTATTTGCGTTTGTATTGGAGAAAGATTGACTATACAATAAATAAATTGTATCTTCAATAGAAAAACACAAACATCTCAGCAGTCAATATTTTATTATATTTTAAATAAAGATAAAATAATAGCTTCAAAATTATTTTGTGTGAGTAGCTTGAGCTTTTCTCATTTGCAATAAAATGTTGCTAAGTTCTTCACGCTTCCTCTTGGCTCTGATGTGTGTTCCCAACTAAAATAAATAAATATTTAAGTATGACAAAAAATCTAACATTATATTCAATGAATACATTCAATGTTAGGATATATATACATATACATAATACATAGTATAAACCACACATTGGGTAACTTATTGTTAACATGGACAAAGTGACTCTATCCATTGAAATTTGATTTAAAGCCTATATTTTATACCAGGTGGTTCATTTAAGTCGGTACACTCATCATCTCAGAAAGTATTAACTTTTTACAGAATTTATTTTCAAGAAAAACATTTAAAGAACAAGCTGCACTACAATTCTATATTTGTGTTAATTTTTGTTTCCCCTTTTTTGGGGGGTAAAACCACTTCTTAATTTTAATTTTCAAACAGCAACCTATATTAAAAATTCCATAAATAAACTGAGTATAAGTTAAAATAAATTTGAGTGTTGGAGGAGAATAGTGCTGCATTATTAACACATTGTGTGTCGTACTGCCACACCAATAATACTCCACTACTCTCCCCCAACCTTAACTTAAAAGTGGAATATCTTGTTAACAAATTGACAGAAGTCATAAAATTTGAACACTAAAATTTATTATAACTAATACTCTTGTCATTTTTGGAATTAATAATATAGGTCTTCGTTATCAAAAGTAGGTAGTGGTTTACCCCTAAAAATAAGAGTCAGGTTAAGGGACGAAAATAACATGAACATAAAATTTTAGAGCAGCTTGATTCTTAAATATTCTAGATAACAAATTTCAGAAAAATTTAATACTTTAAGAGATAACTAATGTCCCCACTTATATGGATCACCTAGTATGTGGTGTTGGCTACTCTATTATTTTCTTTCACCATCACCTTTTACATTACAATTTCTTAATCTACACCACAGGCCATAAAATCATTTTTTAACATATTAATATTTTCCCTCTTTAAAACATTGAAGATGTTCTTGGTTATTAACAGATCAAACTATGTGGAATAATTTACATTCAAATTCGATAACAAGTATTGGCCGAGTAATATTTAAATTTTACATACAATCGGGTACTGAATGTTATTGAGTACCCAGGTATTACTCATTAGCTAAATACCTAAGACACATCTCCAATGTTATATTCAATTAAACAACAAAAATAAAATAGTAACATAACAAAAGTTAGTAGGTAGTTACATAATCAAACATATAAACTTACTCGTCTTTTCAAGAACTTCAATGCACGCTTGTCTTTCGAAACCTTCAATAATTCCATGGCTCGCTTTTCAAATGGTGCATGGCCCATAACTTCCCTGACAATATCTCTGATGAATTTGTTGTGCTTGGTCAAACGCTAAACACAAAAAATTAAACTAAATAATTGAATTTAAAATATTTTTATGTTTAATTTTCAGCCCATTAAACATTTTAAATATATATTGTACTAGCTGAATTACCCGGAAACAAATTCGTGACAAATTAGACAACGCCATATTCAACAACTAATTATTGACTAACATTATCAGACTTTATTTATGCCTAAAACCTGCTCCGTGATATCTGGAAAATATATTATACTATTGTTACTTACACCTTTAGTGCGGGCTTGTCTGAGTTTCTCACTTTTAGCAACCAGTTCTGTACCACTGACTTTACCAACCCTCTCGATTTTAGTAGTCTTGTGACCTTTTCTCAGGCCGACTGCTAGCTCGTAACGAGGAGCCATTATTAAGTATCTGAAATAAAAGTTTATACAATTAATGGATCAATAAAATTGAAAAAATTACTAATACTTAATGTATTAGTACACATAGATATATCACAATTAATTTAGTCAATAATAATTGAAGTCTATCACATTGGATGTTATGGAATTATATATTCTAAGAAATAATATGAGAAAAAGAAAATGGAAATTATATTTAAACATTTAAATTATAAATAAAAATTACCTGTAAATGGATTAATATGGATGAAGTATGAACGGAATAGATATTTAAAAAAAAAAAAGTACACCACTAAATAATAAATACCGAAATGAATAAAATGACTGAACGCAAATGAAATAAAAGTATAATTTTTTTAGGTTATACCATGAACACAATATAACGCGGTTAGCTGTTATTATGATACTAATTGATAAAGATTTCCATATAGTGATATTGTATTGGCGCATGCGCAGGTTTACCCATACCGGTTTTCTGTTCAATACTGTATCCGGAATTGTCTATTCGTCTATATACTGTTCCTGTATTCAGGACTTATGGAGTTATCCAAAGATTAATCATTGCTTACGAAAAACGATTCTGAGTGCAGTTCGGTTATAGGTACATGTTTTGAAAAGCTGTAGTATTTATGATTTCAAAATAATAAATTTCATACATAGTCACACGTTTTTTCCCTTTTACTATGAATACACCTGGGAAAATCAAAAAATTACCTTCCTAAAGTACCACCTCAGTCAGATTTCTCTTCAGAATAATGTTAACACTTCAAAATTCTATCAAATTCCTGGTAGAAAAGTTGTTCACAAAAAAAAAAATAAACATCACTGTAAAACCAATGTCATTCTAATAATATGCAAATGCATAGACACAAATGTACAATTCTTAGCCTACTTATAACTTATTTAAATGTCCTTAAGTCATGTTATTTAAAAATTGATCATGTACTATGTAATTGAGAACCAAGATGTACACAATACAACATTCAGACACAAAAAAAATTGCTATGAAAATATAATACCTAATTTACCCAATCTTCTTAATCAATAACTTTCAATTAAAAGTTACAACAGATAATTAGACTCAAATTGATACCCATAATAACTAATTGTCAAAAATATAATTTAATTGGAATCATCATAATATATAATAATAATAAAGTATATACAAATATAAACAATATAATTTGGTAATAATTATAAATTAATTCAATTATAACACACATTTAAATAATTTATGTTTATTCATATTTAAATAATTAATAACATTTAAATAATAATATAGTAATTTAACATTTTAAATCTTGAAAAATTTCCCCCAAATAACAGATAAATAAAAACAATAAATATTTTTTTTATATAAACTATAAAATAAATTTTAACATATTATTGTTAGTTTCATTACATAACAATTTATTGTAGACTTATATTAATAAAATAACATGCATTTCATGAAATATACCTCTGTATGTTTTATAAAAATATAATAAATTTTGTCTTTTCTTATTGTTTAATAATAAGTTACATACATTATACATTATTTATTATTAAATATTACAAACATATTTTATCAAATCACAGTTTATGATTATTATATAACACTTAGAAATTAATTTAACAATAAGTAATAATAATAATAAATTTATTTAGAAAATAAAAAAATAAGATTTTTAATTAGATAGAAAATCAATATATGCCTGAGAAAAATATGTTAAGCTCATTTATGAATGTCAAATAGTACCAATGGCTTTTTTTAGATATAAAGGAATAAATGATTTATGCATTTTTTTTACAAAATATTAAAGTAAAAGGGCGCCTCAGAATATTATGTCGTCTAAAATAAAGCAATTATCTAAGATACGTGGATAATTTTCACTTTTAAAATTCAAAAATAATCAGTCTAAAGATTCCTATAGTACATAAAAGAGTAATTTAAGTATATTAATAAATAATGTAAAATGACTTAATATCAATTAATAAATAACAATAAATTGTATGTTGTAAACATCAGTCTGATAATTTTTCTATCTTGATACTATATAATTACTTTCAGATTACTAATAAATGGTAATAAACAATGTAATGCCAATGTAAATAATGAACTATAGAACAAACAAGCTGTTACTCTGACTAGAATTCAAGTTTCTTGATCATGCTGTCATTTTAAAATAAATATAAATATTATAAACAAATATAACAATCAACAAATAAATTTAATACTAATTTCTGAGGCACACTTAATATATAAGGATTTCAAATATTTTATATAACACATACATATTTTTTTTTTTTTTTTGGTTAAATATATATAAATATTACTTAATATTATTTTTTTGACTTTGCAATGGTATATCCATTACCTAGGTAACATGAACTTCCCTGTTTAGATGTGTGCACATCAAGATATGCTTGCCTTGAAAATACACGATGGCACGATTGACACTGGTACTTACTTATGTGCACCTTATTATTGTGTCGTAACAGTGATGTTTGGAACTTAAACGTTTTATTACAAGCTACACAGTAAAACGTTTTACGTTGACATTTATCAGTATCCACAATTAAAGATTGTTCACAATTTGTAGACTGGCTACTAGGAAAATCTGATCGCCTTTGAGATATTTTTGTACGTAACTAATAAATAAAAAATTAAATATAACAATGTGAGTAACATTAAATATATTATTATTTATTTAAAAATGCTAGTAAATCAGATAACAATAATAATTGTTTATTTATATTAAAATATAATTAGTAAATATCTATTGTTAAATAAACAAAAATTTATACAATTTACTTGTGAAATTCTATATTAAATTTATATTTTATGAAATCAAAAAATATTATGGAAAATAATATTGATAATTCAAATGAAAACTGGTATAACATTAGTTCTGCTGAGTATGATCATAACTCTATTACTTTTAGAGCTATATTAACACCCTTGTATTTAAGCATCAATGATAAAGAAAATCCAAAATATAAATCTAAATGTAATTCTATAACATTAGATTTCAATGATATACCACAAAATGTGAACGAAATACATTTTAAAAATTACTATACATATACAGTTTCAGTTTTGATTATGAAAATATTAAATACGGATCCAAATAAGTTAAAAAAGTGGTATGTGGCTATAAAACAAAAGGTAATATGAACAGATTAACTAAAGTTTAAAAAAAAAATCAAAGATAATTATAATTAAATTTTACATATTTCAGAAGTTAATGTACAATGCTCATTCAGAATTCCAATCACAAGATTATTTTTGCATTAAATTATCTGAAAGTAAAGTAGAGGTGTCAGATTTGTTTAAAATAAAACTAATCTTATGTCAACCATCACCGAATTGGATAAATTTTGGCATACACAATATTAAAGTTCATACAATTTAGTGATAATATTAATAATGTTGCAAATACAACTACAAATTACTACAAATATAGTTAAACCACTTATTTGAAAATTATAACTAAATAGTCAATATTAAATATTATTTCTATGAATATATTTTTTTAAAATCATATTTATGATTATTCATAAAATAAAAGATTTATATTTATATACTAGCCTTAGTTTTATTAACCATTTGTCGTGGAACATCTGGCATAAGAGGATGTGGTGGTAAATTCAATGGATCTATAATTGGTGGTTCAATCTGACGTCGTCTCTGATTCATAAGTAATGGATGAATATCACAACCATTAAAATGCGGATAAAATATAGGCATTGCAGATAATGTTGTTTTTGGAAATGTTGTTAAATCATATGAAAGTCCAGATGTTGAGGGTGATGGATCTGAGTCCGGTTGCTCTAAATCCCCATCACAATAATCTTCAATAGAAGTTGTACAATGTACTCCTAAACCCACTAAAACATATATATATATATAATATGTATATATATGTTTTAGTAATTAGTGTTATAGTTTTGATACAAACATATGTTTTATAAGCAAAATAACAATTTTTAAGTGACCATAATAAATAACCGTCATTCATATAGTTGAATTAAAATAATGAATTGTAGAAATTATTATTTAATATTTAGACATAAACAATAATTACTTTTTTTTTTTTGAAAATGTGTACTTACTTACACTGAAAACAATGGTTTAATCAGAATTCGGCAGAAATATTTGGTTTCACCAAAGTTATAGCAATATAAAGTTTGTAGGGTATAGTAGTGATAACCACCTACCACATACATCGGTTCTGCTATAGTTAGCTTGAAAGGCGCTGTATAATACATACTTATTAAATAACCTGCAAGTCTAAACCTGATACTGTTTTAAAGTTAGCGTAAATCTAAATTTCGCTAAACCAAGCCTTAAGCTTAGGCTACCATCATTCACAAATAAAATTTAGATTAGTAAAAAGTAATATGACATACCATCTTATAATATTACAGATTAAATCTATCCTGAGTGTGTTGTACATGCACATTTAAAAAGCTAGAATTTTGAAACTAAATATTTTCAGAGCTAAATTCTTATTATACCATCGTTCTCAGAAAGGGAAATTTATATTTTGAGGCAAAAACAAAACAAAAATCAATTTTATGAGTTTGCAAAACTAGAATTAAACATTTTCTTAACAAATATATTCAAATAATACTTACACCAATTATCAATCATTCGATTTCCAGCCATAACATCTGATTTAGTCATACTAGATGAACTTTTTGGAGAATGACCCACTAAAATAATAAATATTTAACAATTATATTGTAAATTCTTTTTTTTTTTTTTATGTGGCATAGCAAGTGTTATATAAACATAACTAGTAACTACTTGGCTTGTACAATAAGTGGCAGAATAAACACCAATATTGACATATTGTCTTAAATTTTAAACTTAAAACACCTCAATTTACTGCCCTTACTATAGCATTAATATATAAAATTTTAAATAAAATTTCATGAGTCCTCACATGAGATTACTCAGTGCGGTCCATTAGCCTGTATAAAACAATGAATTAGCAGTAATAGTATGGGCATAGTGTAGTAAGTATATATTGTATATGCTAAATGTCAATAGATCTTAAAAAAAAAATTTAGAAATTATTATTTAAAAACATAAAAATAATAATTTTTTACTTTAAAAAATCTTCAAAGAATACTCACACCAATTATCAATTATCCGATTCCCAACCATAACATCAGATTTAGACAAACTAGATGAACTGTCGGGTGAATGATCCAGGTTTGTAGCCAATGAATCTCCAAGTTCTGTTTCATCGTCCATATTTTAGGCATTAATCATTGAAAATAAATTAATCTAAAGACAGTATTATTAAAACAATTGGTTTATTCTATTCAAAACAAAATATATAAACAAACCTTACTTGTGCTGTTGCTTTCTGTCCCATCTATGATTAACACCTTGAACGACAGTGTTGTCATTTAAAGTGGAACTTAAAAATGAGTAATTTAATTTTACTTGGTAACTATGTTGAATTAACAGTTTAAATACTTTGCATTTTGTTGTATTCCTTAAGATACCTGTTTAACTCGACCAATACCTAACGTTAGTAGATACGTAGTGCAATATTAAACAGAATGTACCCATAAATCATAAGAATTTTATCTCGAATAATATTAATAATACCTATATTGTAGATAAAAAATATTTCCGTAGCAGTCGTTGTAATAATTAAAACAGCTCTAGAATTGTTTTAATTGACGCGCACGTTGGACAGACTCATCGTGAATCGCAATAATTATTATTTTTATCAGTACGACAAAAATAATTGCAATAAAAACATTTTAAGAACGCAAAATAATTTACCCATACCGAGCCTCTTGTACCTCGGTCCAGCTGCAGGCTGCCACCCCGCACCCGTAATCACTAATCAGTCGGTTGTTGATATTTTTACTAAACTGTTGTTAGACCGTGGAAATTAATTATAATATTATAGTTACTAACCGGTGGTGGCAGTAGGTAATGTCTGAAATAATCCACAAACTTTCCGTGGAGTAAAATCAGCGAAATTCATTTCGCCCACAAAGCTAAAACATATACACCGGGGATTCATGAATACAATAAACTGTAAACAGTTGGTTTGTTAATCTATCGGTTCTGTAAAATTTAAAGTATTATTGCGTTGCATATAAGTGTTTTGTCATTTGAATACAGGTGCGTAAATAGGATTTTTTTAAAGGGAGAGCGTTTTAAATGTTTTAATTTAATATTTAAATACAACTAGTGGGTGGGTGCTTCACACATCATCTATGGAGTTAGAAAATCATATTAATAAATTATTTGTATGCATAATGTGTGAAATTATACATTTATATTTTTCCGTTCAAACAGACAACAAAAGAGGATCTATTTTCACGGTGATTCCCCACTGTTGCCATCGTTTATTAATTAACCTTACAATTAATATTTACAAATCCTGTTTGTTCCCTCGCGAAGCATGCACATATAATACAGTGGTGTAGCTATCGCAGGGCCAACCTAGACAGTTGTCTGAAGTGGTACAATTTTTTTAGAAGCTTACATGTGTGAACGTGTGATAAGGACACTGACGATTGTCAAGTATTTAGTAGACAAATTATGGTTCAAATTGAATCGGTATAAACGCGCCTTATAGCTGCTGGTAGCTGGTTGTTCGCGCCAATTTAATTAACTACGATTCGTGGGTCTCCCGCAAGTAGTAACTGATAAGGCTGTTCATATTCTAGAAATTCGTTGGTACAGACCCGTGTACCGATATATTTTGGTACTGGTTTACTAACACTTGATACCGATTATTTTACATCAGTATAGATATTCGAGATGGAAATCGATGTATCCCCACCATTGTCCAAAATTACCAATGATAATACTATCAATTATTTAAATTATTAGTATATTACCTGAGAAAAAAAACAAAATGTAAGAATAGTAGTCAGCGGCCGAGTTATGCGCATGGGCGTGGCCTTCACTACGTGTGCGGAGCGTTGGCTCTGCCGTCCCAGAGAGCGGTATTAGTCTACAATTGACAGCAGACTTGCATAAATAACTTAAAATGCATTGCTGCCATCATCGCGGTTAAGCAACAGGTGTTCAGTTTACATTTCGTATTGATAATACACCGCGCGGTTAATTCAAAACCTGCCGCCAGTATACAAAAATTAGATACTCATTTACCTGTTGTATTTACCTATTATACCTTTTTATACCATTACATTTTCCCAATGTATTTTTTGGAGTTACCAGGCGTAACCGTAATACAATATACGAAAAAAAGATTGTGTTTTTAATTAATAAAAAATGTATTTATTTATTTCACAATAAATATAATAATATAAAATATAAAATTACATAAAAAAATACATTTACATTACAATAAATTATAAAAAAAACATTTTATCCCGATTCATCATCACTTTCCCCATTTCCCGTGATTGTGAACACACATGACTCCAATATGTCAATATTTTCGTTCGTGATGTCGTCGACTTGCCAAACTTTATTCTCCTCTTCAATTGTATGTCTGATTAAATTGCTTCAATTTTCTGGCGTTACCCGATCAATTGCCTCATTCAACAGTCTTTGAACGTCGTCAATTTTATAAGTTATATTTCTCTGTTTCACGGAGGTTTTTACCATCACCCATGCCAATTCAAATTGATTGAATTCACAGTGATACGGTGATAATCGAATTACGGTATGCCCTGCATCCTTGGCCATGTTATCAATAATATAAGACTTTTGCGGTGGTTTCAATGAACATACAATGGTCAGCAGTTCTGGCTTTAACATAGATCTTTCCGGAATGATGCCTTTCGATTCGAGCCACTCCAATATTTTGGCTTTCTTCCAATTTGTTGTTGAAAATATCTCGGTTTGAACAGAATGGCACGGTGCGTTGTCCATAACAATAATAGAATTCGGTTCCAGCCGAAGAATGATTGCCTCAAACCACTCTCTGAAATTATTGCCGTTCGTCTCGTCGTGGTAATCACCACTAATTTTTTCGGACTGGAAACACAAAAGACCATCCGCCAAGAATCCATGTTTCGAACCAATATGCAGCACAATTAACCGTTTTCCCTTACCGAATGGGTTTGTAACACCTGTTGTTAATCCTTTATTAAACGCATCGTGTTTGGATTTTATCGTGTCTGGGTATTGTCAACCCAGACACGATCCACATAATCGCCAGCGTTCGACCATGTCTCATTCAAATATTAGACGTTTCTAATTTCTCTACGATATTTTCGTATATCGTACAAATATCTGTGGTGCCAGATAATTAGGTATTCTCTTTCCGTCAAGACGCTGCACCTTCTCCTCTTCTTGAACTGAAAAGCCAATTTTTTAATGGTGTTATGTAAAGAGGACCGTTTAAAATTGGGAAACTATGGATCGTCGTTCACTGCGGCTAATATCTTGTCAATTTTCGGCAGTTCACACTGCAATCAAATGGCATGTATCTTTTGCCGTAGTCCAGAATGATCTAAATCGTCGAAAGTGTCAAATAATGATATCCTTAATCGATTTGAATTTGGAGAAATCACAGATTTTGTTTTTTTTTATTCGGCAATGGAATTTTCAACCGTTATACGACCAAAACCTGACATTTGTTGTACAGTGCCACACAATTCGCTATATTTTGTATCCGGATTTTTCGCCAATAAGTCTTTGTATTTATTGATAAGCATGGTTCTCTGACCACTGCTGACACGCTGTAACCAAAAAACAATAAATATATTAATGAAAATTTTAAATAAAATTCATCAAAAATCTTTGAGATGGGAACTTACTTTTCCACATGGATTTTTTCTGACTGGAGTAACTGTATCGTCTTCAGGTCCGTCAGATAAATTAAAAAGCCCACTCATCGTTAAATATAAAAAAAAAATAAATGTATAAAGGTACAATATAAATTGTAAACACAACAACGCGGACGACGAAACAGATACGTTTTGAATTTGAATGAATGTGTGCGCGAGAAATGTTCAACGGGCAGCTGCTCGTCGTTTTTATTTTGCCGTCGCTGTGGTCGTCGACAAGACGATCCACCATACCCCCATTCCTCCATTGCCACCGGTCCTGCTTAAGATCAGGACTTTTCTTTATTATGTTTTTAATTACCAAGACAAAGTTTATACGAAAGAAAATTTTTGGAAATTCCGGAATTGTAAAAATCCGGAAAAATCGTAAATTTGGATAGTATATTTGTATGAAAATGTTTATACTTTTTATTTAATTTCATTTGTATCATCAAGAAAATCCGTAAATCAATAATATTAATTTCATAATTGACGTTTAGTTCTGTTGTTACTTGACACATAGGTTTTTCAATAATATGCAACAGCAAATTTATGATATATAAAAATAAAGGTCTGTAATAGTTTGTATGAAAAACAATTTATGGAAAATCTACCGAAAAAGTTGGAAATTTGGATAGTATTCAAGTTATGGCGTCACTACAAAATCTCCATTCGTTTGTATATGTAATGGAGCAGTGCTTGAATTGATAAAATAAAAGAAGAGGGACTATAAGACATAAAAAAAAAAGTTAACGTCCCATACAATTATTGAACTCAACCTAACCCGTCGACGGCTTAGTCCTCCACACCTCTCACACCAATTTTCGAATATAATTCAACAATCCATAATTTCTGAAAACAAACATTACCCACTGCAGAATAACTTTTGCTTAATTTTTGCGATTTTAAGATAATATGTAGCTCATTCATAATTTATTACATTAGTTGGCACTCTATTAAGGGACATTCTCTTAAAAACTTTCTTGGGTTAAAATAGAACTGTTTCATAAACTACTTTCAGCCTCACACGTCTATCTCCAAAGTTAGGATTTGTCTTTTTTACCACGACTTTGTTTTCCGATTATCCCTCCACTGCGTCCCATTAGTTCCATTTCAAACAAATAGTAAAGGTACGCTTACATTTCTGAAAATTGAGTTAAGGTAGTTTCCATTCTCCTGCGTGCCCCCCTCAATTCGAGCACTAAGTGGAGCACTAATAAAACGCCCCGCGCCAAACCGCCACACAAATGATACCTCACTACACTCTCCCCCAATCAAAACTTAAAAGTGGAATATCTCGATTGACATCAAAAATGTCAACAATATGTATTAAAAGTAATGCTATGTCTATTTAGGTAATTTTTAATATAGATTCTCATTTGAAAACCCAAATTTGATATCACCACAGCATACTCCTTAAATATTGTGAAAAATCTAATTACTTATTCGAAAATATTGGCTTCAACACACTTAAAGTTCCAAAAATCAAAATTTGAACATATGCAAAATTTAATCAAAAAAGGGGGTGGCACGTTTAGTAAATCACCCTGTATATAGCTTAATAATTAAGTTATCAATTTTATATTAATATAAATTGTCTGTGAACGAAGACTAATACGGCTCTCCCATTGTCGAGCGTCCCCACTCCCCGATAGGTTAAATTAGGCTTCACTTCCTTTGAAATTCATCCTCCTAAAATTTAATGTACAGATTTTTTTTAGTAAAACTTGAAAAATCATCATACCTTTATTATTTAAGTCTATGGTATGTACCAAGTGTATTGTATAAACGAACAAATTAACCAATAGTGTTTGTGGAATTGTTTGCATTTTTTGATTGTAAAACTCAATATTTTTTCATCATATATAGGTAGGTACCTAATTTCTCAAATTTCCATCTACAACAGTAGGTAATTTTCACTAATATTTTAATCGTACTACTCATTCTAAACTTGTACCTACCTGTATAATGTAGAACAAAAAAAAGGGTAAAATTACAAAATATTCGTAAATGTTTGGCGTCGAAGCGATACCGTTCTATGGGAGCAGTTTGAAAGTCGGCCTCGAGATAAGGTAAACTAATAAGTAATGACTGCTAAATGCTAACGAGCAACAACCATAGGACATAAACCTATATAAAGAAAATATTATTAAGGTCTATGGTAAGTGGTAACGACGTCAAATCATTTGTCAATATCGTTGTTACTTGTTTATCAAGCTGTTGTTATCACATTTGTTTATCAATGCTTCTATCACCAATCACCATGTATCGATAATAAATATTATGGCTTATTTTTATTATATAGGCCGTAACGCCGTGTGTTCCTGTGAAAAGTGAAGAGCATTATTGGTACCTTTAATCGATATAAGTATAAGCCGTGATGTATAGCCGTATTGGAATTAGGTATTTATCGGTTATCGCGAAAATACGGTTATGAAAAAATACGAGATACAAAATATGATACTATGATACTTTAGGAGATCGATTGGCAGTTATGAATAAATCGTACCTCAAAATAAACATTTTTTGTATAGATTGGCCACATTGAAATATTGTGACTGGCTTCTTATCAATTTTCTGAAAACTGTAACTCCCCGGTTCTTGTAGTTTAAAAATTCGAGAATATTTTCGTATAAGAATTAAAAATTTCATATTTGTAATAATATATTATTCTTCACATTAACGTTATTTGACATTTTTTTTCGCTTATACAGTAATACATAACTTTGTTGTGGCCATTATTATGTACGTTTTAAATTGTAATTTAAGGATATTATTATATGGCAATTGTTATTATCTAAACAAATAAAGGTAGGCACCTAAGTAATAATTTCTGCGATAGATATTTTTTATTACTATTTGTAAATGCTCTACTGAGTTATGTATTCAGTCATTCATGGGAACTATTAAACTAGAAAACTAGATTTGACAGTTGACTTGAAATCTAACCTAACCAGTATTATTTATTTTATACATTTTAAGATAAATGGTACCTGTGTTACAAATAATTCTTGGAAATCAGCACTGAGTGATTGTGTTTTTTGTCTGTATGTTGTAAGAGTGGCAGAACCAATCATGACTGTAGAAGATGGAAATTATTTGGGTAATTAATATTGAATATTAAGTTTTAATATTTTGTGTAGAATATAATTAATACTATTTTAACAGGAATGTCTCTGTGTATGCTACTAAATTTAAAATTATACTGTAGGTAAAATTAATGCAAATTCAATTTTGAAAAAAGGAAAAAATTGTCATTACAATATGATTTTCCAATAAAAAAAAAAAGAAAGATTAATTTAAATATTTTATGTAATCAAACATAAATGGAAGATTTGTTTATAACAATGGGTTTGAAAGTATTTGTGATTTAAATTGATAAATCTATTTTTAATTTACTTAAGTTAAGACATTAATTTATTCAAATAATGGGTTTTTAATTTTTGATTCTGATAGTTTTTATATTTTTTCTTGCTTATTAAATCTATATATGTATCTTTATATTTATTTTTTTTATCTTTCTCTTATGTACAGATTCTACACTTAAGAGGACGCTATACCCGCATGTGCTGTCTCAGTTAAACTAATAGACAATACAGCAAAAATCACCTTTTATAAAATTAAAAGAATTTGTGCGTTTTTAATTTTATAATAGATACTTTTAGTCTAAAACTAAAATATTAAGTGAGTTCTACATAGTCTGCATAAGACAGGTTTTGCTATATTGCCTGTTAGTTGAACTGAGACAGCACATGTGGGTATAGTGTCCTCTTAAGTAATACTGTATTTTTGTAATTTAGGTTTGTACTATATAATAATTCAAATAAATACCTATCGTTTATTTTCAATGAAATATTCAAAATATTACATTAATCATAATAAATAGTTTTAATAACTGGTGGTTTTAGATAAAGAGTTTAATAACTATTACGGTGTTGTTTTCACAAACAACAATGAAGACAAGATAAATACTTCATATCATTTATTGAACACAGAAAATACAGAGAAGCAACATGTTAAAGTCTGCCAAGGTAACTTTTAAACACTGTAATGTTAATATCATAATTAATATTAATTGATACAGTAAATTAATTTTTTTCAATTTTGTTTTAGTATTTTTAAGAAAAGTGTTTACTCTACTGATATTACAATTACTTGCATTCAATTTTATGGGCTTTTTCTGTTTATTTACACCAAAAATACGATTCTTCATTTACAACTTGTAAGAAACATTCCAGTTCAATTATTATAAATAACTAATAATCAGGGTTCATAACTTGTAGGTTTAAAAATGTTATTATTACAATTGTTTGATTTCCAGGCATATAATTAATATAAACTAAATCATTAGTAAATAGATAGACCTTAAGGAAGTCCAGGTTTAAGTTTGGTGTTCTTATCATTGTCCGACAGGATGTTTGAAATATGTTTTAAACAATTTAACTTGTTTTCCTTTGAAATAATAAAATAAGCATTAAAAACATGAAAGTACTAAAATAGTACCAAAATTTAGAAATATTTTACAACAAAAATTGAATTTGTTTTTTGTTCTGAAACAAATTTGTAGTTTATTTAGGTGTCTCTAAAACTCTCCATACATAATCAAACAATTTGCGCAATGTTATGTACCCAAACTTTGGTAGATACACAATGCAATGGCAAGTACAAACTTCAGTTCAATTTTTAATAATAACATAAATTAAAAGATTGAGAGAACATCATGTATTTACTTCCTCGCATAGTTTTTACCAGCTAATGCTTGTTTAACATTGTCATAGATGTTCAAACTGCTTGTCAAACATAGTTATCGCGTAAACTGTTTGATTATGTATGGTGAAGCTTAAAACCTATCAAAACTATTTCTATTCAAATACTACAAGTTACGAGCCCTACTATTAACTAATAAGTAATAAATAATTTGTATATTTCAGTGAATATATGTTATCAATCACGTTAATATTAAATGTAGTTGTACTTATTTTTTTACACATGAAACGGAAAAATTATCCAATCAACCTTGTAATATTAATTGTTTTTGTAAGTATACCAGCAACATAGATTATTGCATTTTTAAAATGTAATTATCAAATTAATTTCATATGCAGACTGTGATAGAGGCTTGTACTGTTGGTGTTGTAGTCACGTCATTTGATTTGTTTTTACTACTACAGACATTATTACTCACATTGGTTGCTATCATTGTGACAACATTGTACTTGAGTAGAACAAAGAGAGTTTGTTTATCATTCGCCGAGTATTGGTGAGTGTATTTTGCTATAATATTAAATATTACATACTTGATAATTTTAATTAATAAAGTATTTTATTTTACTCTTTACTTAGAATGTAAATATTGTTTATTTATAGTTGTCTGTTGGTTGTCACTATATTTTCTGCTGGAATATCGGTACAAATATTACTGGGCAGTACCACATATGAACTCATATTTTCGACTATTGGATCGTTATTATTTTCAATGTTCCTCATAAATAGTGCTCAGGTAATATGATTTTCATTATAATAATATTAAGTGACACATGTATATATATATATATGCAATTTGTTTTATGTAGAGACTAATGTGGAAGTTGCATCCTGAAGATTATGTTTTTGGGACTATCAGCATATATTTTGACATAATCAATTTAGTTCCTTGTGCACTTCATAAAATTTACAACTTTGGAATATAAAATTGCATTTTTTGTATATTAAAAAATGTTACCTTCCTACTAATAAAAGTAAATTAAAAACAAACAAATTTATTTTTGTGGTATTAATAGCAGTTATTTTACAAGTTTGTACACATTTTTGATACTAAAAACAAGTATTTCAGTCAATTTTAATATTAAAAAATGAAAAATGTTAATTTTTTTTCTTTTTAATTTACTACTCATGACTTGTTATTTTTTTTTGCGTTGAGGAATGCTTGAAGTTGACCTGTGCTTTCTAAATAATTCATTACTACTGTTTCTTGAGTTTCAGGTGTTGTTGGTGAATATCTAACATATTCCATGCTGAATTCTCCCTTACCCTGGGTCAAAGATCGTAGTTCTCCAGCAAACCCAAACATACAGTTCAATGGTACCTCTGCATAGATTGTGACCCAATCAGCCGTTCCTTCGCTTCCACTAATGATACCACTGCGCTTGTTAAACTGACCCATAACAGCTCCCTGAAATTCTGTGGGGACAACTGCTTCAACTTCCATAATTGGTTCTAAAATTTGCCATGCAGCTTCTTCATATGCTTGTTTAATAGCACCTTGGGTAGCTAATATAAACGCTAATTCACTAGAATCCACCATGTGATGAGCACCATCCAATAACCTCATACGTAAACCTGATATCCTATGTCCAGAATATAAACCTTTTTCTGCCATAATTTTAAAACCTTTTATTATACCTGGGACGAACTGCTTAGGTACATTGGGTCCACAAGTTTCATCAACAAAATCCAAATTTGTATTTTCATTCATTGGTAATGGCTCTAAGATTCCTATAACTCTGGCGTATTGTCCTTGACCTCCATGCTGCTTCTTATGGAAATAATCAAATTCAAATGGATTTACCAGAGTCTCCCTGAATGCGACTTTTGGCTTACCTAAATTCACTGCACAGTTGTATTCTTTTTGCATTCTTTGAGCGTAGATTTCTAAATGCAATTCACCCATGCCAGAAACTATAGTTTCTTTGTTATCTGTATCATAATGGAATTTGAAGGTGGGATCTTCTTTGGTAAATCGAGCTACGGCTTTACTGAAATTGTCTCTGTCTTTGCTGTTTACAGGAGAAATAGCCATAGAGACAACCGGATCAGGTACATAAATAGATTCTAATGACAAATTTAATTTTTTATCCGTAATAAATGTATCACCACTAGCGCAATCAACGCCAAAAAGTGCAAATATATCGCCAGCAAATATTTCATTCACTTCTTCCATTTGATCTGCGTGTAGCCGAACTAATCTAGATAATCGTACTTTTTTGGAAGTTCTAAAATTGTAAATGGTATCACCTTTGGACAATTTACCTTGATAACATCTCATATATGTTAACTGACCAAATCGTCCGGCTTCTAATTTAAAAGCTAAAGCAATGAATGGATTAGTGCCATCTCTACTGGGGTTCAATACTACTTTCTCAGGCTGGCCATTATCATCAGTCATTTTAAGCGCAATATTCTCCACTTCGCCGGGATTAGGTAGATATGATAGCACAGCGTCCAATAATGGTTGAACACCTTTGTTTTTCAGTGCTGTACCAAGGAGAACAGGTGTAAACGTTCGTTTTATACAACACCGCCTTATAGCGTCAATTAGTTCTTGTTCGGTAGGAGTTTTTTCTTCAAGGAACATTTCTCCTAGTGTTTCGTCGGCATTTGATACATGTTCAATCAACTCTTGACGCTTTTCTTCAACCAGTGATACCATGTCCTCCGGAATATCACCGTATTCTATGTCTATACCAAAATCTCCATTGAAAAAAATCGACCTCCTGTGAATTAAGTCAATGATTCCCTTGAGCTTGCTTTCATTTCCGATCGGCAGTTGTAAGAACGCAGCGTTGTGCCCCAGTTTACTTCTAATATTGGCCAAAACTTTGTGTGGATCAGCCCCAAGCCGATCTAATTTATTTATGAAAGCAATGCATGGTACGTTATAGCGTTTCATCTGTCTGTTTACTGTCAAGGTTTGACTCTGTACGCCTCCCACTGCACACAGAACCAAAACGGCGCCATCCAAAACCCTGAGTGCCCTCTCTACTTCGACTGTAAAATCGACGTGACCGGGAGTGTCGATGATGTTGATGTTGTAGTTTTTCCAAATTGTATAAGTAGCCGCTGATTGAATCGTAATGCCCCTCTGCCTTTCTAGTTCCATGGAATCCATTGTCGCGCCAACGTTGTCTTTTCCTTTGACTTCATGCATTTTCGATATTTTACCAGTGTAGTAGAGTATTCTTTCCGTCAGCGTAGTTTTACCGGAATCGATATGTGCCGAGATGCCGATATTACGAATATACTGCAACTCTTTCGTATCGGTAGTGCCAGCAACGTTGCACATGCATCGAATCCATAATTTTGCTTTTTTTGAAATAGCCAGTCTCCCGAAATTCATACCGAAATACATTTTTGTTTTCAAAAGGTTACGACGACGAGTCAATATAAGACTATTCAAACGATCGATTTAACATAATATAACATCGAGTTACCACGAGTCCGCGAGAAATACTTAGAGGGCGGACGGTGAAAATGAATAAGAAAATTAGCAAACTCAAACTTGATATCTGTTATCATCTGCCGGTGCTATTGATATTAAATAATTATCAAATGTCCGGTCACGGTTATTGATATGCACGGTATATAGAATCACGATCGCGATTTAAGATCGATTTAATCGTAGATAGAATCATAGACATATTAACTAGTTCTGTGGATAGAATGGTTACACAACATAGAGTAGTATAACAGATTATATTATTATAATCTGTGGTAATCAAAGACCTATTTGTTAATATGTCTATGACGTAGAATAATTACTCTATGGTCTATGGTGGTAATATATTAATATGTCGCACAACAATGTGCCAAAAAGAAGCACTAAATGTTCTTATCAATAATATAAAAAATTTCTCTGCCTTGTTGCGCGATCTAGTTAAAATCACCAATCATGTCTGTCATTTTCCAGAACGAGGTGTATTAATCCTTGTTCGAGTGCGGTGTGTTGTTGATTTTCCCCTAAATAAAAACAATATGCTTTAAATATTTGTATTATGATTACATCAATAGAGCGCGCTACCAGAATGATTTAGATACTAATGGACAACGTAACTACAATATTCTCGAGTGAGTGAAAATGCACAAAAATCGTATCTTTGCACGGTAATAAAAACGAAATCAACGCGCAGCTCTGCATAATAAATTGAAACACCTTAAGTCCACATATATTAGGTATATACTACACAATGATTATAGAATATTTATTGGACGTTGCCATAATAATCAAAAATTTATCGGATCTTCTTACTTACTTAGTTGTATACATACTCCTTTGCATAGGTAATATCTATCTGTTGAATGATTATTACTATTTTAAAGAATTTTTATAAAATTTTTATCAAAAAAAAAAAAGTACATTATTACACTCATTTTTTTGTTCACTTACGGTTTCTTAATTGATAATAAACTTCTTGTCAAATTTGTAAGCATTTCTGTTCAGTCTAACAATTGTGTCCACAGAATAGGTACCTAGATACTGAATAAAAATTATGTAAATAACTCGCAAAAATTAAATGTCTATAAATAACTCAAAATTAGCTCAAATGTTTTGAACATTTTACCACATCTAGAAATAGCAAATATTAGCTTTATATTTAAACTAATTGACCCGACAATGCTTTTCTATTGCTAAATAATAGTGCAGTAAATAATAATAATAATAGTATTAGTTTTCTTGTCCGTGACAAATTATCATCCATGCCACAAATTACTAAAGTAACCTATAAATCAACAAATAAAATTTAATTAATGTTCCAAAAAATCCAAAAACCCTTCCGTCATAAATAAGTAATTAGATATTCGTATCAAAAATTCCTAAAAATCCCTATTTTACCCTCTTAGGGGTTGATTTTCAAAAATCCTTTCTTAGTGGATACCTACGTTATAATAGCTATTTGTATGCCAAATTTCAACCCAATCAGTCTAGTGATTTGGGCTAGGCGATGATGAATCAGTCAGTCAGTCAGGACAAGTTATTTTATATATACAAAAGTCTTGACAAATATTTTTAACTGAATTACATTAAAAAAATAAAATTAAAAATAATAGAAGAATCATTTTCGTAAATTTTCCTATTCTCTCTATGTATTTTTCGATTTTGCTCAATTATTTAAAAAACTACAAAAAAACGTCCTTGTGATCACCATCTAGATTAAAAATTGAAAAATTAAAATCACTTATTGTTTTTTTATTAGAGCAATATTTTTGGTAGAAAATGGAAAGCGTTCAAATTTAAAATATTGAAATCGTAACGCCGTAAATTTATTAGTTTTCATTTTACGTTTTTTTTCCCGGTTTTTCCTAATTATTATGCATAAAACTACAGAGAAAATCAAAAGCCGACTTTCTTATTCACCAACTAGATTAAAAATTCAACAAAAAAGGTTGCTTGTCGTTTTTATGTTAGAACAATATTTTTGGTAGAAATTTAAGTCGTAAACATTTAAAAAAAATTAAACTGTGCCATAATTTTAAAATAATTTTTCGTATTTTTGGGTTTTCTCCATTATTATCAACAACAATTTAGATATCAAAAAACGAATTTTTTTATTAGTGCCTATATATTAAAAGAAACAAAATTGATCTTTCGTTATTTTTCGATTGGAGCAATATTTCTGTGTAAACCATTGTGACCGAAAGTTGATGACAATAAAAACGGTAACGCCACGGTGCGCCGTAAATATTTGCCGTTTTACCTATAATTTTCTTTCGAGTTTTTCCTAATTATTTTGAAAATCTCTTGGAAAATCAAAAAAATGATCTCTCTAATGCACCAACTAGAGAAAATAACCTGTCAGAAAATTCACGCCAAGAAAAAAGATTTATTTATTTATTTATTTGAGTATACGCCAAAGTACAATAATTAAGTAGATACAAATGAGTGACTTAAAATAACATTAAATAATATGAATGAAGAGAGAAGTATACAATGTTACAACTTAAAAATAAACAATTTAAACAACGTATATGATTAGTATTCGATGAAAAACTGTAACTATACATCCAAAATGTAACAAAAAGATTTTTTCTATTTTTGATTGGAGATTGAATTAATTAGAACGACTCTTTTAGGAAAGTTGTTTTTATTTACAGACACAAAAAAAAAAAAAATACAAAAAACAACTAGAGTGCCGATTCTAATGTACTGTAATGAGCCAATTTTATCAATTGATTTGTGAAATAATTGTTTGTTTATAAGTGTAATATTTTGTTTACTATTTTTTTCAAATTCTAAGGTATACACTATAAAATTAGTTTAAGAAAATTGAATAAATGAAAAAAAAGAATAGCACACATTGAAGAGTTAAACGGGTTAAGAATAAATTTATATTACTATAATATGCAAGTCAAGTAGGATGATATTAAATTTGGTGGTATAAATTAAATACATGCGATAATGAGCGCCACTGAATATTTTGGGTGGGCTGGCCTAAGGTCGGATACATTTTAGAATGGGCCGGGCACACCCTAGCCTCCCATTAGCTACACGCCTGATTAGGTGATTGACTTTTAGATGATAAAATACAATTTTAAATAAACACGACAATTTCGCGCGATGGATGAAAGCACCTCCTAGAGGCGTATTTAGGATTTTGCCAAGGAGGGAAATATCTAATTTTGAAATATTTTTTTATATTGATTGTAATGATGTGTGCAAGTACGGGTGTAATACGATTGTGACACTATAGGCTAGAACAAAAAAATAAAAACAATTTAAATTTATATATTTTGTCCAAGTATTTTATAACTCATCTGCCCTATCGTTAACGTTTAAATAGTATTAGGTATTATAACTCTTAAAAAAAATGTCAAGGGGGGAGATATATCTCTCTGATCTCCCCTCTTAAATACGCCACTGGCACCTCCACTACACTCTATGAATACGGTAAGCTATTTAATTGGACGTTGATGACGATGGTTCAAATCGTTCGTATAATACAATAGAAGTACGGGTGTACATTATTGTTATTATATTACATGTAAGTAAGTAGTATAGTAAAACTTCGAGGACTGCGAGTATCGCGGAGCCGGGTGAAATATATTACCTGCGACCTACAAAAAAAAAAAAAAATAAAAACAAAATAAATGCATTTTACGAATATAATATTTATTACGATCGTATACAATGTGTATGGTGTGTACAAACGATTATTATATTATAATTATCGGAAATGGAAAAAAAAAAATCACTTTTTACGTACGGCCGTTGGGCGACCCGATTTCGCACCTGCTGCAAAACGCGAGCACGACACGCGTTCTCGGTAAATCATCATAATACAATATTATTACACACAGCAGACTGCCGTATAGGTACTGCAGTGTAAACACCGCGTACCACACATACAAATTTGTGTCGTTTTCATTACAATAATTAAAAGTCGTATACGACCCGCGAACGTTTACACGAGTTTTTTTTTTACGCAGCAATGATACAACACGTGCGCGCGTGTGCCCGTTTCGGATATTTTATCGGAATTTGTAAATTTGAGCCGTTTCACCCGTAATAGCGGACGGGTCCGTTTCACTCGATCACAAAATGTGCAATGCCTATACCGTTTTTCCCCAGACGAATAAAATAATTTTCATTTTCTTCTTCTTCAAAAAAGTATTTTCCATTCCGCGGAACGTCTTCCAAAACATGTCTTTGATTTGAAATCGTGCGGTCCGTTTTCTTTCGAATATTATTAAAATCAATACGAAACCTATACACGCATAAATATTTGAACTCTAGGAATAAAGGATTGTCAATTGTAGACATATTTTTTTTATAATTTTGTCGTACTCATTTTTTGCCCTTTATGTTTCGGTCTGAATGATACCTATGTATGCATTTTTACAATTGTATTTGCTCGTATTGAAAATTATACAAGATTATATAGGCCTTTCTTACCTGGACCAAAGATATAGGTAATATTGTATTTAAAATTGCTTAATTTCAGCTGGTCTTAATCGTTTCTACTGTGATAGTAGTTTAAACAATTAATAATCGTCCTATTCGTAAACTGCAAAATAACTATCATATTGATTTCGATTTTGATTTTTGTTGTAATTCAGTTAAAAATAATCGCAGAGACTTGCGATTTTTACAGAATTCTTAAACCCTTTCAAGACGTGGTACAATTCAAATATTAGACATGCCGATTTGTTCGTTTAAAAATACACTGTTTGCCGCTCCTGAACAATGTATATTGTTTTCAATTAATCTATAACTATTAATTGGTTAACTCAAAAATGATAACTCTAAAAACCTCTGGTTAAAAATAATGTATACGAGTTAATATTAATGAAATATACTCGCCTCGCAGAACGAAACAAACCCATATTTTTAAATATAAAGGTCGACAACTTTTTATCGCATTGCTCACCGGTTCCGTGGCGATTCCATATTTCGACGCATTGTTTTTTTACGACAGGAAGAGATAAAAAAAAATCGCCAGTTTATACGGGGCGGTTGCCAATTTTTATGATGAAACGAGAACAAAAACAAGACGAAAACTTTACATGAAACCGAAAAAAAGAAAAACAACTAGAAGAACGTAGGCAATTTCTAAATAGCCTAATACTCAACAAATACCAGAATGTTTTGAAAATTTTACCACGACTATAGAAAGTGCTAATATAATATTCGGTGATTATTTTGACTCTCTACAATTATTTTTCAATGAATTACAATACAAGTAGCTACATAATTGAAACCTATATCAAAAACTGCTCTATAGCTACAGTGTTAATATTCTCGATTTTTCCCTAAAAATTTTGGCCTCACCACACGACCGTCTAAAATTTCTAACCA